TATGAAAACAGTTGCGATTTCGTGTCAATGCATGTCAACATTTACGATCAGAAAAGAACCACAGTTATCCAACCAAAGCAAGAATTAGAGCCAAAGGTGCCAGTCAATATGCGAGTATATCTCTCGGGTACAAAAAAATGTTGTATTTATTTCCAACGTTTTCGGTTCAGGTTTCCTTTTAAATAAAATACATAAAACTTTACAAAACTTAACCCGGATGAAATACCTCAAAATTAAAACTCAAAATTGAAAATACTATTAAAAACAAAATTTCCAATACTTATATAGGTAACTTTAGAAAATATGCAGGTATCTATCTCATCCTGCGAAATTTAATCTGACGATGTATTTACACATAGTGAAAATGAAAATTCAGATTCTAAATGAAATTTTAAAAAAATATCCCCAGTTTCACTTTTAGCTTATATCTGTAGAAAAATGTAAGGTATGTAATCCCTCAAAATTAATTAATTAATCTGGCAATGTACACATATTCATTACTTAATAATTTTATTCATTCCTTACATAATGAAAATCTTCCCCCTGAGACATCAGCATTTTCCAGTTCATGATCTAATAGTACCAAGTTTACTCGGTTTTTTAGCCCTGTTTTGACGTTGCCTTTTCACATGCACCTAACAAAACTTTGCGATAAGTGAGTGAGTGAGTGCAGATTCTTGGCCAGGAGGAGAAGAACCAGCTCCTTGCACTTTGAGAGACTTTCCTGCTTTTCCTTTACCAACTAACCAACCAACCATCCAAAGAGAGCGTATAAAAGAGTATCAGGTTATAAATAGTTGAAAAGCAGAGAGGAATCGAAAGCACGATAAATACAACCAAACCACAGAAGAAGCAGAGAAAAAACGAGAAGTTCGAGACTTTTTTTCCACTTCCTCTCTCGAACACGAAGCCCAACGGATAACTCTCTGAACGCCAAAAATCCACCCGAGACATTCAGCAAACATTGAATAAAGAATCGTCTCTCTCACTCAGCAGACTAAACTCTTACATCATTTTAATTCAAGTTTAAAACAAACGATGAGTGTTTTGTATAGAGAGATGTTCGTATTTAGGATGAAGTTGTTTAAATAAAAGACTTCAGAATTGGTGGATCGGTTAAGCTCGGAGATTACTTTTTGGATGGTATTTAGCAGTGAAACTTGAGAGAATTGTGTAATACGTAAGGACACGGCGCCCCTTGAAACATGACGACGTAATTAAATAAGTGAGGAAATTGGTAAATCGGTACGATTACAGATTTCTTTTTGTCATACACTGTTAAAAATCTGGTAGGATCCTCAGTACTGATGTAGATTTGGTAATAATTTCCTACCGGATTGGTAGTTGGTTTCTGTTGAAAATGGTAAAGTTTTCATTACCACAACATTACCGAAGTGTAATTAATTGTTTCTGAGTCACACTCCGGTCAGTATTGATTTAATACAAGTTTTGTAAGATTGTAGCGTTGAAAATATTTAATTGAATTGTGTCATTAATAACCAGTTGAAAGATGGAGACATGTTTCAACTTTAACATTTGGTCATTTGCGCTATAGTTGAAGAGTATGCATAATTTGGGTGTAAATTGCTAACCAGTGAAATATATGTAAGCATAGATATATTAATTTCGCTCTAATTGACATCGGGATTGTCGTCCGTTAATTTTGCGAATTTTGTATGAAATTAGTATGTAAATCGATCTCAGGTTTATGTTTTTACGTAAGTATGTAAATAAGTATGTAGATTTCGTACTTCGGATTAATTGAATCCTTTGAAAACATTGCAGCAAAATTCGAACTCGTCGTAAATTACGACTTAGGAAGAAATTTTGTTACAGAAATTTTGCTAATTTTGTGCGAAATTAGTATATCAATCTGAGCTTCATGTTTCTAATTTTCAGCTAGTAATTGAATCCTTTGAAAACAAATTGCAAATTCGCAATTTGCAAAATTCGAAGTTTAGGATAGAAATTTTGTTGCAGAAATTTGAGCCAAATTCAGTTTAACCAAAACCACAGAGAAGCTATCACCTTTCCACGTGGTGGGTAATTTTCCGAACGTATGTACATAAATAAATGCTCGTATTTTCCATTTCACAGCATGAAAACCAACTCTTCTGCGACAACTTGTGTACCCAAATTTTTGCTTGGATCAAAGAAGAACCACATGAAACGAAACGGGGCGTTGAACGCTCTCAGCATGTGACTCGTTTTGGCGTGGCGAGTTTAAAAAGAATATTTAAATTCAAACGTGACAACCTCATCTCCTCCAAATGAAGCATCATCCAGTCAACTTGAAGGGTTTTACGGCCACATAAAAACTCTTTATGAATAATACGCCGACAACAGGGGCCGCGGAAGCGGGAGGGGACAGAGGGACAATGTCCCATTATCTTCCCATCTTATACAAACCCCTGCCTCCCCCATCCTACAATGTTAATGTCCCCAGATGTCCCCACAGTTTCCGCGGCCACTGATTACATACGTACAACGCGAAATTCACAGGTTGGCTATTACATTACAGTGGCCGCGGAAGTGTAGGAACAGAGGGATAATGTCCCCACGGTTGTTCGATGTCCCCATCATCTCCCCATGTTACGTAAACCCCTCCCTCTCCTATCCCACAATGTTAACGTCCCCAGATGTCCCCGCTGCCTCCGCGGCCACTGGGAGAATTAGGGCTACTCAAATGTATGTGTGTGTCCAGTGGCCGCGGAAATGTAAGGCCGAAGGAACAATGTCCCCAGCATCTGTCCATTATTTATTTATTTATTTATTTATTTCATACAATGAAACACCCCAAAAGATTGGGTCATTACGTTTCAAGGACAGACAAGTCTTATATATATAATATAAACAGTTACATTTCTTCGTCATTATCAATTAGATTAAAAATATCAATAATTCGTTCTTCGCGTTGCTTATCAATAAAATACTTCTTGGATAATTTTTTAAAAACACTTTTACTGGTATTACCACTAAGTAAATTACTCGGTAAATTGATCATGACCTAGGACGCTCTATACCTGAAACTTTTCAGCATGATTTTTGAGTTACACGGTATATTTGGCTCAACATGTGTTGCGGATCGTGTTTGCCTAGTTTGTATTACCTCATAATTAATATAATTATTAAATAGAGAAGGACATAGACAATTTACCATATTAAAAGATAGTTTCGATATTTCAAACTTTGCTATGTTGTCCGCATTCAGCCATTCGAGATCCATATACATATCATCAGTAATATTATCATATTTATGCTTGTTTAATACATATCTAGCACACGATCTTATGAGTTTCTGGATACATTTGATATTCTGATTACCAACTAAGTAGACTGGAGAGGCATAATTAATAATAGACATGATGAGGGAGTTCACAACAATATTTCTATGGTACGTACTGAGTAACATTCGAAGTGGTCTAAGCGTCCATAAACTACTGTAACATTTTTTGACAACTGCAGTACAATGATCCTTAAATTCAAGACAATCATCAATAATAACTCCCAATAGCTTTACTTTATGTACCCTCTTAATCGGTTTATCGCCTAATCGAACAACAATATCACTGAGTAGTGACCTATGCTTTTTTAGAGCAAATACCATCATCTCACACTTATCAGGGTGCAATTGTTGTCTACTTTGATCCATCCAAGCACATAATGATTTTAAATCAGATTCTAAGTTAGATATTACAGTTTCGATCTTATCAATGTCACCCGCCATGATAAGACCAGTATCATCTGCAAACATTACAGCAGAGCAGTACTTCAGAATGGTCCATGTTGTATAAAGAACCCCTTCCTCCCCCATCCTACAATGTTAATGTCCCCCCATGTCCCCACGGCTTCCGCGGCCACTGGTCGACAACGAAAAACACGGCGTTTTCACCCAGTTTTCGCGATGCAAAGTGTGTGTGTTTGTGAATATAAAGAGGAAGCATAAAAGCAGCACGGTCTTCATTATGTCATTTTTTTGTAGTATGTACCTGGAAATCTATTCAAATTTAGAATTGTTGTCGTCAGAGTACGGGAAATGGGAGGCTTAAGGACATTTGATTCTCTGAGAAGTAATCCGTAGATTTTAGGTTTACAAAAAGGAATTTTCATTTTTATAAAGATGCCGTTTTTTGGGATTTGTAGAAAACTTGAAAATAATCTTGTTTGGGGTTTTTGGGGACGTTGAGAGTAAAGAATAAGTGAATTGAAGAGTAACTTTATTCTTATTTAAGGCAAACTGTGAGGTTTTTAAAGTAATATTTTTAGTAATATTTTTTACTTTATTTAAAGTTGGAAAATCTTGCTTTAGTGCGAAATAAATACGTTATTTATCAATCTAAACTTATCTAAATATGGATCAGCACTATAGGTATTGTATTTTTGCATGAAATTATTTTTTTTATAATAACATTTACTAGAACATTTACAAGTTCTGCTCATTTTCATTTTTTTTGCAAATTCTCATCACCAGCAAAATTTAAAATAATATGTAAATAATGGGATCACCAGTTGTCATAAAATTACATATGTACACCTGCCCATCCTTGTCTCCCAGAGCGTCTGATTATGTATTAGCTTGAGGAAAAGCGGAGACAATTAGATACCCACCACAATTTTGTTACACTAGTCAACCCCTAATTTTTTGTGCAGATTTTTCTTTTGTATAAATAAATACGTATATTTCGAGCTAGTTTGTAAGGTGTGTATGTATATATGCAAATTGCAATATTTAGCCCCTACTTATCAACAGCACTTTAAATTATCATGATTCAAATTTAAAATGGTTTGCAGGTACCAAAAATAAATGTGTAGAAAATAACATTTCATATTAAATCCCCCATTTAGTAAATATTTAATTTACTGTCTTAAGTAGCATAAAAGTAGCCAAAATTATAGATCTGTCCCCCAACAAGACCCATGTCTCGACCACGGAAACGTCCCAGCCCGAGACATGTTATAATTTACTCATGTTTTCAAAAAATGACCAGACCATAACTTACCTTTTTATGTGGTGTCGTTGACTTTTGAATTTTTTCAAGTCATGAAATTACTCCATTTTTTCATTTGCCAACAGGTAGCAAATCCTTCCTCCCCCCAGAAAAAAATTTGACACAAACTTGTCTAAATATTTAGTTATGCAAGTTACAAAGTAAGTAAAATAGTTTCCCGTCTCGGTCGCGTAACTGCGTGACGATGATGATTGATAAGTAGTAAAAGAGTTAAATACGTAGCTGTCAAGTTGTGATGATAATAATTCGTAGTCTCGTTTTTTTCTCTTAACGTAATAATGAATCACTCACTTATCATAAAAATATGTCTGTAGGTAAATTTATAAATCTCGCTTTCATCCATATGAAAATGTTGCTTGGTTTTAAGACGTAACTGTAATCTGTCACAGGATCAGATATTCATGAATCTGATAAGATAAAGATGCGATCCAAGTTCACTTTTCGTAGTAAAAATGGCAATGAAAACGATAACCAAGTTGGTAACAATTTTGTAAATATGTTGTTTTTTTCTTTTAATTTTTAGAGCACCCTGTATAATTTAGCACCAAAGTTAAAGTTTCTGTAGCGTATTTATGTATGTACCGTTCAAAAAATTAATGTCGTCTAAAACACTGCACTGCTATAGTTAATTTATTTATGCAAAAATTTGCAATATTTTTTATAAAGTTTTTTTTTCTTCGAAATTTTAGGAAACTTATTTGGTAAAATTCCTCACTTTCTGTTGTCGGTTAAAAGCTAGTCGGTGTTTTTTCCTGTTTTTTGCTTATCGGGAAAACAACGACACGAAGGAGAAAGGAGGAAGTAACCTCACTCTCAACCGAAGTCAGATCTCAACTGAGCCCCGAATTGAGAAGTAGTCGGGTAAAATATGTAAAAGCTTACCCCGAATTCGGACTGAGCACAAGACGAAACGGGGACTCATGTCAAATATCAGGCAGTAAAAGGATTAAAAATGTGCATTATTTTTTCATACTTTAATTTTCAGGTGGTGGTAGCACGAGTTTCTATATTTGCAATTCGACTAAAATAGTAATTTGCACTATTTCGTCGCAAAATTTGATCGATTTTGTCTATAATTATAAATACGTACCTGTTTTTGTTTATATTTACCTATACGAAAATACGAATATGGTACATAACTTGAGAAATGGTGGGCACGTGGCGTCATTAATTTTGTATTGGCGAGTCAATAAATTTATTTGCGTTTGGTACGAAGAAATGAGATCGATGGGATTGTAGGTCATTTTCATTTCCAATTATGAACTCGTCATTTCATTAGATTCGATCAATTCGGTGCTGCTAATTTAATTAGTGAGTTACACCCACGTTTATGCGTATAGATGCAAAGTTTATTCAGAAATTGGTATGCAAATTGGGAACAAATTAATTCAATTTTCTTGGAATAAGTTAAGAACAATAATGTAACAGAGAGAAGTAGGTTAGAAATTGCTATTTTGACGTGATGATTTCACTGGAACTGCAATGTTGAAAGGAACCAGGTGAGAATTTGGTTGGGGGGATAATTACACTGTTAGAAATCTGGTATAGTCAGAGGCAGGTATTGAATTCTCGGTGTTAAAGTTGCTACCGCTTGGTATTAAGGTTATACCGGTCCGTAAAAATTTGTTACTGACATGGTAAAACTTTAATACCGAGGTGCTACTACAGCGTATTACTTATCAACACCACTTTAGTATGAATACCGCTTGGCATTAGTTTAATACTGCATTTCTACACTCTTAAAAATCTGGTATAGTCAGAGGTAGGTATTGATTTCTCGGTATTAAAGTTGCTACCGCTTGGTATTAAAATTATACTGATCAGTAGAAATTTTCTACCGATATGGTAAAACTTTTATACCGAGCTATTACTTCACGGTATTACTTATTAATATCACACTTTGGTAGAGTCATACATGACTACGGCTTGGTACTGTTTTAATACTGGATTTCTAAGAGTGTGTGTACGTCAATTACCTGCACTTCATTAAATGATTGATCCATGCATATTTTAAGGTAGTGAAGAATGTCAGTTCAGTGAAATTAGTCAGTGTATCGTTTTACTTTGTTGTTCTCACTGTGCATATTAAAATGAAGGGTAGCTATTAAATAATTGCGGTACATACACACACTGCAGCCAAGGGTGACTTTTTATTCGTCAGTAAGAACGTCCTATGCACAAAGTATAGTATTTAGTAATTAAGTGCTGAAAGCGAAATCGGAATGATTATTATGGTAATGAGAGCGAGCATACGCCGTAGAAGGCGACACAGCCCAAGCACAACGTGTCACTTTCTTTCCTAAATTATGTCTTGTGGATGGCGAATAATGGCGAATTTCGAATAATAAGGAGTAGATTTACTACAATAAATTGTTGACCTATGAAATTGTGCTCTTGATGAAAGTGAATTCATGAGTAATAAGAAGTTCCGATACATTTTTTGAGGATGCAAAACCGGATGCATTTCTAATCCATATTGGGCGTAATGTTTAAGTAAATGCGTATGTAACAGCGAAAAATAAGGTTATTATGTACGTGTTTGCGTGGGGATCTTGTTATTGACGCCACGGGTTTGACATTCGCCTACAGATTTGCTACAGTGACGTAAATATGTAAATATGTATGTATGAAATTTCGAAAATTATAAATATCTAACTTGGTAAAAATTCCTACATAAAGTCATTAATACTTATAGAAAGACGTAATTATTACCAAAATCAATTGGGGTATTCATTTACGAATTTGTATATATGTTCGCACCGCAATATAGTGCTAAAAAAATTGCGAACTAGGTAAATATTTATGAGTCTTGGAGATGCGTAAATTGAAATTCGCATATGAATTTCCAATCCAAATTTGTTTGTGAACTTTGTTTTTTTATTGCTAATGATACACTCGTAATGAATACCCCCAATATTTTCTTGACATTTGCACATAATCTGAGATCATTTTCTAGAGATTCTTAGAATCATGATTAAAATGAGATTGATAATTTTAAAGGTCAATGGAAGCTCATGTCCTGATTTTAGGTCATGATATTATCCATAAAAGTGTTTACTTATTTTCGTAAACTTTTTTTCTTACCTTAAATTTGCATTTTATTAATTCCTTCTTAACCAAGTAAACTGTAACATAGTCGGTAAAATAACATTGTTGCGTTATGTTATACATTTCGCATTATCACCTAATTTAATTTCTTGACAGCTTCATACTAAGCTAGCAAAGAGGAAATTGAACAAGTCTCTTGAGTTGAGGCTCAATTTTTTTTATCACATCATCACCTACACACATTTCTTCATTAAGTACAAAATCTTGCTCAAGAATCTTGAGTCAAGATTCTGTAACAAACCTGCGAAAATTGAACCTACACGATTACTTATTTTATACCTTGTTAAGACATCAATCTTCTTACATATGCCTAAAATGTGGTTCAAGTTGCGTCATACGGTTTCCCATTAATTTTATGTATGTACATATATGCATACTTACATAAAGTGGCCGCGGAAGCTTGAGGGGACAAAAGAGGGACAATGTCCCCACGGATGTTCGATGTCCGAATCATCTCCCCATGTTATATAAACCCCTGCCTCCCCCTATCCCACAATGTTAATGTCCCCCGATGTCCCCACGGCTTCCGCGGCCACTGTGTACTTACATAAATAAGTGTGGCAGTAGGTTGGAGCTGGCTATTACATAGATTAATCTTTAATTACATGGATACATTGCACCCTCTTCATTATGGGGAGATAGATGCATCTCATAAAATATACAGATAATTATGGTGAAGGTTAAAGTTGTAATGGTTTCCGTCTGGAGGAATTCATAGGATGCTTGTCTTCAAGGAGGAGGAAAACATGAATAAAATACTTTGTCTGGACTGGAGAGGAGTGCAACTTGATCATAATTACGTGAGAACAATGGAATTTGAGAAGACAATGAAAACTGCAACCGACGGGTGAATCAGGTAAAACACGAAGGTAACAAAAGCCTGCTGAAATCTTATGATGAGAACCAAGACATAATTGTGTCGTCATAAAACCAGGCGGAGGGTGGAAATTGGGAGGATAAATGGTAAGATAAATGTGCACCATTTTGTGCACAAAATTTATGGCAGAGCTTGCATGGTTTAGTTAGTTTAAGACGTATCGAATAAGACATAGAACAATGCAAAATCTGACTTTAACTTGCATACAGCTTGGTTTGCTTAAGACTTATTTACAACAATGCAGAATCTGACTGGGTTTGATGTGACGCTAATGTGCAGACTTGATGGTGATGACGGCATTAAATGTATGTACATGTATTTGGCTCTCGTAATCTAATGGGTGGCACAGCAGGTAATTTAAATCCTAAATTAGCTTTGTAAGTATGTATACATACCACTGCACTGCCTTTACTTTACTTTAGCTGCAAATCTATGGGAAAATTTGCAGAAAATGTGATGGGAAGAATTTACTCCCATTTGCATCTCGACTTTTGCAAGGAACGTTACGTTACGTTACGTTTTGCTGAAAGTAAGAGTAAAGTAAAGTTAGTGATACGTCGTCATCATCATTTACATACATTTTGTGGAGGAGCTGTTGACTTTATCTATCTATCGGGGCTAAATTATCATAATCAAATTCACTCGGTTAGTAAGTTAGTGAAAGATTTCTGCACGTGGAGGAGTGGATTTGAAAGTTAGATTTTATTTTTGAAGTGATCATCTCGGAAAAAAAGTGTACAATACATTGTTAAAAAAAGTCAAATGTCAAGTTGAATGTGCAATTTGTGTGTTGGGAAAAATGAGACGAAATTTAATGCCATAATCGCATACATAAAATTTGCATGCAATCCATCACGCGAGGAGGAAATGTGCTAAAAAAACAAAAGTGAAGTTCTCCTTTTTTGTTTACTTATTCCGGACAAAATATCAATTTAGTGCTGAACTCATGTTTAATACCAAAGGTCACCATTTTGAGACAGCTTTGGACAACAAATGTGACATCATAGCTCATTTCCGTAAGGAAAAGAAGTGCATTTACGAAAATGATACAGGACTGGAAGATTCCTAGGAATAAAAAATCTAGGATAAAAAAAGTATCGAAAATAGATTTCAAAAATCGTCCCATTTCAGGAAATGATGAACCCATTTCAGTATTATTACGAAGAAGAAGGAGCAATTTTATTATTTTCTCATCAGTATCACCCCGTCTAATGGAGACAACAATGCGACTTTTCCTCTTATTTTTATCACTTTCCATCTTCCCAGCGGTAGCATGTGGTCCAAATCCGGGCCCGATAATGGGCGAGATAACAACAACACCGGGTAAAAGTGGGAGCGGGACTTATTCCCTCTTTCCTGATGAGGACTTGCGAACCGGAAAGAAAATTCGGTTTGACGATGAACGCAGTAATTTGGACAGAGGGCGACCATTTCCGCAGCCACCATTTGAAAATCGAGATTACATCAGAGATCGTGGAGTGGGGGATAGATATCGAAGCACGTCATCTTATCCGATCGTGTTTGAAGATAGACTCCATCGCCCGGGAGATTTTGGAGGAAGGTTTGATAATCGGGACAGGAATCAGCCTCCTCTTCATCTCGACCCATTCAGACCGAGAGGGTCGTCGTCCCGAGTGTATTTTGATGATGAGAGGATAAGCCTAGATAACCACAGAGATCGAGATAACCACCGAGATCGAGATAACCACCGCTACCGAGATGGTCGATACTACCACGATGATACCCGGTTTCCAACCCCGCCATCAAAACAGCACAATTATTATGATAACCGTTTCACTCAACAAAATTATCGGGATGAGAAACCTCACCTACTGGACAGACCGATAAGCCCGTTACGACCTTATCATCACTACTACTACCCCGATATCCCACCAGGTCCTAGTCACTCCAAACTCCCGGTGGGCGCCACCCTCGGAAACGTAAATAGGAACAGTGACCCCGTGCGAATCCACGTTTTCGACCCGGCCTCAAACTCTTTCGGGAATCCGAGAAATTCAGCAAGTTCAGGAACTAATTCCAATTCCTTCCAAGAGAACGAGGGTCCAAGTCCCGAACTATTTTTGAACCATGACGAATACTTAGAATACCACCGAAAAATCGGGGTTGTGCGAGAGCAGGAATTCCGAAAGTTGCAGCAAGCACTCGGCGCAATTAAACCCCCCACGACCACAATTTCCCCTCTTAACGCCTCCGACGGCTCGAGACGCGTCCTCTTCACGGCACAACAACCCTTCGCCCCATCCCCGGGACTTTCTCCGCCTGCTCGTGACGCAACGACGCCGCATCCCGGGGAGAAAATCCAGACCCAAGGGCAGAGTCCAATTAGGGCAGAAAAAGTGCGAAATAATGAGAATAATAGTGGTGGTGGTCAAGTACCCGTCGCAATTTACACGGGTAGTAGTGGTGGTGGTAGTAGTGACGATAAGAATGACGGTGAAGTGTCACTTGTCAGCGTCGTGGAGGAGAAAATTCCTCCGAAAAAACCGAATCATCAAACTATTCCTCCTCGAGAAGATAGTAGTACTGATAGGAAAAGTGTTGTTAGTGGTGGTGGTAATAATAATAATCATAATCATAACGAGGCCAGTAATAGTGGTAGTAGTGTCTCACATCATCGACACCATAAAGGTAATAATAATGATGAGACGACGAGAAGAAATCCTAAAAATGTGGGAGTAGAAGAAGAAAGTGAATCTCCGAAAGCTCAAGTGACCCGAATCCTCCTTCCCCCCGAAGGCTTCTCCTCGAGCAGTAGTAGCAGACCAAGTTTTATATCAAAGTCGGGACGTCGCCTAGCGTATGAGCAGATTCAGAGGCAGATTCATAATCAGCAAAGAAATGAGACGGGAGGGTCGCAAAAAGCAGAGCACAACGGTTATCCAACCGTGAATTATCACAATTTTGATGTGAGACAACCCTTGATCACTTCCGTTGTTCCAAAGTTTGATGACGATGACGCTTCAAGTGTCGATGAGGGGGATAAAATTGATAAGGTGACAACGGCAAAAAGTACGTCAACCTCGACCTCGACGACAACAACGGGGAAAAGTACATCAACGTCAACTTCTACAGATCGAAATTATGGGACACCATCGACAGCAACGGCATTATCGCTGGTTGAGATTCCTAACGAAGAAGCAAAGATCGACTTTGGGCAACCTGTCGATGATAAGCTTGTCCCATTTTCAGGTATTTATGAGTCTAATTGTTATGCAAAATCTTTATTTTAACGGTGCCACGCCAAAAATTGCAAAGCTTCACCTTCTGCTTTGATCGGTGTCATGTCACATTTTTTGCATTTGCTTCTTCTTCTTCACGGCTTAATTAATTACTTACTCTATTAATTGCTTACTCCAATTTTTGATGCATAACTAAAACTAAACTACTTAAAATTAGTTTGTGCTTACACGCCACAAATAATTATATTTTTTTACCCTCTATTCAAACCAACATTGTTCTGTCACTTGGTATAAAAATTGTACATATTTACAGAAAATTTATGCATTTAAACCATTTAAAAATTTAGGTTCATTTCTTAAAACGTTTTCTTTGTCACCTGTCAACCTCTAACCTTGCGATTTAAAGTTATGCAGGAAAATATGTACGGTAGGCAGACTACGACAACAAAGACGCTATTACACGTAAATATGCATCACATAATAAATTAGTGACTTATGTTTAACCCATGTTACTAAAACAATTAGCCATTCCATTAGTAAAACGTGACATTTAAACGCTACCTCAACTGAACAAATAAACGGATGAGAAGAATTAGTATTAGTCACTAACTGACTTATGTACAATTTAGTACAGACTGCAGCATGACCGTGACGAGAATGTATGTACATACATAAATATGTACATATGTATGAGAAATAGTTAATTGTTTTTCTCAGCGGTGGTAGTAAATACCAGATATACATAAATGGAAATAGGTATCATGAACTAATTACCTACATACATACTCATTCTTACAGCATCTTCAATAGCTACGTAGAATTACATAGTGATGACTACTTTATTACATAGCATTCAGTGACAAATTTTTGATACCATAAAAATAAAGACATTAAAAAAAGTTATGTATGTCTTTCCAGATAATAGAGTGGAAATTAAGAATTAAAATTTATTTAATAATTAATTCCTTTTTCGTGTCCCTGTAATAGATAATTTTTTTTAATGAATTCACTCAGGTATTTTCGTACATATGTAAAAGATCCTTCCCTTTTTAAGTCCCACCCTAATCTTATCCAGGATAATGTAGATAAGTTAAATAATAATTGAACTCGTCGTCGTCATTAAGTTTATCATCTTGAGGTCACAAATTTTGATTAGATTAGATATTGACAAAATGAAATCTAATCTTCGCCCTTACACAAAATCATGTATGCAGAATTATGTACTTACTTATGTCCCAGACTTTACGAGTACAAGCAAAATATCAAAAAGTCTCAAGGTGAAGTGAATCTTCATTTGTTTTCATATACCACTAAATAAATTAAGTCTCAGAATTTGATAAAAATGTTTAAATAATTGATTTCCGTTGGAAGCTGAGCAAAAATGAGTGTGGGAAACACCAAGTTTTCGTTATTCATTAAAAAGTAATCGTTTTATGAGTCCCTCTCCGTCCATCCAATCGTAACGTACTTAACATGCATTCATGAGTAGGTACATAGATAAGTAGACAGGTAACGTACGTGGATAAGTGCTGAGTATAATTTTTACCAATTTATTTGCTTCCCTTGCATGCCCATGGCCCATGGCCCCACCAATTTTCTTTCGGAGGAAGGAGGACAAATGCACATTTATTTAGTTTCAGAGGAAATTAGGGTGCCGTACTTAATTCAATGGTCAAAAAAATTACGTATCAAGGAAATCCTAGCATGCATGCATTCAAACTTTATTTTACTTTTCGCCCATAATTTGGAGACAATTGTACTGCAGAAAATGAATTACGTTTTGTTTTGCCTTTCATTTTTTCTAGGGGAAATGGATATACTATGAATTTCTTGAATTAAGTCAGATCAATTATCTCCACATTTTTCACACGCTTTTATTTCATTTTATTTAGTAGTCCAATGTCAACAATCTTTCTTCACATCGAATCACATTTTATAGTTTAGTTACATATGTTACGGTGCTATTATTTATCTAAATAAATAGAGAATAATAATAATGATGATGATAATAATTGTATAAAAATGTGAATATAAGTAAGTCAAAGTCAGATTTTGATTAAGTGTCACAAACAAATTGTGTACGTAAGTGTAGTCTTTTTACGTTTTTTCTTTGCTTGAGCTGACTTGGACAAAGGAATGAATTTGCGTTGCATGCGATGAAAAATTGAAGAATGGATGCAAAATGAAGTGCAATAATTGTACATAATTCGTACCAAATTTCACGCTATGATGCAGCAGCACATTTTACATGCACACCTACACACACAATTTTTGGACACAAAAATATACCAAATTTCACCCACCCACACCCACTCACTTTCACTCAAGATTCGTGTTTTTAATGACAAAATACACAATTTATAAGATCGCTTACATTACATTACATTTTAATAGATCCGACCAAACAGATCAACAGAACATTGGGCAGGAATAATTATTCAAAACAGGAACACGCACCCAAATTTCCACCGGTCTTATTACTGTCCAAGGACAACGACGCCAATAAGAAATTGGGAACGGAAGCTGCCTCCAAAAGTAGCAAATCTAGAATTAGAACCCAATCTGGGGATAAAATTGCAATAATTAAACAACAAGAGTTAAAACAGAGGCGAAAAAAATTAAGTAAAGCGTCCCATTTGCATAAGGGACATGAAAACGAGGAGGTCTTCATCCAAACAAGATCAGTACCGCAAAATTCATTTGGGAAACAATTATCAAATTTTCAAATTCCCCTGCAAAATTCTTCAAATTTTCCATTCAATTTTGGGGAACAATCGAATTTCCGAATTCCTCTCCTCCCCGAAAAACCGAGGGGATTACGAGTTAAACAAATAAAGAGCATGGAACTTCGCAGCAATCACGACGTTGATTATTATCCCAGTAATAAAAATGATACCATTAACACGCATCTGCTCATGAACGGCCACCCATTTCTTGACAATAATGACTTGATTGACCCTCAATTTTCTGTGGAATTTCTTCTGTCGCAAAAAAACAATGGGAATAATAACGCGGAATTACAAGACGATCATTTCACCCTCATTAATCAGAACAATGACCAAGTTGACATTGACGATGGTCCAACTCCGCCCAAAATTGTATTATTACCGGACAATAAAACGATACCATTTCCTCACCATCGCCAAGCCGATATTCATATTGACCTTAACAACAATGACGACGGAGATAACTTAATTTACATGGGGAGTAGCCGCGCAAGTGATGACGATGACGATAAAATGACCAAAAATAATAACGCTGCCTCAAATTTTATTAAAGTTGTCCGACTTAAAAACCCTTCCGTTTCTTCTTCTGCTAATTCTGCTGCTAATTTGCGAACCGCTGCTAAAACCGTGTCGATGTTCATGGCGGAAAAAATGGATTATATTTCTTCTTCCGCGACCAAAAAGAAGGATGGTGCTTATCTTGTCGAGAAAAAAACGCGGCCGCCTCGCGTCCTGCTGTCCAGCTCGATTAACGCTACGACGCTTTCTTTCCTAAAGTCTAGATTTTATTCGGGAAAAAAGAGGGGTAAAAAATCTGATACATTTTTAGAATCTGCAACAGCAAAATCGTCATCGACGCAAAATGTTGAGCTATCAACCGTTTTGGATGGTGCAAAATTGAACAAAACGAGGACAGATGACGAGCCGGAGATGAAGATGAAGATCACGATGACCTCGTCCACCTCGGTGGGCGTTATTGCGAAGGTGCACGCGCACGTGTCGCACTGTCCAAAGGTGAAAAGTCCGGCGGAGATTATTTGCGATATTCACATCAGGGACAGTCATGGTCATCCAAATCCCCAATTGGTGAGTTAAATTATGTAGATACAAGGGAGGTCTCCCAGCGGATGCTCTCGGATTTTGAGCAAATTAGTGGGAAATGATCATAAATGTAATTAATATGAAATTTGCGAAACACACGATCTCCCAATGGGCACGTTTGGCCGAGATATTTGCATCCGAAGAGGAGAAAACGCACAGTAAATTTGGAAAGTGTAAAATTGTCATATCTCAATGTCAGAAAAAAAATATGGAAAACAAATAAATTTAATAAAACATGATCAGATCGACACTCGCTTACCTCGGGTCTTCCATGTAGTAAACTTGGAAAGTTAAAAATTTGTGAGCTTTTCTCCCCTTCGGATGCAAATATCTCGGCCAAACGTGCCCATTGGGAGATCGTGTCTTTCGCAAATTGCATCCTAACTAAATTTATCATCGATTGACACTAGTTTGCTCAAAATCCGAGAGCATCCGCTGACTTACGTCCATTGTTACAAATAAAATAAATAAGTTAGATACATATCCGTCCCTTTATTACCCTTGACATCGCACAATGGCATCTTGACCTTGGTGTCTGTACAACATCTTTCAGAGATGTGGAGCCATTTCTTGGTTATTGTCCGTGTCAAGCGGCATGACGGGGACACGAAATGGGATGAAGAATCAATTATTCACCCTTTAATCATGCCTCCACTTCCTTCGAGCATGCATCAATTGGCACGGAGAATCGTCATCAGCACCCATAAATTCATTACGGGCGTACGTTCTCGTCAGTCAACGAACCATTAACCTGAAACTGAGGTAGTTCGACTGAGGAAATTGAATTCTCAACTTGAAACTGCATTTAAATTTCATGATGATGATGACGATGGGAATAAGAGGGTCGTGGTTCGTGGTTGGGTTGGGTAACGCATGAAATATTGAGCGTTTGTGATGATATCCAGGGGGCGGATATGCAGGTATTTGCAAAAAATTGTGTACGAAATACGTAGGAAAAATAAAAATAAAAATTTTCGCAAAATTTGTAGTCTATTGATTTCATGGATTTTTTGTGGTTCAATTTCTTCAAGGAAAAAATTTCGTTGTTACAATATTTACAAAAAATATATGTATTACAAAAAATATGTAAAAGATTTGCGTATTTAAAAAAATGGCGGAAATATTTATATTTCTGAAAACCTATGTGACGATAGGTAAAAATATTTTGAAATTTTTGAGATTTATGCGAGTTACGCACAAAGTTTGGCCGTCAGTCGTCATCAAAGGAGAAAGTTGAAAATAAATACATATCCACCCTCTGGTCATATCCATGTAGAGTAGACGACGCAGTATGTATTTCTCCTTGTTTTGCCAACTTATGAAAAGTAGGTTGATGAATCCATCCGACCAAACGTAGCGACTAATTAATTTAATGAATTGTCCCAAGTTGGCCAGCAGGATCGCTGTGTCGGCTCCATTTTGTAAATGGGGTGACTTTGAAATATTCAGGTATATGAATGAATGACTTGACTGGGAGAGCAGGCAGGCAGGCAGGGGGATTCATTATTTAAGCATTTTGTACATTCGTACTTCATGAAAATGATAGCTTGGCGAGTAGTGGTACTTGATCCAGTAGCAGAAGTGGCCGCGGAAGCCGTGGGGACATCTGGGGACATGTAGGTGTTCCATTTATTTAAGCATTTTGTAAGTAGTGCATACTGATGAAAATGATAGCTTGGCTAGGCCACCAGTGGTACTTAACAGTGGCCGCGGAAGCCGTGGGGACATCGGGGCACATTGCCATTGCAGGATAGGGAGGTGGAACGGGTTTATATAAGATGGGAAGATGATGCGGATATCGAACAACCGTGGGGACATTGTCCCTCTTTTGTCCCCACGCTTCCGCGGCCACTGTACACTAGTGGATCTCACGGTCTAGGTGGTACTTTGTCCAGGTAGAAAATGTATAAATGGAAATCAGAGAAGAGAAGAGGACCACTTTCACTCGAAATTCACTGAATGAATGAATGAATGAAGTGAAAGTCAAGTGACTGACTGGTGAAAGTCAAGACAAATGTCAAAGTTGAAGCTATGAAATCATTTTGTAAAACGGTGACTGACTTTGGTGGTGCCAATTTCGTGAAATTGTTCAAAATCCTATCATATCATGTCCTTCCCGAAATTTGAAGCATCTAAATATTTTAATTTTGTGGCAATTTATAATTAAATTAAAGTTGTAACCGGAATTGAAAGTTGACAAAAAATTAAAGATTTTTGATAAATTTTTGGTTTACAACGGTTTGGGTAGATTTTAAAAATACGCATAATTAATTATGAATTGTTGTAAAGATTTCATTGTTTTCCATTTTGGTTGATTGACATTCGTAATTTTAACGAGTTTCTAAATAGCGTTCGTTATGCAACTTTGCATGTGAATTGAATCAGTGGCCGCGGACGCCGTGGGGACATGTGGGGCCATTAACATGGTAGGATAGGGGGAGGGAGGGGTTTATATAACATGGACAGATGATGCGGACATCAAATTACCGTGGGGACATTGTCCCTCTGTCCGCACACATCCGCGGCCACTGCATAATGTACATATCTTTGAGTAGCCTGAATTGTCCCCAGTGGCCGCGGAAGCCGTGGAGACATTAACATTGTAGGATAGGGGGAGGGAGGGGTTTATATAACATGGCGAGATGATGCGGACATCGAATAGCCGTGGCGACATTGTCCCTCTGTCCCCTCCAGCTTCCGCGGCCATTGGTATTCATCCACGCCTTTAGACGAGCAGTTAGGTTATCATCATGGGTCCAAATTGAATTTTCGTTGCCGACAATGACTAAATTATTCGGTGAGACGAACGGTGTAAAAAATGTAGTTTTTTTAACTTGTAAAATGTTGATGCCAGTAACGGTAAAAATATGAAGTAATATTATTTAGTTAAATTATAAGATGAAAGTCGTGATCAGGCACCAGAATTACTATGACGATAGTCCCTCCCTCAACCACTTTTTCTCTATAGGGACTCTCAAGAACTGCTATAAACTGATCGGAAATGTAAACAACGTAAAATTGCGCGATCGACATGCAATTCAAAACTTACGCATTTTGTAACCTTAAAAATACATTTTTAATTTATTTTTATCGCCATGACCTTTTTTTCGACACCATATGACCTGACTGACTAAAATTGCGCGATCGACTTGAAATTCAAAACCTAAGCGTTTTGAGACTTGGAAAATACATTTCTAATTTATTTTTATCGCCATGACCTTTTTTTCGACACCATATCGCGCAATTTTAGTGAGTCAGGTCATATGGTGTCGAAAAAAAGGTCATGGCGATAAAAATAAATTAAAAATGTATTTTTAAGGTTACAAAATGCGTAAGTTTTGAATTGCATGTCGATCGCGCAATTTTACGTTGTTTACATTTCCGATCAGTTTATAGCAGTTCTTGAGAGTCCCTATAGAGAAAAAGTGGTTGAGGGAGGGACTATCGTCATAGTAATTCTGGTGCCTGGTCGTGATCTGTATCCAGGACTAAAAGCATGGCATTTATGGCAGTTAGGATATGACAATTTAAAATTTTGCCTTCGTATGTAAGTGTACAGGGTATTTCTGTCATGGATTTATTTTCATGCCCAAAATACCATGAATATATTCCCAGCCAGAAATTTGTTTTCATGGTCAAAATTCCATGAATTTCTTTCCATGCCCAAAATGCCGGGGACATTTATGCCATGCCCTGAATTCCATGCACAACTCTTTTCATGACACAACGAGTGACATGCGACACTTGAAACTTTAGTCAAACACTGAAACTCCATTTGCATAGCTTAATTAAAGCCTTTGCAAAGTGACAAACTTTTTCGAGAGTGTGATTCTTAAAGAAAGGAAGTAATTATAAGAGACCAACTCCTTAAGAACTAACACCTCGGAGAAGGCATAATTTGAATTCCGAAATGCAAATGTCATCAGTGGCCGCGGAAGCGTTCCTGAGGACAGAGGGACATTGCAATGTCCCCGCGGTTATTCGATATCGGCATCATCTACCTATCTTACACAAACTCGCCCCTCCCCTATCCTACAATGTTAACGTCCCCCGATGTCCCCACGCTTCCGCGGCCACTGGGCGAATTCATGCTACTCAATTGTATGAAAATTATGCAGTGGCCGTGGAAGTATGGGGACGGAGGGACAATGTCCCCACGGTTATTTGATATCCGCATCATCTCCCCATGTTATACAGACCCCTCCCTCCCCCAATGTCCCCACGGCTTCCGCGGCCACTGAATGTCATCAAGCTCCTTACAAAGTCTTATTTTCACACGAAACACGAAAACTTGCATAAGAATGCACTTTAAAAGTCTGTCAGACCCGTAAACTAATTACGCAATGGTAGAAGAAGTTTGGTATAATTGTAAGACGCCCTTTGGGGACAAAAGGGTGATGCATGCAAATAAACAAAGTAAAATTTCGTGTAATAAGTAATCTCATCCCCCGCACTTCATCCCCACCTACTTGCGAAACCTTGACAAGTTTTCCAATAAGAAAGAAAATGTCAAGGTGCAGAAACTTTTATCTTTTTTGAGTGACGTAAACAGGGACGAAAATTCAGAGGTGGGTAAAATACTTGTCAAAATATTTTCACTATTTTGACCTAAGTACAGGGTTTGGATTTCCGGGGGTGTTACACCCACAAAAAGACGAAAATCTACGAGGAGAAGGAAACAGTCAGACGAAAATACAGGTTTTGTGAAGAAATTCACTTTGTATCGCTGTCAAAATACCTTTAAAAAAATGAAAAAAAGATGGATTTTGTATATGTTTGGCACCGTTAAAAAGTGTTTTTATAAAAAATATTGAAATTCGAATGTATACAATTCTCATTCCAGGAGCGGATTTTTGTAAAAAAAAATATGAACTTACTGAATTTCACACTGGCAGAAATATTACGTTACGAAAGTGAAAGCAATTTTCTGTTTCAAATTTTTGTATTCAAAATTATGAAAAAGTTAATTTCTTCACAAAACCCGTATTTTCGTTTGACTGTTGCCTTCTCCACGTAGATTTTCGTCTTTTTGTGGGTGTAACACCCCCGTAAAGCCAAACCTTGGGAAGAACCGAGCTTAAAATACTGTACATTTTGACAAAATATTTTGCCCACCTTTGCAAAAAAGTTTAACTAGCATATCAACACCCTTCAGGAGTAAAAGACAAATTAAATTTTAAAAATTTCGGTACTTATGTACGTATCAACAAGCTCACGTCACGTCAAACCAACATTTTGACATCGCGTGGGTGGTGTGGAATTAGAGAACAAATAAGAAATTAAAATATAACATGATTCTGATCCCGAAATTTTAGACGGTCGGTTGGCGGAGAAAGTTTTACAACTCGACGCAACCCGACATCCTTCTCGTCTCCAATATGACGCAAGTCTACGAAGAAATGATCCTCGAGCCGGACGCGGAGATGTCGATTGTCAACACGAATGGAAATTACAACGCCACTTCGGCCACCATTGTTCGAAGCGATGCGGGGGACAGTGCCATGAAAAATGAGAATAATAAAGAAGGTCTGCAAGACTTTCACGACAAGTAAGTTTTTTCTGGAAAAATTTAAATTTTTAGAAATGTTTAAAAGGTAATTGATTGGTGAGTTTCTGATTTCTGAATGATTTACGAATTCTGAAAAAAATTCCAGATTTAACGTCACATTAGCGCCGGGAATATCGCCCATGTTGCGTTCAGTGTTGCTCATTCGGAGTGTCACTGCCCCAGGTGAGTTGGAAGCATTAAGGGGTCAATTTGCATAATTTTGTGTACAGACAGGGCTCTTTTCCCTTAAGGAAGAATTATGTAAGATATCATTGTTATTATGCAAAAAGTGGCCGCGGAAACCGTAGGTACATCTGGGGACATTATAGGAAAGGGAAGGTTTATGGGAAAATGATGCAGATATTTAAAAACCGTGGGGACATTACCCCTCTGTCCCCTCCAGCTTCCGCGACCACTGCATCATGCACATACATTTGAGTAGCCTGAATTTTCCCAGTGACCGCGGAAGCCGTGGGGACATCTGGGGACATAACATTGTAGAATGGGGGAGGGAGGGATTTAGGTATATAACATGATGCGGATATCGAATAACGGTGGGGACATTGTGCCTCTGTCCGCACCCTTCCGCGGCCACTATTATGCAATACAGTAGTTAGCAAAATTTTTATGCAAATTGACCCATTGTCACTGTTTAAACTAAACTTTATCCCCCGAGTGGTTTTTAACGCTGGATTTGTCTCTTTTTAAGATTGTGGTTCATACCAATGTCAAGTTACGGACGGAGTTTACACCCTTTCTTCGGAAACATTGCTTTTCCTCTGCCATTAAGGAAAAGGGAATGGAGTGAAAGTTGGGGCTAGACTTTCCACGCGACGATTTGGTGATGATGTCATCAGCATCATCACATTTCATCTCAATCTTGTTACAGTATTTCTCGGTTTACAATTATTAAAAACTGTTGACCTTTTTTTGTTAAAGTATGGATGTATGTGTTTACAACGTGCAAAAATAAAGTGCAAATTACTAATCGAATTGCGTATGAAAATTCATCATCTCAAATTTCATTTAAATTGATTTGAATAATAATACAATGTCATCTTATTATCACCTTTGGCGAGGAAAAAGAATGGGGTTTCACAAAATGTGGATAAATAATTAATATTAATTGCTAACATTTAAAAAGTTATGTACACTGATTGCATTTACGATACAAGTTTTCTGTTACCTTTTTTGCACTCGGTTAGAATAAAAATCGTACATAATGTTCTGTTTAACACCATATTTTTCTACCAGTCCAGCGCCAGCCGGAAATAGATAAGTAAGTCGAATAACTTAACTAGTGGAAATATTAGACTAAATAATTATACAATTAATTAATTAATTTCTATATTAAGGTAAATAAATAAATGATAAAAATTGTTCGACAATTCAGGGTACATGTTGCACTAGACGTGTTACTAAATAAATACTAGCAAATAATTTAAATTACTACACTTATGAATTACGTAAAATTCAATATTTCCGAAGAATGATAAAAAGTTTTATGAAACCCGAATTTTATCAAAATTCAAATTTGATTTTTTAAGAGAAATATCATAAAGCTTTGTAAATATTCATACGCAAGTAAGTAAATGTTACAAAGAGAGAGAAAAAGAGAATGATGAGGCAGACACGTCAAACATGGACATTCAAACACGAGCTGATTGATACGACGTTGAAGTTGGTAGGATCAAAGAGACACTCGACGATGACAGGTCAGCTCTCTTGAAGTTTGAATAACTTTGTAATATCTTTTATAGTTCGTTTCATCGCGTCTTCAGAGTTACTCTTCCCTTCGATGGAGATTGTGCTGGACTTGCGCTGGAGTAAAGAGGAAAAAATTAATGTAATGATGGAAAATGCGACAAATTTGGTATTAATAGTGGAGGTTTCAAGCGTATGCTCTCCGATTTTGACCAAATTAGTGTCAAGTGATTACGAATTTAATTTGTATGAAATTTGCGAAAGACACTATCTCCCATTTCTGATCGATTGACACTTATTTGATTTGGTCAAAATTTGAGATCATACGCTGGGATACCTCCGTTGTATGAAAATTTGAATACCTTTTCCTTGACAAGGAGACAAACATGGAAGCCTTTGGAAGTTACACGATATAAGGACGAGCAGCCTTGAGCATTTTCTATTACTTGCATCTTGCATTTTTTCACGATCTTGGAGACCACCTGGGATAAAAAAATCGAGTTATTTTACTGTATCAATTACAATTAAATATTACCTCACCTTTTTAACTTCCATATCATTAGGAATTTCCAGCTTCTTCTTAAACTTTAGTTCTCCTCCAGCTAGCAAGTCGGCGAATTCATCGGACGAAATATTCTTTGAGGCACGTCCCGAATCCTCAGCAGGTGTAATATCGTGCTGAATATCTGTCGTGGTTGGTGTTGTTATTGGATCTAAATCATCCAGAAAATTGTTAACATAATCTTGAACAGATTTCGAATTGTCTTCCATCGGTGTGATAAGTTCTTCAAAAAGTTGGGAAGATCCGTTCTGAGTGACGGTCCCTTGTGAAATTTGAGTCGGATCTTCTATCAATAAATCAATATCGTTTCCTTTAGTCTTTTTTAATTTTCCAGATTTGCCATGTTTTTTATGCTTCTTGTGAGATTTTTCAGTTGTTTTTGCGGAATCTTCTTCTCTAATATCACAATTGTGGTTTTTATCTTTTGTCATTTTGAGATAGAATGGATCACCAGATTGTTTAGATATTCGATGAGCAGGAGATGGAATATTTTCACCGGGATGAAGCGGCCTGGAAGCAAAAATAGATAATGAATTAGTGAATGAATGAAGTGATTAATGTGAATTTTTAGGGTTTTACATGTCTAAATCTATATCTGCCAAAGCCCTGTGAGGATCATTTTCAGCGAGAGCAGATTCTTCTGTGTCGGATAAAGTGGCACCTTCCGGCATTTCAATTGCAGTATTGACGACATGGAAAGTTTCGACTGTTTCTTCATCATCCTCTTCGTCCGAGCTTTTCTTTCCCTTCTTCTTTTTCTTGGATTTCTTCGCTTTCTTGACTGGTTTGACTTTCTTCTTTTTGTTTTCATCCAGATATTTGTCGGATGAAGCGAAGGTTGGAATTTGTAAAGGCACATTCAAATCGAGTTTCGCAATTGGGGGGACATCTCCAGATCCGTTTTGGTTGATAATTTTAGATGGAGACTTTGCCACGTCTTTGAGATAGTGGGGATTCATCTTTTGCTCGTGTTTTCGGCTTTCCCGTTGCTGTAAAAATATGATTATTATATAATTTGTTTCAAATATACATATGTAAAAGAACAAGTGACATTAAAAAATATTGCAATACATAAGACCAAGAAAAAGACCTAGAAGATGGTCATCTTCCAACGATGAGTATTGCATGAAATATTTGATATCGCACAGCTTCGACCAATAATTTGATTAGGACAAAAAATTGGAGATACCATAGTGCTTGTTCCGTCAATTATTAATGTGAAACTAACAATGGAGGTCGCCCTAACGTATCCTCTCAGATTTTGAGCAAACTAGTGTCAATTAATCACAAATTTAATTTGCATGAAATATGCGAAAGACACGATTTCCCAATGGGCACGTTTAGCCGGGATATTTGCATCCGAAGGGAAAACTCGCCTTAAAGTCGACAAATTTTGCACTTTCCAATTTTCCTGCGCATTTTCTCCTCTTCGGATGCAAATATCTCTGCCAAACGTGCCCATTGGGAAGTCTCATCTTTCACAAATTTCATACTAATTAAATTTGTGATCGATTGACACTATTTTGCTCAAAATCTGAGAGCATACGCTGGAGAGACCTCCATTGTAAGTGGACGTTGTAATTTACCTGATTCAATTCCTCCGGAGTCGGTTGATATGCTGGTTTTCTCTCATACTCGGTCGAAGACGTCTTTACAAAAACTTCGGTAGAGTGCACATGGTCATCTTCTTCCTCCTCCTCTTCACTCTCTGATGGAGGGTCATTAATCCACTTGTCCAAATCTAAACCTTCCGGGACAGGAACTTTTTTCTGGGCTTTGGATGCAACTGGATTCAACTCACTGGAAAATGCGGCGGCAAGTTCACCAGCAACTTCAGCCAAGTCGTCCGACTGACCTTTTGACTGTAACTTGACATAGCACTTGATAAAATTATGGAGAGTTCCGGCTCTCTCTTGCACTTCTAATTCTTCCGAAGAGAGGAAAACTTTCAGTTTTTCTTGGATTGCGTTAAAGTCAATGAATTCATCGTCATGCGAGGAGGAAGACTTTGAAATTTCTGGTTTCTCTGAGATTTCGCCATTTTGCAATCCCGAATCAAGAAGATCTGCCGTTGTTTCGGAAGAAGATGTTGGGAGGACATGCTTTGATTTGGATAAGAGGAAGGATAAGATCTTCAAACAGTTGTGGAGGTAGACAAATTGTATATTGCATGGCAGTTGGGAAACTTTTGGTTCCAATAAATGCATCAGAGTTAATTGTGGATTGGGTAGAAATCTGAAATGATAATACGTTAGCCAGAAGTACACATTATATTACACGTTATCTTATCTTACTGAATATATTCGCCACAAATCCAAGCTGCCGCGTATAAGACTTGTGTCATGTTTGGTGCTCTGGTATTGCCTCCGCTAAATCCGAAAATTACGTACGGATTTTCAAGTAATAAACTCATCTGTCAGGAAACAATGGAGAAAATTATGTAATAACTTCAGATTTTCTCTGCTTCCTGCATTATCCGCAAGACTAACCTGCTGGACGGCAAATGGCCGGATTGTATGAACGCGAACGGCAACATCGAGCATTTGGGCAGCAACAAGATCACCGTGACTAAGGCCTTCAACTCGAGCCAACTCGACAAGTACGCTGACGTACCTGTAAATATTATTACAGAAAGATTAGTGGTTATCGGTCTAACAGGAATATGTGTAATTGACTAATACTTACCACTCGAAATTAGTTATATGCTGATAATTATTCTGTGAACAAATCTTAATGATTTTGCACAATAATTCGTCCCGGTAAGTTGTTCCCTGTAAGTTGGAACAAAGGTTTGTTAGAATGAACATGACATGGGAGAAATTGAGACGCTCTAATCTAACCTCCGCTTTCTCCATGTGGACCATTAATTTCTTAACAATTTCCATGAGGTTTTTCTTCCCAACCATTCCGTAAAGAAGATCTAGGGCTGGAAATGGTAAGAAGTAGGGGTAAATTATAATTTTTGCGTTTTGTAATGATAACCACGTACCTCTCAGTCTAATGGATTCGTCCTTATCGTCCAAGCATCTCATCACAAGATCCTACATTGCAAATTAGCAGGATGATAAAAACGCACAAATGACAACGTAGCAAAATAGCACTGAATTGTTGTCAACAGCCACAATTTTTCAGCTTTCATGTATGTATATTGTACTCACCTTGTGCGTTTGTACCTGAAAAATAATTAATACAAGTTAGATTAGCATTAATTAATTAATTCTTAAAATAAATGTTGTTTAATTAAGTTTGTACCGATTTGGGATGTGTCGTTAAAATTTTGGACATGGCGAGAAGGCCAAGATATTTCAAGTTTTGATCTGAATCTTCGATTAAAATTCTAAGTTTCTGAACGCACAACTGCACAAAAGAAATATGTAAATTTATCATAACTTTTGCATGCATAAACAAATATCAGCAAGGAAAGACAAGAAGGGTAAATACATACATACATAAGTTACGTAAGTCTCGTAATACAATTTGTTACCTGAATAGACGCGTTGTGATTAGGCATCCCTGTAGAAATCGAAATCAGGACTGTATTGGGTAAACCAAACAAAGAAGACACATGATTACCCCAAGCTACATTCAATGTATAACAATACGACGAACAAGAGGATGAGTGCAAAAAGCAGAGTTAGAAGCAATTGTTGCAAAAAAAATTAGCAGAGGTGAATATACATTTTCGAAAAATTGCTGAAATATGTATTCAATTTTTACAAGAACTACTCTAAAAATACCTACGAAATATGTACGAAAAAAATAAAAGTAAGAATTTTTGCAAAACGGACTTTTTCTGGTCCAATTTCTGAGAAAACAAAATTTCATCGTGGAAGTATTTGTAAAATAATTATGTACTTAAAAAAATATATGTAAATGATTTACGTATTTTTCATTTATATGTCTGAAAACCTAGAAATATGTGACATGTAAAAATGTTATCAAATTTTTAGATCTATAAAAGTTAGGGAACACATCCGACAGAATTTAACCGTCGGTCGTCATCAAATAAAAAAGTTTAAATAAATACATACATATCCTCCCTCCGCTTATTAGACACTTAGCTTGGTTAATGTACGGCGAAAAGCACAATTTCAATATTATTGGAAAGATGACAATAACATCAAGCATGCTGCCAGCCATTGCACCCATCAACTTATCAATGTTTCGCCGATAACGTACCTGCTATCACAGTGTTGATACATTCGTACAAGAGCGACATCGCGGAAGTACTGTGACATATAATTTCAAAACCAATTAGTTTTAATAAATGGCAATAAAACATAACAAATGTGCAGTGCAGAGGACAAATAAGCCTACCTGTGAATCAAATTGGTAAGCGGTTCAATTAACTTTTTCCCAAGCCGTGGTTCTAAAGGTGTCAAAGCTCCGAACTGTTATAATAACAAAACATTTAACTAAATTAGTAATGGACAAAAATTTACACGCTAAAATTAAATTACGGAGACACGAAAACGAACTAAATGGATAATTAAAAAAAACTACAAAATAGTTGTTTGGATCCAACCATGTTCCACTCGACATTTAGAAATACCTCAAAATCAAATCAATTATTGGATCGGCGAGAATTACGCCAATTTCAGGACAAACCATTGTCATCATGCCAAACTGGTAAATATAATTTAATGCACGGTAGTAGTATTAAGTTGATGACGAATTAAAATCAACTCACCAGTTTAATAATCTTGATAAGCATCCAATTATTGGTGGAAGATGTCATCAGCTTGAAAAATATGGGGGCTAAGCTAAGATAGTTTTTCGGATTTTTTCTCGCCAATTCACATATGACGTTGACCGCGGCCGATTGAACGCCGGGGTCGGGATCCTCCAGTTTTTCCTTGAGTCGTGGAAATGCGGGACGAAGGGCGTCAGGGTACGTCAAAAATATTTTGTATAGCATGAGGACACCCTTTTTTCTGAGGTAAGGCTTTGTAGATGATAACTAAGAGAGTGAGAAACATTATAGAGATTTTATCTTGGAAAATAAATAAAAAATGGGCGAAATAGTAATTTTTAAAATGCTCACCAGTGTCATAATATCGTTGGCAAGATCTCTTCCAAGATCAGGACTGACAAAACAGGCCAATGCAGCTAAAATATAATTATAATTAATTGATAACACGTTTTGTATAAATGTAGAAATGATTCTCTGTAAACTTACATAAGGCTAAACCAGCTTCGTATTGATTTTGACTACTTAAATCCTTTCGTATCATATTGGTCGTCAACATTAGCATCTCTAACTCGGCATGGAAGCACTGAAAACAGAAAAGTCAATGATATTTGATACACTAATTTTCTAATAAAGTGAATTAATTCACTACAAAAATCGTTAAAAAGTATTTAGCCTACCTGTGACGCGGACAGGTAACCTATCCGTTTATGAGTAAATTTTGAAGAACTCATCACTTCTATAATATTAAACCCTGCCCAACTAATATCATATCCACACATTTGTAGCTGCAATTTAAATTAGAATAAAGTAAGTTAATAATTTTGGCACTTATTTATAATGAAAATTTTATGTTTTTCAAATTTTAGACGTACATATGTCAATTTGGCAACTGCATTGGCCTGAAATAAGATAAATATTTATTAATTGTCTATTGTAAATAGATATTTGTTGTCTTTAATGAAATGAACTCACTTTAACAGCCATATTATCTTGGCGAAGCTCTACTTTAATTTCTTCCATACATTGCGCGATATATTTGGCCTAGAATTATACGAAAAATATATAATTTCAACATTACAAGTCTCCAAATATTATAAAATCATTAACTAACCTCGTTATCTTTATTGTTCCTTATTCCCCGCACCAAATCGCTCATACTCTTGTCGAACATTCTCTCCAAGTTGCCTTTCACTTTTTTCAACGCCATTATTTATATCGACAATACTTTAAACTACTTGATTTGACAAACTATTAAAAATTCTAAAGACAAAAATAATAACAAGGATCGATAACTACGGATAGATAACAATTAAATTGTTATTACATCACAAATACTTTTGAATCAAATAAGTAATTGAATTGAGCAGAATAGAAAAATCACTTCTTTAAAGACTTGAAATTGAAATGTTTGATAATTGATATGATGTAAAGGTATAAGAATGTGCAAGGAAAATGGGAAATCCAAATATTTGAGAGTTTCTGAACAATCTTTTAACCCGAAATGACCCACTTTAACCAGGTTTTCTGTTTCTGTCTGTTCTGTAATGATAAAACAAACAAACTTTAAAACACGACCCAACACAAATATTGCAAAATTATTTATATCTTATCCACAATTAAATGGCTAACCAACACTAAATTATTCACTCTTTACTTTTACTACTCCCCTCTCGTTAATAATATCCGACTTTCACTAAAACTATAACCAGATTACTAAGCACACATCCTGCCTGTCTCTACAACATTAATAAGATGCAGGTTAAGTTAAATACTAACCTGATTGATATAGAATATCTTTCGTTGTATTAATAATTACGTTGATTTGATCACTGTCAGGGTTTTACAATAAAATATGTAGTAATGTAATGATGTCGTGGATGGGATGTCACATGCCTCTGGCTGCAGAATACACGACACGAAACTAAACAGAAAGAGAGATATGTATTGTGATTTGATTTGAATATCACAAATCGCCGAATAACTGGTAGGAGTACATATGTATTTTCCAACACTTGTAGACAGCCAAGATCTCCATATGTTTGGCAAGTGTCAGAAGGAAAAAGATTAACTTTTTCGTGTAAAGGAGGCTGCTACTTCTATCAGGATTATGAAGCAAACTGCTGTTGCGTATTGAGCGGTGGGACGACCAGAGTGCGCTTGTCGAATTTTCTGTAGTGGGTGACGACTTGCTTGTTTTATGAGAAAAAGATGCACATTCTTCGTTAAAATATAAGGGGAAATGATAATAAGTATGAAGTAATACTTGATTGAAGGTAGAGGTCTGAATTGGATTAAAAAGTTGATAGTTTCGCTGCTTCTCGATTAAATAATGGGCTGAATTGATGACTGTTTGATGATAAGCTGTAGTAATGAAAATGAATGAAAGATCATTAACATTAATGCAAAGATGGGTAACGGACTTATCAATGATTAATTACGTTTGGGTGTGTCTGATTGTACGTAGGGATGTAACTGAGAATTGAGATTGCTGAAAATATAAATAAAAAGATGATATTATTAGTATTTTGCATATATGTTAAAACCGCACCCCCAAAATCTAACCTTATTTATTAGTCGCACTTCGTCCAAACGCTATCGTCCCCCACACCATCCAATTTGGCATAATTGGTGGGCAATATTCCACTTCGTTTCTGAATTTCCGTCAGCTTTTCGAAATCCGCAAACGCCCCTCTCAACGTCCAGGCTAGAAATAACCCCACAACGATAAAGTAGACGACGAATAACCATCCAATCAAGTACTGCACGTTGGGATGATTCGGCGCAATGATGACGACCCCCAAAGAAAAGAGGACGATGATAGCTACGCTGGCGACAAAGGTCCAAACGTGCCCTTCAATCCGGGCCTTGATAAAAGTCTCCAATTCGACATCCGTCGCCGACCGGCGAGTCGTCGCGTTCCTTTTCTTACTCGGATTTCTGCTTGTCGACGAAGAAGGTGCGGTGGCGATAAGCTTGGTGGGCGCGGTGAGAACAGCGCCTTCGTTGTTGTCGTCGTCTTCGTCGTCACGATTATGTCGGAAGTTAATGTTGTCGAAACTATCACACCGACGGACAAAGTTTGGTTGATAGTGTTGGACTTGTTCCGTGGGGGTGATGGAGGGGGGTGTCGTGGAGACGGTGGAGAAATTGAGCATGGAGAAGTGACCGACTTTATCAATTGGTGGGGGTGGTGAGGGTGTTTCGGATTGCAACATAATAATGTTTTCACACCCACCCACTCGTCAAGTCTGTTGTTATTTTGCAAATTGAAAGTTACGCGAAAACGACAGTGACATCTAAAAGAAAGATAGAAAAAAATTCCAAACAATAAAATTTACGTATAAAATTCCGATCACATTGTGGCCTGGATACGGCGTCTCACCTTTACATATTTTCGTTGAGAGTCTCAACTTGAGACACAAACTGCGAAGAGAGAGAAAGATATTTTTGGGTTTAGGAATTTTGAGATTTTTGGCCAATGCCGATGAATTTTAGAAATATTTTTTCGTAAAATAATGGTCATCTATACGCTTGATTGTTATGTCTCATCTCATCACACTTTGCATAAAAATTTCAAAAGTTTAGAATTTTAATAATTGTCACCTTATTGTCAGAATTTCAATGTCATTTGACCATTTCTTGTGACCAATATATTAAGATCTATACAAAATTGAATTTACAAAATTTCCTATCATTTAATTTGGCTTAGAAGTTACCAGAAAATTCGGATTTTTACGGTTTTTGTGAAATTTATTTTTCCAATATTTCCAATTCTCAATAGTAATTTTGTATTGATAAATATATCCGCAGATATTATCTGTGTCATTATTATAGTTCAACTTGTTATAAAATAAACAAAGATATAACGACAATTAAATTGGTTCGAGGCAAACTAGAAAAAGTCATGTGCATTCATTTGGTCAACGTATTTTATTTACTTATTTTTTTTAAACGCACCATCAACGACGATGACATCTTGATCCTGTTTGTTTATCCACGAGCCAGAAATGCATCACACTTGTCATTATTACTACCATTTTAACGATTAAAGTCACTTATCTGCTGCGGCTAATCGTCCTTATTTGACATGAAAAAAGGGAAATGCCACAAACGCAACGTAACGCGATGCAACCATGACCCAGCAATATTGTTGACGCTGTGGTGATTCTTTTACCTGTTCATTTCATTCATGACGCTGATGAGAAGCAAGGTGACTTGGGTCAGATTCAGGTTTAGGGTTACATTTTTCCATATTTATTGATCATTAAATACTTGTATCCAGTGGCCGCGGAAGGGTCGACAGAGGGACAATGTCCCCAGGGTTATTCGATGTCCGCATCATCTCCCCATCTTATATAAACCCGTCCCTCCGGCCATCCTACAATGTTAATGTCCCCACAGCTTCCGCAGCCACTGATTGTAATAGAAGTTTAATGCTTAATTTTACTTTTTTTTAATGTGTCCGATAAGCGTTAGGTCAGGTCAGGGGTCAGAAACATAAGTTTTAGTTGATATTTTCAGCTCCAGACGAAAAAAAAGCTACTTAATTGGAATACAATTTGGCCAAAAATGTCATCACGCTATAAAATTGAGATAAGATTACTTTACTTTGATAATAAAAGGGTGTCTCATGTCTCATTCACATCATAAAAATGTTACGACTTGATTTATGTAAGATGCATTTTATTCTATTTTTATGTACTTACCCAAGTAACATGTAAGTCTGGCCCATACTAGGATTATCTCCGGCAAGTCTGGCACAAGATTTTGGGGGTCAGAAAGGTAACTCTGTGATGGTCCTGGGAAGTAGGATTGACGGACTACTTTAACCAAGGGGGATGGTTCTTTGGCCCTGACTCGATTCAGGTCAGGATGAACTGATATGGCTAAACCCCGTATTTGTTATACTGGCCCGTCCGTTTCTAGTCTGACTTGAGCCGAACTTGAACTCTCGGACATGAGCCAGGGTTGGCCCTTGCCAAACTTCTCGGCTCAGGGGAAAGTCTGGGGGAAACCCGAGAAACAAGTCAGGCGCGTACCCGGACCACACTTGTACCTGATTTAAAAAAATCCACTCTGGCCCATCCCTGGGTGAAAGTTTGACCAGTTATATTCAACATGGCATTATTTTCTCCAGTTTCTACCAGTCCTCGAGCGCAATGGCTCAACGTCTCTCCACCAAATTTTCCGTCGTTTTTTTTTCCTGAAGAAAAAAGTGTAGCCGCAGTCCCGACTACTTGGCTGACAGAGGAGAAAGGTAGGATCTTTTGCAAATGGCCCAAAGGCCCTAACGCTGCTACTGTCGTAAAAGATGGAAATAGTGCTCCAGGGAAGGATTGGTCCAGTTTCCCTGTAAAAATTTATAAAGGGCTCGGGAGTGGTAAGCAAAAATTTTAAATATGGTGGCGAATATACTTAATTTATATTTAAGCACATGAATTTACTCTACAGACGAGTATTCAAAGGCTAGTGCAAACGCCGACGAGGCCAGGACCCTGACGAGCCCTAGCGAGGAGGAAGGTTCGCCATCATCCATTCCTACGGTCAGCAGAGCCAACTCAAAAGCACAGCAAGATTCGTCCGATAGTGAGGCCGAGTTTCAAGCGAATTTTGACAAAGAAGTTCCAGATAAAAGTCCACATGGCAATGCCACACTGAATCGTGTCGAAGAACGCAGCACAAGTAAGCGACATTAAATTAAGTGTCATTTAAAAATGGCCAAGTTATATTAAATTAAACTTTTTTTTAGCACCTTCATCCAGCCCAATCTTGAATTTCAACATTACTGGTGCCGACGGTGATGATGGAGACGAATCGCAATTAAATTATACTTTCACAAATCCTCTTACTGTTATAAGTCAAGGTTAATAATTACACCATTTTTATATGTAGCTATTATCTTAAGTATGTTAATATTATTTTCATTTCCAGGTTTTGAGGTCAACGTTTTGAGTTATCTTGTCGACATCAAAGCAGAATTATCTAGAATATCAGCCCAGGTATCAGCAATTGCGGCAGGGTGCGAATCTACAGATACGGAAGAAGAATTCATACTTCCGTTAAATACTGAAGCCCAACTTGAAAAAATAGAGTTGAAATTGCATGATCGTTCGGCAAGAAAGTCATTGGTAGACAGTATTCAATTTTATTTATACAATTGTGTTTTATTTAAATTCGTGCAGTATATGTATGATTAGCTGACGAAAATTGTGAAAATCGGTGGACTTGAAATCAAGGATACAGTAGAGCGAGTACTGACAGCAGTCTTTGGACAGAAGATAGCAGAGCAGACGTCTCTAACCGGAAAGAGCAACAAATTTGCTTTTAATAAGCTTGCTCTCTTTAGCATCATAGTTGGTAATTATTAACGTTTAATAAGTTCAGCGTAAAAAAATCACCAATTCTGGTTTTGATAAATTTTAGATGCCATTTTAAAAAATCCCCGCTGCTCCAACAACACGCAGAAGGACGTGGAAATTGAGGCAACACGGTGGTTTTCAAACGCTAAAGACCGTGACGGTGGCCGGGATCCGCGACGTAAGGACAAAATAACACCTGGACAACAACAATACATTAACATAATGGATGCATCTAAAACAACGAAGTACCGCAAAAGAAAAGCCGAGGTGGCCAGTATTCTTAATAAGTTTAGTTTAGACAAAAGTAGTAATATTAGTGGTAATGTAAGTTCTAGTAGTGAGATTTGTACTAATATAGAACATTCAATTCCAACAATTTCAACTGGAATGATGAATAGTGAAGTTGAATTTGATGAATTTTGCCCACCAGACACGGACGATGAGTCTGAAGACGAAGAGGACAGTTTTTCAAAATCTTTGGCATTTAAGAATAAGTTAGCAAGGTGGGGATTAAATAATAACATTACTCATGTCGCAATGAAGGAACTTCTTCACATTTTAAGGGATGAAAAATGTGGAAGTAGTTTACCAAAAGATCCTCGCACACTGTTTAGGACTCCAAAGTATAGCAGCCCAGTTAGTTTAGGAACCAGAAAATTTAAGTATTTTGGGATTCGAAAAGCTTTTGAAATAGCGAATAATAGAGGGTGGGAAGATACTAGTTCAATTAAGTTAATGAGTATTGGAATTGATGGGCTACCAATCTCTAGAAGTAGCAAAAGTCAATTTTGGCCAATTTTAGCGCTTTTCGATAAATGTCAGTCACCTAATCCTTACGTAATAGCACTGTATTTCGGTAGTTCAAAACCAGGATCACTGAAATTATTCTTACTAGACTTTGTTGATGAAATGTCGGACATCAAAAATAACGGTATCAGCATCAAAGATAATAAGTATACATTAAATGTGAAATGCCTTATTGCTGATGCTCCAGCTCGATCCTTTATAAAAATGTGCAATGGTTTTAACGCATACTATGGATGTGAGCGTTGTTGTCAAAAAGGAAAATGGATTGGAAAGGTAGTTTTTCGAGAAATCGATGCAGTTCAAAGAACAAACGAAACTTTTTTTGACAGCGCGCACGCTTCTGAGCGATCCCCATTTGCTGAAATAGAATTGGGGATGATCAGCCAAGTACCCCTTGATTATATGCATCTGGTGTGTCTTGGAATTATTAGAAAATTAATTTTTAGTTGGCTTCGTAGCCCTCTTCAAAAACGAATAAAATTAAGCTGTAGTACCATTAATCAGATTAGTACAAATCTTAGAAATATATCTTTTTTTACTCCCTCTGAATTTTGTAGAAAACCGAGATGCATAAGAGAAATTGACCATTACAAAGCAACCGAGCTGCGTCAATTTTTACTATACACAGGACCTGTGTGCTTAAAAAGTTTGCTGCCGTCAAAACTTTTTGACCATTTCATGCTTTTGCATTGTAGCATGCGAATATTGTTGTCTAGTCGTGCAAATTCTATAGAATGGATCGAACTCTCGAGAAAACTTTTAATTGAATTTGTTTCTAAGATTAGTGGTTTATATGGTGAAGATTATTTAACATATATTATATGCACTCTGTCATTCATATACCCGATGATGCATTAATTTATGGAAAACTTGACAATGTGAGCGCATTTCCTTTTGAGAATTACATGCAAATTTTAAAGAGGCTATTACGAGCCAAAAATTTGCCATTAGAACAAGCAATTAATCGAATTGAAGAGAGAAGCTGTTTCGATTTTGAAAACGATAACAATTTAGAATTGAATAATAGGCAGGTTTTCGCTGGAAAACAGTTTTCAGTTAAAAAGGGTAATAATGTAGCATTTCTTTCCTCGGGAGAAATTGTTTAAATTGAATGTTTTATTGACAATAACAAGTTTTTGGGTAAAAGATATTTAAAGAAGCATGATTTTTATTATTTTCCCGTCAGTAGTCATAAATTAGACTCATTCATTGTTAACAATCTAAGCGTAATTTCTGGAGAGTTTGAATGTAATTCAATCATTAATAAGGGTTATCTAATGTTACTTAACGATGAATTTGTATGTATGCCATTGTTGTAAATGAAAATGTTGAAAATGTACAATTTTTATTGTAATGAAATAAAATTATAAAAAAGAAATGTGTGTGGCCCATCACTGTATTTGCATCAATGGTCCCTGCATGAAATTACAAGTTTGGCCCAAGTCAGGCTTAAATAAGCCCATCAGCCAGGATGCAAAGCAGGGCCAGACTTTAACCAGAGTAGGAATCCACACTAGGGCCAGGCCTGTTGAAGCTCTGGACCCTAGTTGTAAGAAGTACGGCATAAGTCAGGGCCACGTCTGAATCATTGCAGGCTGAAGTCCGGATTGCAAGTCCGCCACTGGTCATTCCCCCGATTTCAAAACTGTACTTGGCCCAGACTTTTGACAAAAGTCTGGCCCACACATGGACCAGACTTAAAATGTTAATTGGGTACTTACCTACATAATATGTAATCATTCGACATTGGGCATTATATTATCCAATAATTGATAATGGTTTAAGATGCAGTTTGTTCTATTTTTACTTACCTACATGTAATCATTGGGCATTATATTATGTAATAATTTATAATGGTACGGCTGGAATTATTTTATCGAGTCCTTGTGATTATCGTGACCTAAATGTATGTACTTATCTTCATACTTACTTAAATATGTACCTTTACTATACACATTTTGTTTTACTTTACGATAGGAAAATGTAGCTATGAATAGTGTAATAACACATTACATATATCTGCAAATTAGAGTGAATAATATGCCCTCTGGACTCGTATATTCGCAAAATTAGCACCTTAACCCAAGTTCAGTGCTAGTATAATCAAGGTGGATTACATATTGCATAATGCATATTATTCAAGGTTTGGTCTCCTCCTAAAATAAAATTTCTTCCATGAGGTTCCTACCTGAAGTTAGTTTGCAAATGTATGTACTTAAAACGACCTTATCCTCAGTGCTAAAAAGGTAAAGGATTTATAATTATTGCATGAAATGCAATGAGTCGTATCATCATTATTATTTAGCATATGTGATGCATGTGATGTTGGTCAAGAGTCAGTTCAATAGTCAGTCATACATACATACATACGTCATATTTTTCCTTGATAACGATAAGCCCTTGATGGGTAAGTCAACCTTTAGGACGGATGGATAATGTGATAATTGTCACGTTAAGAAAGAAATTAAAGTCGCTTCTTCACTCACGAAAACACGACAGAATTTAATGAGAATTTTTATGTATGTATGTACCTGCAAAATTTTGTGTGAAAAAAAATACTTAAATGAATTTGCGTGATTATGATTAAAAACGCATGCAATTAAAAAAAATTTCTTTCAGGTTCCCTTGAATTTTTAGATTTTTATTCTGCATAAGCATTGTTTTATTATACGATACAATTAAAACCAGTCTATTTTTTAAATGAAGGTATAGTTTTTTTCATTTCACAGCACAATTAACAACTTAACCTTTTTTGTTGTAAATATGTAAATGAAGAAGAATACATCCTCTAGTGTGGAGTTGTTTTGTTTCATCGAAATTTTATTTTTTTCGGGTTGGGTTGCTTTGTGAGCTTTGTTATTTCATTGTTTTTTATGTATGTATCACAAAACGGGGACGACTACACAGATGACAATACACGACGAAGACGACGCTTCTACGACATTGACCGGTACATACAACATACGTGGTCATGGTCTGTTTATTGTGTAACTATTTGTTTGAAACGCGTGAAGAAAATGCACTTTTAGGACAGTCCGTTAACAAAAAACGGGAGTTTTTATCTCGTGTACCAGTGGCCACGGAAGCTGCGGGGACGCCTGGGAATATTAACATTGTAGAATAAATGCACTTTTAGGACGGTCCGTTGTAAAAAACTGGACTCTTATCTGGAAGTTGTAGGGACATCTGGGGACACTTTTAGGACGGTCCGTTAACAAAAAAAACGGGAATTTTTATCTCGTACACGTATCCACTACTAGTGACCGCGGAAGCGATGAGGACATCTGGGGGCATTAACACTGCAGGATAGGGGAGGAAGTGGTTTATATAAGATGGGCAGATGATTCGGACATCGAACAATCATGAGGACATCTGTCCCCACACACACTTCCGCGGCCACTGTCCCCTACCCCTGCTTAAATACCTACTTTTATCTACTTCAGTGCGCAATCAGTCCCAACAAATTGATAAAAGGTTGCGTCAAGTGATCCGTAACATCCGTATAACTTCGACACGACTTAAACGCCGCTTCCAACAGCGAAATCAGCGACCGGTACGAATTACTCCGCGTCACGACGGAAGGCAACTGCACTTGCAACGCGTTTCTCACCCGGTCATACCAATTCGTCAAAGTCGACAAGTTCAGCCCCGGCAAAATCCCGTTAGCGGGTAACCGCCTCGTAAAAACCGGGCTGTTCAAAACGGCGTCCGTAATGCCTAAAATTATCCGCTCCGTTCCCGCGTTCACGAAGGGTTTCACTTCGTCGTAGAGTAACTCACTGTATTTCTCCGTGAACACTTTGAACGCATAGTTTAGCTCCTCGTACCCCTTTTCGTGCGGGAAAAGGTCCGTCATTCGGATCCGAACTTTGTCGAATTTCATGTCCGAAACGGCCCGATCGGCTTTGATGGGCGTTTGCCTAGGTTGGCGGGAAGTGTCGATGATTTTCATCTTGGTTTTGGCTTTTATTGTGACCCCGTCGAATTTGATGGAGATGTTTCCTTTGATCCCGATCGGTAAGAGGGTGAAGTGACCGGTGACGAGGAAAGAGGGGACGACGAGGGACATGTCGAGGATGCGGGTGTTGACGTCGAGGAACCAGTTGTTTTTTGTGAAGGTGGTCAAGTCCCAGACTTTCATCTGGGGAAAGAAATTCAGAAATATTGTTTTACCCTGCTTATGAAAAAATCTGTGTAAAGAGATCTCGTAAAAATAAAAATTTTCAGGGGACAAGAAAATTTTCTATGTTGTATGTAACAATGGAGGTCTCCCAGCGTATGCGATCCGATTTTGGGCAAATTAGTGTCAATCGATCACAAAATTAATTAGGATGAAATTTGCGAAAGTCGCGATCTCCCAATGGGCACGTTTGGCGCAGATATTTGCATCCGAAGAGGAGAAAATGCGCCCTAAAGTCGACAAATTTTACACTTTCCAAATTTACTGCGCGTTTTCTCCTCTTCGGATGCAAATATCTCGGCCAAACGTGCCCATTGGGAGATCTTGTCTTTCGCAAATTTCATACTAATTAAATTTGCGATCGATTGACACTAATTTGGCCAAAATTGAAGAGCATACGCTGGGACAACTCCCTTGTTTGTGACGCTTTTACAACTTTGTAAGTTAAGCGTTATACCTACCTCTTTTAGGGTGACGTTAAGTTCGACGGGTATTCTGGATATGACAATGTGCATGGGGTCCAGTTCTAAGGGCTCCATGGGTGGGATTCCTACGCAAGTAATTATACTTTAATTATGATAATTAGTTAAAATATGAGGCATATATAATATATACACTTACCATATTCCGGAATTCCGTCAGGAAGTCGATTCTTCATCGAACCTATGGCCAATCTGAGACCTTGATTGAAAAAGAAGGACGGTGTGATTAGGTTTAAAATTAATGGAAATTTCAGCAATTTAAAATTTTTCAAATTATTTTTTACATTTTGTATTTTATTTTGCAATAGAATAAAATTTTTCAAATTTTGCATACATTGAACGCCAATATTGTAATATGTATATAATTATTTTTGGCATTAGTATAATATTCAAGATTCTAGGCTATCCCCTGTCCCCACGCTTCCGTGGCCAATGCATCGTGTACATACATTTGAGTAGCCTGAATTTTCCCAGTGGCCGCGGAAGCGGTGGGGACATCTGGGGACATTAACATTGTAGGATAAGGAAGGAAGTGGTTTATATCAGATGGGCAGATGATAGGGACATCGAACAACCGTGGGGGTCCCTCTGTCCGCACCCTTCCGCGGCCAATGACGACCCATGTATGTATATACCTTGATTGAAAAACGTGTTCGACACGTGCGAGTGACATCGGGCAATGTCACTCTCGTCAATGTCCATTCTTAATTCATCCTCCGTAATTTTAAAGTCGGCTTCCGCACTGGAAGTCGTAGCGTTGGGGGTAGCTTCCACTTTTGGGGGTGACTGCGCCTGCGCCGTACCGCTTTGTCCCAGAAAGTGGGAAAAGTACATTAAGAGGAGGACGTAGAGTTCCTTCATCATCTTGCTGGGAATTCAAATCAGGAAAATTTGGCAAGTTTCATAATTTTATGAATTTTTGAATTTTTTTACCTCGTTATTCCAAACTGCATTTAAATTGTGACTTAAATATTTTCCTCCAACGTTAATTGTTACATTTTTTCAAACTGAATAAGTCCTCGAACTAAAGTATACATTCATCTTCCTTTAAACTCAAATCATCAAAATTTCATACAATTTTTTTGGTAAGTTTCATAATTTTCTGAATTTTTAATCCACCCAGTTCTTTTTTTTTACCTCATTATTCCAAACTTCACTTAAATTTTGACTTTTATATTTTCCTCAAACTTTAGTTATACCATTATTATTAACTTTTTTAACGGAATAAGTCCTTGGACAAAACCTAACGTGGCTGGTAAACTTTTCTTATTATACGAACACAAAGTCAACAACAATTAGCACATACGACGAAATGCAAAAGTAACCTCAATTCAATTTGTGAAGAATAACCAGTCAGTTACAAGCTATACACCTGCAAAAGTGCACAAGAAATGCAACATAACACGAGGCACTTTAAGTCGTCACTTGCACTTTTTTTTACAGTACTGCCAAGTGCCAATTATGTAGGCAAACCATAACAAAACAACAAACTTGTCAAAGAATTTGCATGCATGCAACTGCAAAATGCAAGTCGTTCTACTTTTTGTTAAGTTTGGGGAAGCGATTCTCCTGGTTGTACGACGACACACATCATTTCATTTACTGTAAAGATGTATTATTGTCGCGAAAATAAATAAAGATTGCACATCAACTTAATCCCCAACACACAATTTTGCAAAGTTTTTGCACTGTTTTGCACCGTTTCATACTGTTTAGTCACAAATTATGTACATACACAAAAAAGATTTCAGATGAGACTTAATCCCCCACAATTGTGAGCACTGTTTCGTACTATAAAAGTAAGTATTTAGTCACAAATTGAAATTACGAACATTACAAAAAAAGATTTCAGATGAGTGAATGTTCACATTGACTAATCCGTCTTCATTCATACAAACATAAAATTCTGCATGTGCTGATATTTCACAACGCTGATTTTTTTTTATTCTTTAAGAAGATTTGATTTGAAGCTGCTTGAGACTTGGCTAATTTTGTTTTTCAAGCTTCGCTGCTTCCGTGACCACATCGTCTGTGTCGATTAATTATTTTGCCCTAGCCCTTTTCCACACTGGCTGAACAACACATAGATGAGCACGAATTTTGTATGTATGTAATCGTAAATTATAATTATGATTAAGATTAAGATTCGTAATCGTAATCTTCACTTTGAAATGTTTAATAATCAGAAATGTTTTAACTTTAATATTAACTCAGCAGCCGGTCACCCCTCATTCAATTCACTTGCACACCCCACCAAACAAAAAATCACGGCGTTTTCTCTGATTAGCATATTATTTAGTAAGACGACGACACTGATTTAAATCAACTTTCAATCTTGGTTACTACATAATAAATAGAAGGAAGAGTTTAAAATAAGTTGTCGCACAGGACAAGCGTTGGTTGGTGAAAGACAAAGACAACTCGCAAAAGTTAATAATAAGTATGTAACAACGAGCGAGCAGGTAATAATAAATAGGAAAATACTGCTTAATAATACGATGACCACGTTGAGACACAAAATTAAATTGATAGCGATTGTACATCGGCACAGGGCCAACCACTGCAACGCTAGAGCTACGCCATGAGCAACGGCACAATGAATACTAACAATCAAATGAGATGAGAAGAGACGCCGTGAATGCTTGAAAGGCAAAGCAGGCACCTCTTTAGTTTTTGCACTTTTCTGCATGGATACGCCACGCCACACAAGAATGGCACATATTATAATACTTGCTTAGAATGTGTGGCGTGTAAGCATGGTTAGTTAGTTATTTCTTGGCTAATTATTGTGCATGTGCATGTGTGTGTGAGTTACATACATGCTGATGGACGGTGACGATGATAATATTCGTCGTCGTCGTCGCTTATTCAACCGCTTGATGTGATTGCGAAGATTTTTTTAAGAGGGCGAGGATACCATGCAGCATTATTTATAAACGAACGAAGAAGGGAATTTTATGATGCAGATTACCTCAAGAAGAAGTAAGTAATTTTAATTAACAGGTTCAAATCCAATCCAATCTCAGCATAGGACTTGCATACTTGGGAAGAAGTGGTCTTGTAAATCATGAACAAAACCGAGATGGGTGGATTGAAATTGGTTGGATGAATTTCTATTTATTCGCATATATGTGCGAATTTTTGCATGTTCACGATACTTGCAAAAAAAACTTTTCCTTTGTTCCGACACGGATAGATATGTAATAAGAAGTTGTTGTTCAATTATGTAGAATTTGTCCAGGATAGTGAAACAAAAAATTGGTATACGGTGTGAAATATTTTCCTATGCGTCAATACAAACTTCGTAGTACGGAATATAGCTAAATACGTCAGGATTTGAACTGATTTATATCTCTGGTTTTGGTAATTCCATTTTTCAATACCATGTAAAAACTTGAGTCAGGGATAGAATTCAATTCAATGAAGCGATTTAGTTTTATGTTCACTTTCCTGGAGTAAACTTGTTTATATTCATCATTCATGTGTGAATCCTTACACTGCCTTACAGGATGCTGTAATCAAATAAGGAGAATTTTGAAAATGGGCGTACTTATGTATGTACATACATATTATTTATTTTTATTATGCGATCTATCTATCTATGTACATTCGTTCAGGAATTGTACCTAATGAACAATATTTTTTTTGCTAATTTGCAAAATTCTGTATGGGCCAATTTTTCTAAATTTTCCGCGTGAAATTTAATTTGTCATGCACAATAGTTTATTTTGTTTTAAGAATAGCTGGAACTTTCTAAGACGATGACTAACTAATAAATGTAGGATTGCATACGTTTTAATTTCACTGCCTGATTTGTCAATCGTCACAAACTCGCGATAATAATTTGTCACAAAAACATGACCAAGTACAGATATTTAAATAAATATTTGCTGTTTTTAAACTACCTCCTTCATTTTAAGATCAATGGAAGATTCCAGATGTTCAAAATTATGGTCATGAGTGTGACGTAAATTGAGATGTATGTATTTCATGAGGAATAAGAATGTGTAACTCATTTTAAGTTTTCGCAATTTTTCAAAATTCAGAAACAGCTATAAAATTGCAAAACTTCGAGTTAAAAAAATGTATTTGTATGATTTCCGAAAAATTATTCTGAGCAAAGATAACATGTTTTTACATCCTGTTTTTAAACTGAAAAAGTTATGGCATTTTTAAAACCCGTCATGATTTCGGCTGGATTTCTGTACTTTTAGCTATTTACTTGTGCAACTGGGTTGACCAAACAATTGAAAAAAAGATCACAATAAATATTTTATGATTGATTTCATTTGATCTCGACCCCTCTGCAAGGTCGCTATCATCGCCAACGACCCATTTATTCGCATTTAAGAGTATGATGCGAATTTACACAGTTAAGGAAATCGTGGCTCCTGGCTCATGCACAAACGATTGCATATGTACATATCTATGTCTTTACATGAATACGTACCCCATATGAAAAAGTGAATGATATAAAGTTCTTGACATAATTGAAGAGTAATAAGAAGCTGCTGCATAAAAATAATTTTGGCATGTAGTCAGGCAGAAGATGCATGTTTTTTATTTATTATTTCCTTCCTAATAGTGTAAATAAATAAACCTCCGTTTTCATAAACTGATTGACAATTATACAAATATTTCCAAGTTTTGGATAAAAAATCGAGTAGGTCGATCATAGTGGTGAAAATCCGTCAAACAAATTATTATGACCAAATAATATGATTCAGATGATTTAAGTAATTGCGATTATGATAAAGGAATATGTACATATTTCATTGAGAATTCCCTTAATTAATGCCAGTGCATATTTATGCAAAGTTTCTGAGCATTTAAATATTTTCATGAGGGGCATATTTATGTCATACTCATAATGTCAAAGTTTCTGAGCATTTAAATATTTTTTTATGAGCTGAGCACTTATCTATGTAATATTCTATTTGTACAAACTAGAATTTATATTTATTACCATATTATTTTTCTTAAACGCATCTCCTGTACATACTATGTTTTTGTTATGCAAATTCATGCAAAAGATCAATCTCACAACATATAAAGAAATTTACTTTCATGAATCATGATATTTGTCGCTGATATTACCAACTGTTTAATTTATTTAGGTGTTTTTAACGGTTTGAGGACCTATTTTTTTAACTTAACTTTTTTTTTTTTTTTAAATCCAAGCTTTCTACAATTAACTTTGTCTGTGTGAGGGACGATATGTAAATGTATGTATGCATTTATTAGTTGCAAGTTACGTGATGATACTCACATTGCTGGACAAATATAAGCGAGAGATAACGTAGTTTTTCATGTGACTCATACTTATCGATATGACGATTAAACCAGATAAGCGTGAATATCAAGTATTATTGTTTGTATTGCATAAGTACATGACAAAAATATGTACAAAAGTGTCAACTGAACTGCATGCAATATATTTTCTTTGTGAGCAAAATGATTTTTTTTGGTTGACTTGAGCGTCGATTTGATATGTTTTATAAAATAATTATAGAATTTAAACATTAATTTACTAATGAGCCAGGCTACCCCGATTTTGAGTTTATCTGCCAATAATTAATTCTCTCATCTCATCCGTCAGCGTCAGCCGGGCCGCCCGTTTCCGTTGCCATCAAAATTTGTGGTTAGTTAGTTAATTAATTGTTAATTAATTAATTACTCTGTGTCGCAGTGGATTGTTGGTCGGTGGCAGAAGGCAGACCCACCACAAGGCTAATTTGCCATCGGGAAGGGTAGATAAGGTCAGTTTTTTTTGCTTTTGATTTTCAAAAAAACATTAATTTTTATTTTATATTTCTTGGTATAATTTCAATGTTCTTTAATTAAATACAACTATTTGCTAAAGGACATTGCAATGGCGTCGTCAGAAGGACAAAGGCGACCTGGATTCCAGACGGGTCAAGGTTATTATCAACCAGGTCCAAATACTGGCCGTGCGGCCGCAGCCGGGGGCGCAACCGGGGCGCAGGGCATGAATCATGGGGAGACTTCTTCTTGCTGTAAAAATTGTACCAAACCTGTAGAAAAGTTTGACAAGTGTGTATTGATAAGGGAAGACCCTATTGGACAACCTGGAGCGTTTGGATGTGTGATTAAAGGTATGGTTTAATTTAGTTCAGAGGTCAACGCCGACCATTTTGGCGGCGGCGCCCCAATATTGTAGAAATAGGACATCAGATTTGTCGACAGCGGCGGCGTTGACCTCTGATTTAGTTAATTACTTATCTAATTATCATTGTATTTATTTGTTTAGAAGATAGGGCCTTGTCTAATAAATTCTTTTCATATGTTTTTGCAGCGATTTTGAATGTGAATAACCCCAAAATTGGGGGGCCCGTGGTGGTAAAAATGTTCCACGCCCCCATTGGCAAAAATCGATATTCAGTATTTCAGGACATGTTCAATCTCCAACATCGCAATCTGATCAAGTTTCTCGGAATTGTTGATAACGGTGAACCTCAATCTATTCCTGATGTTAATTAATTTATATGCAAAATAATATAATGATTTATTTCCTGCAGACCCGAATGACTGTCCCCAGCTCATTTTTAAATGTGCTAGTGCTGGAAATCTTTTGGATTTCGTGAAAAGAGATCTGAGCACTCCTTTAGACGCTGTAAGTATAAGTTCCTACGCAGTGGACGCGGAAGCGTGGGGACAGAAGAACAATGTCCCCAACGGTTATTATTCGATGTCCCCTATGTTATATAAACCCCTCCCTCCCATATCCTACAATTTTAGTGTTCCCAGATGTCCCCACGGTTTCCGCGGCCACTATTAACTGTTCCTCCTTAACCAATTCCAGATTGCAAATGTCTTTTACTTATTTCTTTACAGGAAGGTCAGCTATACAATTTGGCTTTGGACGTCGTCAACGGGATGGAATATCTGCACTCAATGGATTTTATTCACGGCTGCCTTTCCGCGAGAAACGTTCTGTTGCACGAATTTGGAAAATCTGGACAAATACATGCTCAAATTTCCGATTATGGAATGACCAGAGTAACGGCAGGAAATGGTGTTAACTATTTCAACGTAATAAGTTTGATCATGACGCTGTTTTCAGTATGACGCGTTCTTTATAATATTTTTTTTAATACTCGTAGTACATGACTGGCAAATCAATGCCAATTCGATGGCTGGCGAAGGAATGCATTCCAGTGGATAAAAACCCGGGAGAGATTACCAAACCTTCGGATGCATGGAGTTTTGCAGTTGTACTGTGGGAAATGCTGACTCGTGGGGATACTCCGTACGGAAGTTATGGCACAGTTTCCAATTTGGTACGGTTTTATTTTAATCCTCTTAAAAAATGTGACACAATATGAACTAAAATTTGATTTAAAGTGATTTTCAAACGGTTTTGAGGACTAAATTATAAAAAAAACTATTGTTGTATTTCCACTCTACCAAGCTTTCTACAACAAACATTGTCTTCATCAGGGTCACAAATAAGCAATTATTTTTCTGACAGAACACTACTTCAAAAAAATTTGACTATGAATTAAGAATTTGAATTGAGAATTTGATTTGGTTTTCGGAACAGGAAGTGAAACAACACATCTTAAACGGCAGCAGTCCTTTGGCCTTCCAACGCCCCGATAATTGCCCAGCTTTTCTCCTACGGGTCATGAAAAGCTTGTTCGTCGTAGATCCTGAACAACGACCCACATTTGAAGTTTTAAAGAAGAGATTTGAAGATGAAATTCAATTTGAATCTAAGATACCCGAACCATCAACGAGATTCCGGGGATCTTCAACCAATTCGAGGAATTATAACCGTGATAACTCTTCATCGTCAGGACGAAACCATTCAAATCGTGGATTCCGTGGTGCTCGTGGAGGAATACCGAGAGGAAGAGGAGGCCGAGGATCGCAATCTGGAATTCCTTCCAACAATGGAGACGTTGTTAATTTTGGCGACCATGTCCCGAACCCCAATCTGAGAAATTTTGCAGAATTTCATGCAGAAGTCATGCAGAGAATGAGAGAACGCGAGGCCCGAGAAAGTAATTCTCACCAGGGAGAGGAATCTGCGAGAGGGAATCGGGGCTCAAGAGGAAATAGGGGAAGGTCTCGGCTTCCTCAGGGTCAGAGTCGTAATGATGGCAAGCATTCAAACAATTCTGACGCCAGTCAGAATCAGAATAAACTGAAAGTCGTTCCTGCTCCAGGTCATCGAGGTATGCATATAGCGTAATTGTTCGTACTTACAATGGAGGTTGCCCGCATATGTTCCCAAATTTTGATTAAACTAGGGCCAATCTATCAAAAAATTTGATTAGGATGAAATTTGTGAAAGACACGATCTCCCAATGGGCACGTTTGGCAGAGATATTTGTACCCAAAGAGGAGAAAACGCATACTAAATTTGGGAAGTGTCAAATTTGTCAACTTTGGGGCGGATTTTCTCCTCTTCGGATGCAAATATCTCGGCCAAACGTGCCCATTGGGAGATCGTGTCTTTTGCAAATGTCATGAATTAAATTTGGGACCGATTGACACTAATTTGGTCAAAATCAGAGAGCATACGCTGGGAGACCTCCATTGCTAGATCGTACCCTACAGTTCACTGATCTATGTACCTTCTTGTTTAGGCGGTCGTAACCGTAGCCCTCGACCTCGACCTGCAGATGTTGCACCACCTCCAAACTACCAAAATATTCAGGAAACAAATCCACCCCCATACTCCGAAATTGATACTACTACTCCCCGTCGCAATCAAGTCGTCCGAAACGAAGAGGACAATACATCTGCAAATAAACCAGCAGAATTACTAGACCCTCACGACGTTGAATTTCTAAAAATCCACCAGCAGATGAAGTTTCTCGAAAAACATTACGAAAAGAAAAAACGCGACTTTGAAGAGTTGGAGAAAAAGCGAGCAGCAAAACTTGCAGAACAAAGGGAACAATCAGAACAAGCAAATAAGCAGGCAGCATTAGAAGAAAAGAGAAAGCTTGCTGCCGAAATGGTGCGACAAAATTTGCAGAAGCAGAGAGACGCAGAACTGAAAGAGGCCGAACGCCGAACGAAGCTGATGCAATCGGAACACCAAGAAATGCAAGCACAAGAAGACGGACGAAGACAGGAAGTAAAATCCTACTACCAATTTGACCCTTCTAAGTCCACTGAATTTATGCTTCTCGTAGAAGCCCAAAGAAAAGAATATAATGAAATTAAGCAGAAAGAAGCTAAAGAGAAGGAAGAAACCCTTCGACAGCAAGCCTTGGATGAGAATGAAGCTCATAAGAAAGAAGAAGTTCGGAAACAAAAAGAAGCTAAAGAAAAAGAAGACGAAGAAACGCGTCGCCAACAGCAGGCCTTCGAAGACGAAGAGATTGCTCGCCTTGCTGCACTCCGAAGAGAGAAAAATATTCGCGTTCTTGAAGAAAACAGGCGAAAACAAGCCGAGCTTAAAGATGAGGTTGAAGCTCGTCGCCTTCAGGATGAACTGGACAGAAAAATAGCTCAGGAAAAACGGGATGCCGAGCACGCTCGACAAATGCACGAGCAGGAACTCCTCGAGTGGGAGGAGAAACAAGAACAAGAAAAACAAAGAGCAATTGAAGCTAATGAACGAAGAAAGAAGGCAGAGTTGGAGGAACGACGAAGGGAACATGCCTTATTTCAGGAGCAGCAGCGCAACAATGTGGCGCAGGCGCAAGCTTACGGGCAGCCCCGAGACTTTTTACAGACCGGAAGAGCTAATCCTATAACGCGAAGCAGACTCTCCGATCCACAGGCGCAAGCTTACGGTCAGAATCGAGACCCGGTTTTCCATCCTCAACCAAGGACCACCGACCCGATTCCGATCCCACCGAATCGCAATGACGCCAACAATGGTCGAGGAGGACAACCTCAAAATCCGAAGCCAAAAGAGAGTTGTTCGATTATGTAAGCAGCTTTTTGGAATGATATTACTTTAAAATTCTTATTTCCGCTGATGGATACTTATTTATTTATTACGTATGTAAAGCTGTTTCTCATTTTCATATTTTTGTGTACACGCTTCTCGTTGCACGTACTTAATATCTCATTTTTTTCATTAATTGGCTATATTGATTTAAATATTTTGTTCAAAATAGTAAATTTTCCAATATGTATTTATAATGTACGATCTCCACATCATTTAAATCAATAAATGGTTGAGAATACTGAATTTGATTTATGGTTCTTGCATTTTATTTTTTGCCAAAATCATCATCATAAACGCCATATGGAAATAATGCAAAATCTACTTAAAAGGTGTGTCAATTAATTAATACGACTGGAAAACCCACACAACCACAAAATACACTTATATATGATACAATGAACTTTTCCATGCAAATGAGTTCGACCCAACCTTCTCAAATATCGTATTAAATTAGATTTATTGCTTAATGAGATGTCACCAAAGTACATACAAACAAGTACATGAAGCTAATATTTATCCACTTTTTAAGCTTTTGTGTGAGGATAAAAGTCCGTTTTGGTCATAATCGTTTAAATGTCGGGTCAGTAAATTATCTAAATGCTATAAACCCCTTTTCCTCTCCATTTTGAGTGAGTGAGTAATAAATTAACGGATAAAAAAGTGCAAGTCTCAGTTAAATATGTTTTTAAGAAAGTCTGGTGTAGAAATTGTAGTCAATTTTAGAGGAGTAATTCACATTCTGCTCTGTTGTGGTAGCACCACTCGGGTCTGACCGCCTCAGCGTGGACACCACGTTGGACGAGTCGTTCACGGTGTGAGTCCTGGAAAATCGGGGCAGAAAATGAAATTAGATAAGACATGTTTTAAGGAAGATTTCGGACGTAGTGCAAGAAATAACGGGGAGAAAAGTGGTTTTTTGCAGGTAAATATTTCGACCTGCCAGAAATGCAAGGCGCAAGAAACTACGCCGCGCCGCTGTACTTCATACTGCGCGTGGCTAGATGACGCTTATTTCTTGCGCTTTCTCCCAGTTTCTTGCATCTCACATTTCTTGCGTTTCATGCCTTGCAGTGCAAAAAAATGTGGCAAATCCGCAAGAAATAAGCGAATAACAAAGTGATTTCTTGCAGCTATTTTGACCTGTAAGAAATTCAAGGCGCTAGAAACTACGCTCCGCCGCAGCGCATAGCTAGATGGCGCACATTTCTTGCACCTCACATTTCTTACGTTATGTTTGTATAAAACCCGCAAAAATAAAACACCATGAACTTACCAGTCGTGGGGCCGCCTCTCTCCAAGATTGGGTCGGATTTGACCACAATCTTTCCGCCAGGGCGGAACCTCTCGGCCACAATTTGGGTTCAAGGGTCATGTCATCCGTCTCTGTGGTCCACATGGTCGCCGTTCCTCCGAGAACTTGGGCATACGCGGCGGTCTCATTGTTGTCTGTATTTTAAGGGGAACAATTTTATAAAAAAACTAATTTCTGAAAAAACTTTAATTTTTCTTACGATGCGTCGCCGCAATGTTCATTGGATCATTGTCATACACCGTTTTCCACGTCTTGTAATCACCCCCGCACGCGGGAACGACCGTATTTTGATTCTGGGGTCCAAGCCCGATCGGCGGGAGGAGTCCGGAGTTAAATCCGCAATCCAAACTCCAGGCGTCCGCGTTGGAAAAGATGAGTTTGTACCCGCGGTTAATCACTTTGGCGAGGGTGGGTTCTCTGGCGGGGCTTTTGATCTGAATGACATAAGTTTCTGGGTCGAGGACGACTTCCGAGTCGCGGAGTGAGGTGAGTTTACTATCCCAAATGATCGGCGTGGGCTTCTCGACGCCTTCGGGGGAGGCTTCGTACAACGTTTGAAGGGCGCGGGATTGGTACTCCATCCATAAGCGTTGGAATGTGACGTCGTTCGGGATTTGGGCGGTGGCGCGGAGGACTTCGTTCATCGAGTCGGAGGAATTCCAGCATTGGAAGTTGACGTCGTCGGCGCCCTAAGGAAAGAAAAGGACAGGTTTTGGTTAAGGTTGAATCTACGGAAATTTTTGGTGGGTACTGACCATGTGGAAAAAGTCGGCGTTAGTGAAGGCGTCCAGAGCGTCTCGGTACACGCGGCCCATGACCTGATCAGTTGAAAATATTAGTTATATTATATAACTAATATTATACTAATATTAACTAGCGTACACTGCGAGACCTCCATTGTATATAACTTATATACAATGGAGGTCTCGCAGTGTACGCTCTCCAATTTTGACCAAATTAGTGTCAATTGATCACAGATCTAATGAATATGACATTTGCAAATGACACATCTCCCAGTCGTCACGCTTAGCAAAAATATTTGCATCTGAAGAGGAGAAAGCGCCCAGTTGACAAATTGTACACTTTCGAAATTTAATACATACTCTGTAGGTCTCATTGTTGAGGGGGTTAAGTTGTCCACATGGTGGTTCGGCACAAAATTCCTTCCAGGGTTCCTTGTTCAGACAGACGACGAGGTCTCCTTTGCCTTCTCGCTCACCCCATTGCCATCCTGTGAGAAAAGTTAATTTTTTATTTTTTTTTGTCTTATGAAATGAAATTGTACCGAAATTATGTGATTGTGTCAGATTGTTCTCTTACCATTTCCGGCACGGGCAGGGCCACCTTAAAAATAGTAAACCAACAATTAGGAAATATTTTACGCTTTGATTTTAGCCAAGATGCGATCGGTTACACTAACTTTTTTTGAAAATTACTCGAAATGCTACAAGTGTAACGAAAATGTAGAATTTAAAAACTAACCAATTTCTGGAACGACCCGAATTCCACGAACTTGAGCGTACTCCACAATATCTCGGATAGTGTCGGGATAATAGATTTTGTGTGGGGCGTAAGCACCGTATAACGCCTACATAAGTGAAATATAATATACTTAATTAGGATCTGGTAATTATTTTTATATGCAAATGACGGGATTGATTGCATACCATTTTTGGGGCTCGTCTTGAGTAGAAGGGGAAAGAGTGAGCGTCAGACACGTGCCTATAAAAAGCCAAAGTATTATTGCTTAGCTATCATGGCTTATCATCTCAGGTTTTGTGAAAATTTACCAGTGGAGCGTATTCAATTTATTGTAGGACATGGCATCCACCGTCTTTTTGATCATTTTTGGCGAAATGTAGTTGTGTCCAGTGTCAACCATGAGGCCTCGATAAGGGAAGGCGGGCTCATCCTCGATGTAGCCGTGCTTCACCATGATCAGACAGTCGCAAGTGTCCTCGTAGTTGATCAGTTGGCTCAAAGTTTCCAGGGCGTGCCGAGCTCCGTAGTAGGTTTTCGAGTGAATCTAAATAAATACGAGGAAAAAAATTGTGATTTAAACAGAAGTATATATGTTTTTTATGAGAAAATTAAGGAAATGTGGATTGGATTCGACGAATTTGCATATTTTTAGAATAATGAGTTTGTTTTCTCCTGTAGATTGTAAGATCTTTAGAATTTTGAGAGATTTCGACGTCATTTCAGTAAAAAGAGTGATTTTCATAATGCTAAATTATTACTCAGATGCCTTTTTTGTCGTTCAGGGATTTTTTACACTTTTGAAAGATAACGGGGTGAAAGTGGTTTCTTGCAGGTAAATATTTTGACCTGGGAGAAATGCAAGGTGCAAGAAACTATGTCCCGGCGCTATAAATGATTCATACGGCGCGTGCCTAGAGGGCGCATATTTCTCGCAGTTTCTTGCACCACGCATTTCTTGCATTTCATGCTTTGCAGTGCAAGAAATTTAGCTAACCCGCAAGAAACGAGACACTAATTGCTCCCCTGATTTTCAATTTCTCACCTTAACCTCCACGACGCCACTTTCCGTCGTGTTGACGCCCATGGTATAGCTCTCATTGGTATTCAAAGTGAGGCGTTCCTCCGGGGAGTCAATCTTCATGGACACCATCACCGTGGTTCGCTCAATTTCTGAAGTATACTTCTTATCAAAGGGGTTCGGCTGCTTGCCAGAAACCGAGGCGTCATAACCAGGATGCATTTTTAGTAGTTCGACTTGGAAACTTTTGCCAGCCTGGAGGAAACATAAAAATAGGAAACTTAGATTTTATTTTGAAATCCAGCTTAGCATATTTTGGGCACATACTTGTTGCAGCATTTCCCTCACTCGGGCGGATGGAGGGTGCGCCCAGTTGATGAAAAGTCTGAAAATTAATTAAAATTGAGTCTGAAAAAATTTTCATGACATTTTGTCCCGCATGTACGAAGCTTGAGATAGAAGAATATGCACAGATTTTGCCCTTTTAGCATTCTGAAATTATTTTCATTGAGAAAATTGAAAACTTTTCAAGTCAATTTGCCCGAAGTCTGACGTATTTTGCCCCCTTGGCAAGTTGCTCTTGTTATTCGTACATAATTTTGTGTACGCAGTTCATGCAATGTAATTAAGTCAAACTTCAAACAGGTATTATTATTAAAACAGCTTTTCATTTCAAGTTCAGAAGCAATGAACTCTAACTCCTGAAACCAGAACATGATCAACTTTGGCTGGATTGGATTGGATTTGAGATCTGAACGTGCATACGTATGTATCTCGTCCAAACCAAAGCCTGGATTGACGGTTATTAACACGTAACAACGCCATGGGCATCATAGTTGCAAATCGATCCATCTCCCTTCCGTCTGAAATACGTAATGATGGGTGCCAAACTAATAAATCTTCTGGTCAGTGAAACCAAATCAGCAATTAAAACTAGACGCAACTAACGAACGAACGAGTATGTGAAAAGGTGCAAAAAAACTGGATTGAATTTAAGAAGATCGAGATCATTCACTGCATGTCGTCTCACAATTGTCAAATTGTCAGGCAGGATGATGACACCAGTGTTTCGGGTGCAAGAAAGTGGTTTCTTGCAGGTAAATATTTTGACCTGCAAGAAATGCAAGGCGGGAGAAAGTACGTCCCGACGCTATAAATTAATATACATAATACTTCATGCGGCGCGTGGCTAGAGGACGCTTATTTCTTGCACTTTCTCCCAGTTTCTTGCACCTCGCATTTCTTGCACTTATTGCTTTGCACTGCAAGAAATGTGACAATCCCGCAAGAAACGAAACACTGGATCACACACGGAATATGTGTACGTAGTGGCCGCGGAAGCTTGAGGGGACAGAGGGACAATGTCCCCACGGTGTTTCGATGTCTCCATCATATCCCCATCTTACATAAGCCCCTCCCTCCCCTATCCAACAATGTCAATGTCCCCAGATGTCCCCACAGCTTCCGCAGCCACTGCTTATGTACGTACGTACCTTTGTGGTTTGAATGAAACAAGCTCATCGGCGAGGTCGACTGCCCCCGTGGGTCGTGGCCAGATTGATCTATATTCCCCGCAAAGGAGTCGGCACTTGGCTAAGGATTGGGTTGAAGGGGCATCCTCCGGATTCCTGTCCCTGGAACAGGTCTCGTTCAAACATGCGTACGAGTAAGGAGTGGGAAGTTGGTAGTAGACTTCCTGGGTGGAGATCAGGGGGAGGAAAAATGCCCCCGTGACTGCGCACAGTAGGCCATAGGTGAAGGTAGCCATCCTGCAAAAAGTATAGGTGCATTAGTAACTAGATTATTGAGACATATGATTTAATTTTATGGCAAAATCAAGCCACGATTTGCACTAATAAAACAGTAGTAAAAATTCGTCTCAATTTCGCGTAAGTCACGATTTAGCTTAAATTTACATCAATAAACGTATGTAAACCGGTAGTCTGTACATGGAAATTAAACAAAGATTATGTATTGCCACCCCTTAAAATTAAACCGTAAAGCTCACCTGAATTTTAAAAACTACAATTTTCTTCGTCTTCTTCTTCTTCTCCACTTGAATGACGAGACGCTGGCTGGATACTGGGACTGGATTTTAAGGAAAGCTACCCACCAGACTGATGAACTTAGGATTAGATGAAGAAGAAGTTGTTTGAATCTTCTTCTTGGCGTTGGTGGGATCATGTCACGGGAATCTTGTTGCTTGTATGGATTTGCTTATAAGTATAACCCTACACCATAAAAATGTTGTCCGATTTTGGCTAGTCCATCTTTCTTATAGGCAAAAGTCATTAAAATTCATACCCAAGCCTTCTTCTAAACAAGCTGAAATATGGAGATCATCAACGTTATTATAGGTTGGGCATCGCAGTAAAATGCTGGCTGAAAATTCGGATGCAAAACTAATAACAGCAGCAGCAGCAGGTACATTATTTTCACATATTTTGTACGTATTATAGGGCTGGGTTCTTCATTTAATGGCTGCTTGTGGTAAATTGCAACGAGTTGTGCCCCAGGTCACAATTTAGAGTACGATAAGGAGTATGATTACGCCATGCAAAATTACAGATGTATGCAACACACCTTTTTTCAAAAGTTAGAAATCTGCCTAATCTCTTGATCCAATCCAGGAAGGATTTTATGAACCCTCCCGCAGTCAAAAATATGTATGGCATATCACAAAATGTGCACAAATTTTAGTCCAGTCCAGGGGTTAAAAATCCATGAATACGTGGATTAGACTTGGTTGAACAATCGTAGAAAACCGGACTTTCGTATTTAGTGAAGCAGTAAGTAAGCAAACCCATTGAAAAAGACACTTTTCTTTAACCACAGCATCATATCCAGTATACGTAAATATTAAGTGAGATGAGATGAGCTGAGGAGAGAGATGCAATCGGGGTTAAACGGCCGAAATCAAGGAGAACCACTGCGAATGCGAATCACTTAACACGTTCCTCTTACTTTCAAAACGAATCAACGCAATGCAATGCATTCAGTTCTAATCAGGCTTAAAGTATGTAAAAAATGAGCTTAAGTAGATTTCATATATATGTAGAGAAAAACATGATTATAAATCCATACAAAATTCAGTGGGTAACGAATTTCTGTTATGTTTTTTTACTGCTAATTTTACAGGAAACAGGTCTGATACTTATTACTTGATTATTATTGTTGGAGCAGAAATTGAAATTATTTATTCGGCATCTTCTTCATCATCATCGTCGTCATCATCAGGTCCGGAGGATGGTTGTGTAACGCGGACATCCACCGAGGCAGATCGACTCCCTCGCGACGTGCTGTAGCGTCGCTTTTCTGGGTGCCAATTTCTCAGCAGCTCGGCCACTTTTAAATGACCGAATTGTATGGCTTCATCGTACGGAGTGTTTCCCCATCTAAATAATTTGCATTTTTAAATATTCGAGTATTTATACATAAACATCTAAAAAGTTTATCAGTGTCTCGTTTCTTGCGGGTTTAGCTACATTTCTTGCATTGCAAAGGAAGAGATGCAAGAAATGTGAGGTGCAAGAAACTGGGAGAAAGTGCGAGAAATATGCGCCATTTAGTCACGCGCCGTATGAAGTATTTATCGCGGCGGGGCGTAGTTTTTCACCCCGTGCATTTCTTGCAGGTCAAAATATTTATCTGCAAGAAACCACTTTCTTCCCGTTATTTCTTGCACGTGGTTACTTTCACCGGAAACACTGGGGTTCATACCTGTCTTTCCTGTCGTGTCGGACGCCACATTGTCGCAATAAATAGTAGCAAATGTCGTAATGTCCTTCGCACGAGGCGACATGAAGTGCCTAAAAGAAAGAGAGGGGTAAAACTGGTGAATGCTAATTTTAGCGTTTTTTTAAAAATTTTATTGCGTACCGTTCTTCCATCGCAGTCGTACAGCCCCATGTCCACGCCACAGAGGTGGAGACGAAATATGGAGTCGAGATCTCCCGCTGCTGCCGAAAATTTTAGAACAATTGTGTTCGAACCCTTTGTTTCCAATCTGTAACAAAATCACAGTTTCTTCAATGGTTTAACCACGAAATCCTCAGAGTGCAGGGTGTTAGTAATAATTGAGTATAATAACAAGTCGCACAACTCACGAACTTCACACACAGACTCTCAGCTGGCAAATAAATAATTAATTAATAACACAAATAATAAATCTCCCGAATGGTAACAAAGACAGTATATAACTGAGTAGTGGCATAATACAAATATAAAAGAAGTAGATAGTCCCACAGTTATCAATTCATTCAAGAAATAGAATTTCAAATAATACGAAGTAAACACTGTCACCGGCCTGTTAACCTTATATATTTTCAGTGGCGGCGGAAGCAGGGGGACATTGTCCCCCCGGAAATTTAGCAAAATCGTATCTTGCCCATGTTAATAAGCCCCTCCTTCTCCTACCCCACAATGTTAATGTCCCCACATGTCCCCCCAACTTCCGCCGCCACTGTATATTTTTTATATTAAGTGTTACAAAGCCACCCATTCTAAAAAAAAGCTGACAAGATGGCCAGTGAATTGTCGTTAGCAAATTTGAAAACAGTGCTTAAAGAGAATAATACTGACTTGACAAACACAATTAGTAAGAAAATTGATTCAAAGTTTGATGCACTAAATGATATCCTTAGCGCACAAGATAAAAAATTAAAGTTCTAGAGTCTGAAGTGCTAAAATTGAATAATACTGTAGTTCGTGTTACTAATGAAAACGAACAGCTTTGGCGTGAAGTTAACAAACTCAATTTAGTTATCTCAGGGGTACCGGACTCTGAATATGAGTCTCGTGAGGATCTAGGAGTCAAAATTGACACCATTATTGTAAAGATAGTTGGTGAAAGTAGAAAGTTCGACACCATTACAAGAGTTGGAAAATTCCTAAAAAACTCTGCAAGGCTGATCAAAGTTCGCTTTCTCTCAATAAGTGACCGGGACGAGGTGTATGACAACCGATACAATGCGGAGCGCCCGACCTACATCAACGAAGATATCCCACCCACAATGAGAAGAGATCATGCCATAATGCGTCAGAAGAAGAAGCAATTTATTAAGGATGGATTTGGACTACAACAAATAAAAATGGACTGGAACAGACGGATAATTCGAGCTGGAGAAGAGACGTACAAAGTCGTTGATGGAAACATTAAACTACTCGTCCCAAATATTACGACAACCTCAAACTCCCCCCCTCAAAGTCAGAACCAAAATACCACGCACCAAAACTTTCAAAACAGAGTGGGTTCCGGACATCCGAACGGGACAAACCCCTATTACGGTGGATCGGACTCATCTCCAGGAAATCACACTAACGCAAAATTGACTATCAATGGATCGAGAGGAAGTGGGAGAGGACATGGACCTAGAGGCGGCTCAAACCAAGTAGGACACCGAATCCATGCATCTGATCCATCGCCTTTTCCGCCCAAATCACCGTCACTCCCCTTCAACCCATCGGCAACCTCATCTGCACGTCCCCCCCATTTTTTAGGCCAGTCCAGCCTAAGCCTCGGCAACTAATAACTCTGTCCCAATTAAATGTTAACTCTGTACATAAAAAAAATTTAACGAAATATCTACTTACCTTTCCGCCAAAGACATCGACATTTAATGTGTAACTGAAACCCTATTCTATTAACTGAAAGATGTGATATGAATAAGTCTGTTTATGTACTTGGCGATTTTAACCTTAATAGCGAAAAGTCAATTAAGCCACTAATTACAACCTTAACACAATTAAATCTTACCTGCTCTAAAAAAGCATAGGTCATTACTCAGTGATATTGTGGGTCGATTAGGTGATAAACCGATTATAAGGGTACATAAAGTAAAGCTTTTGGGTGTTATTGATGATTGTCTTGAATTTAAGGTTCATTGTAAGACCACCTTAAATGTTACTCAGTACGTACCATAGAAATATTGTTGTGAACTCCCTCATCATGTCTATTATTAATTATGCCTCTCCAGTCTACTTAGTTGGTAATCAGAATATCAAATGTATCCAGAAACTCATAAGATCGTGTGCAAGACGTGTATTAAACAAGCGTAAATATGATAATAATGATGTTAATTATGAGGTAATACAAACTAGGCAAACGCGATCCGTAACACATGTTGAGCCAAATATACCGTGTAACTCAAAAATCATGCTGATAAGTTTCAGGTATAGAGCGTCCTAGGTCATGATCCATTTACCGAGTGATTTATTTAGTGGTAATATCAGTAAAAGTGTTTTTAAAAAAAAGAAAAAAAAAATTATCCAAGAAGTAGTTTATTGATAAGCAACGTGAAGAACGAATTATTGATATGTTTAATCTAATTGATAATAACGAAGAAATGTAACTGTGTATACTTTATATATAAAAATTGTCTGTCCTTGAAACGTAATGACCCAATCTTTGGGGTGTTTCATTGTATGAAATAAATAGATAAATAAATAAATAATACGAACGACCACGATAACTTTTTCATTTTTCGAAAGATTTTCCTAATTTTCGAACGTGATTCATAATTTTGCAGATTTTATGTGTGTGCAAAATGGATAAGTTGCGAGAGATAGACAGAGAAGCATGATGGGTACATACATACATAAGCCCTCACTCGGGCTAAAAAGTAATAATGATCACATACGTTCTTCGGGTCGGGTCAATCTTGCCACGCTTGTCCACATCGAAACAATGAAAGTTGAAAGTTTTGACCAGTTTCTATCCATAAATTAGGAAAAATTCAAAATTTATTTATTTTTAGTTTAAATGGATGGGCGAAAAATTCCGAATTTTAAAATTATTTTTGTATGAAGTTAGTATGATGGATGTATTTACCTCACAAAATTCCACGCCTCTGACCGAGTTGCCAAACTTGTCGAGTGGGGGAGACCACACCGCAAACCCCCCAACATTCGGTATAACTAAAAGAATTACGCCAGCGATGCTGGACTTTGCGGGAAGTCCGACCTAACGTTTGGAAAGGTTTAATTAATTACCTAGCTTTAATTAACTAACTATGTATAGGTTTAATTTAGTTAATATATACAACTCAAAATTACCCTGAATGCAAATTTTCCAGAAAATTCAAGCATTCCGCAGGAAAACATGACGCTAAGAACGTCCGCTACGACCTCTTCGCTAAGAACGCGTTGTCCTGTAATTCGTAAATGAAATAGTTGCAGCAACTTCAATGGTAGATTAGTGGAGATTTGTATGCATAAGTATCCCAATTTTTTTTACCAGTAATGGGACAAATTCCACCATTTGCAAATGTAGATGCAATCACGGAAAGTACATCGACCGTCGTTTCCATGCTGGATGTCTACGTATGTACAGGACAGGCATTAATTTTAATGTGCATAAAATCCGACCTCAATTTGCATACTTCTCATAAATACCTGCAAATAATACTCGATAACATCCGCCAAATCAATTCCTGGCGGAAAACAGTTATGTTCTTTCATAAAATGGACCAAGGCCCAATTTCTGTCGGAAGCTTGTCTTTTGTTGAGAAACATGCCATTACTAAATCCCACGTATTCTCCACCACTCAATTTCTACAAAAATTTACATAATATTTATGTATGTATTGTTCCTGGAAAACGCTTAATTTCTACTTAAGTAAAATTTGCATATACTTATGCACGTGGAAAAGATTGGTAGTTTTTGTACCTCAAATAATCTATGTGTTTCATCAAATCTCTCAGCCGATGAGAGTTCGGGATGACAAAATTGCTGTAGTAGCGCATGGATCATGAGACTCCCAGCGTTTATTATGGGGTTGTGTGGTCTCTCTAAAAAAACATGGGAAATTTTCTAGGTTTCGCTGTGGTTTTGTTTTAACCACTGTTCAGAGCCAGTTTTAACCAGGTTTCGAATTTTGGAGGTCTAACATGTTCAAAAAATGTCCAAAATGTGAAATTGGCAAAATTTTGCAAGTTCTTCATTATTGAATCTTTCGAAAATCCGTTTATGTGGTTTATGTATATGTAATCTCGTATTAATTTAGAGCATTTTTTGTGTAATACGGCATGCTTTAGAAATTTTCTTACTTTCTTGTAAGAAAAAAGGTAAAAATTAATGGGATGTTACGTATCTGTGTATAAATTTGGAAGAATAATATATTTGCAAAAATTAAGAACTTGTATCAGTATGAACTTGTAGCAAGAAATTGCCTCATTTTCTGACATTGCACTTTTGTACATTTTGGACGTCAAAAATTATTTTGGACAGTTTTAGATAGCTTTAGCCAGTACAGTTTTGACCGTCCAAAACGAAACACTGGAAATTTTGTTCCCTAAAAAATTTTCAATATTTCCATAATATTTATATATTCATCTTACTTTCTGGATCGAGGACCAACTCATTAAATCTGTATCCCGACGGCTCTTGGCCCACATACTTGTGCACTTTAACCTTGCCAATTTCTTGCAAAGCGTACGCATACATGAGCGGTTTGCTAATTGGAAAGATAACAATTACCTTAATTAGTGCTAATTATTTTAAATGCCACTCCAACTCTTCCAACCTGAGCGCATGCAGCGTAACTGGCATCGTAGAATCGCCCACGGAATACCGCTGTCCATCAATCGAGCAGAAAGAGACCCCCCAACAGGTCGGATTTACCAGGGCCAACTTATTCAAATATGGGGCCACCGTGCCCGCCGTTATGTCCTTACAGTCGAGAAAAATGTCCTCCACCATTTGACAAAAGAGGTCGAATTTCGGGATGATAAAGTGATTTCGATAAGCGGTCGAGATGATGAAAATGTTGGGGATGATGACCTCTTGAAAGACGTCCCGAGTGATGTGGAGCGTTTCAATGGAGCCGACAAAGTTGTCGTTCATGTGACCGCGATGGATGGCTTCTTGTTCTTTCAGGATTCGGCGTAAGCTTTGAAACAGTTCGTGGAGACGGTAGTCGGTTCGTTTTAGGCCGGCGTTTTCCAGCATCTATGTAAAAGAGTATGTAAATGGGTCAGTAAAGTAAAGTGGTGAGGATTATGATCACAAGGCGGATATGTATTTACGAAAAATCGTAGAAATATGTAGGTATTTACGAAAAAAAATAGTTCCAAAATATGTAAATCGCAAAATTTTGTATTTTCGAATGCAATGCTCTGAATTTTGTTGTTGTTCAATTCCGCTAAGAAGAAAAAACTCGTCTCACATCGTTGAAATATTTTTAAAATATGTGCATTTTTTTAAAAATTACTCTGAAAAAGAAAATAAGCCTTTTACGGATTTAAGTATTTTTCGAATAATAACGAAAATATGCAAATATGGATAAAAGTGATCTATAAAAGTTAGGGAACACACCCCCAAAGTTTCATTAAATGAATGCATTGAAAATAAATGCATATCTGTCCTCTGATAATAATAATAATGCCTTGGGAAACTTACTGCTAAAAATTTTCCAATCAAAATATGGTCCGATCCATCACTGAACTGGTTGAAAATAGCGTCGTCAATTCGTGTCGATTTCTTCCTGTGGGATTAATCGTGAAGTGCGATAAAATTTTGCATATTAAAAAACATGCGGCTCATTTTACACTTATAAGTGACTTATTATATAAAATTATGTAATTTTGAGAATTTTATATTTGTGGTAAAATTTCGCATAAAAATTTTGCACATAAATTTGCAAATAAATATTCTCTCACAATGTTCCATACTGCCTCCCCGTACTGCTTTCTTCTCCATCCGATTCATCATCCGTCGAAAACGGGGACGTGTCGCTGGGCGCGGTGAGGAAATCGACCCACACCAGCGACGCGCTGCGATCCCTCTGCTTCTCCGGGCGCCCATCAAACGTCGGCGTCGGAATGGACAATCTGCCTCCACGGGTTGACGACATGTCGTCTTCTTCAACGTCAACTTCTGCCCCGTCCTCTTTGAAAGTCACGGTTTTTCGGGTGGCTTCCCCCTCGCGAAGGTTCTCAGTTTCGTACACTTTGTCGTAAAGGTGCAGGATTCGAGCGGCCGTTTGAGACGACGAAGGTGTGGGCGAGGCTGCTGAGAATGAGCCATTTGGAATGGCAGGATGGGCAAATGGCATTTTTTTTACTAGGGAGGGGGTGCTAATTGAGTGAATATTTATTATTTTGACGATTTTCTTATGGAAATTATTGGATCGGGTTGTTAATTGATGTACAAGTTTATTGTCGGCTGCCTAAAATAGTTCGGCATGCTTTTTTAAAAATATGAGAAAAAGCTATGAAAATAAACACCTTGTTTTGTGTGGTTTGGTTGAATCGTGGTTTAAATCTGACCATGAATTTATTTGGTTAACCGTAATGTAAGTACTAAAGTAAAGCTAAGTAGTGGAAGGGAAGCATGTTGCGTTACATGGAACTTAACTAATATAATAGTATAATTATAGTGTAATTTTAGCTAGTTTTGGCCAGAGTGAAGGCTAATTTAGTAACGAATTTAATTTGCATACGACTACATACATAATTCTGTACTTGGGTGTGGATATGGAATAAACATTTTGAAATCCTGGAGCCATTTTTAATTCAAAATTTCACCCATTTAATTATTCGACTGTATGAGAAGCAAATTTATTTAGTATTAATCTATGTGTAATAAAGGTTTAAATATAGCCAATTAATGAAATCTAACTTAACACAATATGATGAAAATTACGTACAACATTTTTGGAAGTGAGATAAATCTTAAGGCAGGAATCAATAATTTCACCGAATCATGAATGTTATTTTGAGGAGCGGGGTGTCCTGTATCAAGTAAAATATCCAGATTTAGTGGGTATAAAGATATGTGAAATTTACGCAACGGACTTACTTTTATTGAGGTTGAGGAAGATTTTGAACAATAGTATTGATCTCATTAATAATATGATTCCGTGATCCTGTCGGAAAAAATGAGAGATCCAACCGCGTCCCATCGTCAATCACGACGCTCAAATCTTCTGAGCCCAAACTATTTGAAGTGGTCATGTCCACTTTCGTGGCGATGTTGAAATAATGCGAAGATTTTTTGTCTTGTGGTTTGATACAAATCGTTCTTTCATGGATGTCCACTGATACATATCCTCTTGGTAGCGTGATCTTGTTAGTAGCATCCACGACAATTAAAAATTTGCGAAGGATTGACTCCTGAAACACACGAATAGTCATAATTATTGAAATTAGAAATGCAACGATGTTGGTGGTTGAAAAAGTAAAAGAGGTTTGTTTAACTTTCAACCTTATTTCAACCTCTAATCTAACAATAGATTTACAGTTAATTCGGTAGATGATTGGTTATGAATAAATTGGGAAAGGGTTGAAAACCATTGTATTCATATTAAGTATGCGGTGGTTTGACTATATATTCTTGAAACCCTTTCTATGTATCGTAAATACATGCGGTTGAAATTATTATAAAGTTTTAACGTTTCAAAACTTACCATCTTAACTGGCTCTTTTACTACAACACTGGTTCCAAAATGAAAAAAATTGTCAAGAGTTCGGGGCAGTGAGCAGGTCAGGTCGTCTCGGGATAATCTATGAGTCTGAGCATTAAAGGAAGACCAAATTTTGTACGGGTTCCTTATGGGGAGTTGGATCTTAAGATCATAGCATATGTATTTAGTACGTATTTATCATTTCATAGTTCTCAACTGTTATCTTATTTATGCAAAAAATTTATTTAGTTGAGCTGAGCTTGAGTGGAATGTATTATTTGCATTTTAAAATTTGATTTAAATAATCAAATTTATTGCAGATTATATACCATGCAAAAAGGTGAACCATCCATTCCATCCTTCAATTTTGCATTTACGAATGGTGCACAGTTTCCTTTAGATCACGGGAAAGTCATCAATCGTCAGTTGCATTAAGAGATAAAATCATATCATTATTTACCCAATGGAGTGAAATTTGTTGGCAGAATGCATCATTATTATTATTTTACATACATCATCATTATCATGAAAAAAACAAATGTCAAACGCTGCACAAAATTATACCTTCCTGAAATTTAAAAAAATAGAAAGAAGATAGAGATAAAATGGACTCACCATACATACATGCAAATGGGTTTTGATCTCATTCGGCAAATTGATTCGTTTCCCCTGTCCGACTGACCTTATCTGCACGTTGCATTATCGAATTTATCCTTATCAGTATTATTATATTCCTGCCTGATCCAAGTTCACATTTACATATGTACATACCCCATAGCATCATTTCGACATCCAAACATGATTGATAGTATATAACTTATCATAAAAAAAATGTGGCTTACATCACCTCATCACCACAATTCAGTTATTTTAAGGTGTGTGTGCGTCAACGCTTAGCAATTTGCTAATAGCTATTTAGTTTAAAAAAAACTTGTGATTTCGCCAAGCTCGGCGCATAGCACATAATTCGCCATGTCGCAAGGTTACTACACGGTCTGCAGTTCTCCACGTGGCGGGGGGAAAAAGGTCAACCCGTTTTCCACTATGTCGCACCAACCACAAAACCATCAAAGTTACGCGACGACGATGCCCAGCAGGAATTTTAATAGTCCGGTGGCAACAAATTATGGTGGTTCAAGGGCACCTGTAGGTTATAGTGACGGTGGTGGTGGCAGCTTTTTGTACGGCGGTACCATGGGTCGCAGTGATCGGGGGTCGTTATATGGCGGTGGCGATCCTGGCGGTGACCGCGAAGTTGTCAACGGTCTGGTCATGAACAGATTTCAGACGATGCGACGACTTCCAGCTTATCATCAGCAGCAGCACCAGCAAGAATTTTACGGTGCTGGTGGGAATGGGAGTGGTGGAAGGGGTCACGTGATGAATTCGGATTTTTTTACAAGTCCGTCAGCGGAGTCGGGGTCGACGACGTATAATTTTTCGACAATGCCGAGAAAATCGGGGAAGGAGAAGAAAAGCAATAAAAATATGAGGCAAGATTATGGACAACCGATGGACTTCCAGAGAGATCAGTGGGGTAATAGAGATTGGACTGGTAATTGATAATGCGAATATGTGGTTAAAGTTAATTAATCAATTAATTTACTGTCTATGCAAATATGTGCTGAAAGTTAATTGGTTAATTAATTAACTATTTAATAGATCCGAACGGAGGACTCGATCTCAATGGGGTTGACGACCAGGAAGATGACATTTATTCAGAGGCTTATTCCGATGACCGAAATAGTCATCAATTTAAGTATGTACAAGTGTACGAATTATTCACTCTTAGAAATCTGGTATTAAAATTATACCAAGCGGTATTCATATATGACTCTGCCAAAGTGGTATTGATACATACCGTGTAGTAATAGCTGAGTTTCAAAGTTTCAGGAGCATATCGGTAGCAAATGTTTGCGGACCAGCACAATTTTAATACCAAGCGGTAGCAAGCTTAATACAAAGATACCTGTCTGACTATACCAGATTTCTAACCAGTGCAATAATTTGCGTATAACAATTTACAAAAAATGAAATAATTAAACGCAAGATCTTCATTTTTAGCAGTTACGCCGAGCAGGATCGTGATGATTATGAGGAGACTTACACTTTACGCCGTGCAGGATTAAAGGGTCCTCTCCCACCACCACCACCCCGACCTACCCAAACATCTTATGGTGTCAAAAAATTTCCAGCGTATCAATTTAACACGGCAAACTATGATAATGACGAGCAAAACAATGGTTTCGTACAACCATCATCGATCTTTGGTGGGCCTAAAAAAGGGGCGAAGGGTCATGCTAATGGTCCACCACCACCACCTCCTCCGATGCCGATGGGAGGAGGTGGAATGCCACCCCCACCTCCGCCCCCACCTGGACCAGCTTCTCACCAGTCAAACAGTGGTTCTCATAATAGGTCAACTTTACCTCCGGTGTCCAGTGATAGATCCAACCTTATGGCCGACATTCGAAAAGGAGTTAATTTGAAGGTGGGGTAAAAATTAAAAATTAAAATTTTGATGAAAATTTCATAAATTATAATGAGCAAGTTGAAATCTAAATCTTTATGGATTTTTTTTATCCGACAGAAATCCAAAACCAATAACAGAAGGAGATAAATTTAAACTGAGGAGATAAGTATGATGGATGGATGGACTTGCTAATGCACACATAGATAAATTTAATTAACTATTTGATTAATTATGTATTATATTTTATTCGAGAAAATAAAATTTAATAAAACAAATGACGCTAAATTTTAGTTAGTGACGGTAGAGCATATAAAAACATGACATAATTCTCTCAGGAACAATTTGCATAGATAATTGATGCCACATTTTTCTACCTGGAAAATGAGTAGTCATGGTGTGCCTGCTGTTATCTTTTTAGGTTATCCATTTTTTTTAACGAAATTCAGTCCTTTCAGCCACCATCATTCACAATTGGATGCTTCAACCCCCACCACAAACCGCAATTACTAATATTCAGTCATGGCTGACAAAAGAAATTCTAAAAATGAAGACGACGGAAAGAGAAAGTCTGGAGGTACATACAGACATATTTGCATAGATTTGAAGATGTTAAACTTCGTTGATTAGTGAAAGTAATATCACACGCATCTAAATCATTTGTTTATCTAGAAAAAGAGCCTCCACGCCCCCCAAATCCCGACCAGAATGTACCCCCCAAATCTGACGCAAAACGCTCCTCCGACGATAAGAAGAAGGAGCCAAAGCGCGTCTCCCTTGAAGAACCTGCCTCCACCAAAAACTCGGACGAGTCCGAAAGCGCTGTGGGCGCAGGTGGCACGCTGACCACGATTACCACCACGCGACACCACCACCATCACCGCAGTCATCACAAACATCACCGTCACGGTGGTGGCCTCACTACCGAAACGGTAACGAAAAAGCCTGTCGAAAATATTGTCGCCACGATGTCGCCACCTCCTCCGCCACCTCCAGCCATCCCTAAATTATTGAGGCATCCCACCGATAAGCCTGAATCAGTTAAGGCGACCGATTCAAAAAGACCACGACGTCAAAAACCCGGACAACTTCCGGTTGCTCCCGGTAAAACAGTATTATCCGACGATGACCAGTCCGAAGTTGACTCACTGGCAGAACCGGCATCGTCCGAGTCTGGATTTTTGACCTCGTTTCGCCGAGCTTCGACCCGGGTTATAAACGCGCTGGGAATTTTGGAGAGTAAAACGGACGAAATATTAATGGAGGAGGAGCAGAAGGACAAAACGGATTCCGTGGAAGATATCGGACTTCCGTTTCTACTCTTGGATAAGTCTACAAGTGTGTAAAAGTTGAATTTCTGTATTAAAATTGGACTTGTCAAAATTAGCAAATTTTGTAATCATTTTTCGGTTCTGGGAATTTATTTTAAAAATTCTGAACGACAAATTTATAGAGCAGGTCGTTCCCAATTTTAAAAAAATATACACTCCAGATTTTGACACTTTTTGAAGGAGGGGATCTTAAGTTTAAGAAACCTTCAGAAAAATTGGAACTCGTCGAAACTGGCTTAAAAAACTCAACGCCATTCCATTAATCAACTAACTGACTATAAATTTGTCGTTCAGAATTTTAAAATAAGTTCCCAGAGGGGAGAAATGTCTAAAAATGTGTTGATTTTGACGATAAGCCATCGTGCCCTACCTTAATTAGTGCATACTTTAAGTTAGCTGGCTTATTTTACACGGATTTGCATAGTGAAAATGCTGAACGATGATGACGAAGATGTCCAAATAGCGGCAGACTTATCCGAAGTTTTGGCCCATTACAAGGGAGAATTTTCCCAAGAGGAAAAGGCCGCAGATCCCGATAACCTTCCAGACGTTGGGTACGAGGACATTGTGAAGATGTTGAAGAGTCAAGGCATCCCGATCCCGACGGACAGTGACTTTTCCAAACTGGAGTCCAGCTATAGTCAAAAGTGGGACCCGGATGGGACCGTGGTCGAGTATTATAGTAAGAGACGCGTTACAATGTTATCTTCTCATCCGGGGGACGCGGAATCATGAGGGCTTAGAAATATCGTTACAATTTTATTGTCCCCATGCACAGTTCCGCGAATCCTATTTCTCTCTAAGAATGGAGGTCTCCCAGGGTATGCTATCCGATTTTGAGCAAATTAGTGTCAATCGATCACAAATTTGATTAGGATGAAATTTTCGAAAGACACGATCTCCCAATGGACACGTTTGGCAGAGATATTTGCATCCGAAGAGGAGAAAACGCACCTGAGTATAAAATTGTAGTAGTTAAAAGTCAGAAATAAATTCTGGTAAAGAAAAATAATAAAGTAAACTTGATCGTAGATGCGTAGCCAAACTTTATCCCTGCCTTTGTATCCGAAGAGGAGAATACGCGCAGTAAATTTGGAAAGTGTAAAATTTGTCGACTTTAGAGCGCGTTTTCTCCTCTTCGGATGCAAATATCTCGGCCAAACGTGCCCATTGGGAGATCGTGTCTTTCGCAAATTTCATACTAATCAAATTTGTGATCGATTGGCACTAGTTTAGAAGTCGGAGAGCATGTGCTGGTCCATCTCCATTTTTGGGATGGGAGAGAGCTATTTATTTAGGGGGAAATTTTCAGACTGAATAATTCGCTAATTTACATAACTGGTCCCGTGTTGCGTTCCTTCATCCCGATAAATATGAGGGGAAGGTATAGAGGATGTTGGTTGGAGGATCATTGCGTTCAAGGTTTAGATATCAGCAAGTGAGCACACGTACATAATTTGAAAATAGTTTTTTTAAAGAAAATTTGTGAAATTTTTGTAAATTACGCAATTAATATCTCGATGTATAGGATTAAACCAAAACCGGACGCATTGGAAGGGTTCGTGGATCAGGGGAGGACAGGTTTACATCCAAACTTTATTTAATTTGTGATAAAATTTGCAAATTTTTGCATTTTGAATCTCTGAATTGGTAGTAAATATTGATGAAAAGTATCAAGAAATGTTTGACGTGGCGGATGATGGAGCTCACCTCGATTATTTGATTGAAATGCAAAAATGCCAAGCTGAAACGTTACCGATTCCGGTAAAAAAATACATAATAATGAATATTTATTTCAAAATTTGCGTAGGACTTGATAACTCATCACCAAAATTTTCAAAATCAACACATTTTTAATCGTTTCTCCCTTCTGGAAACTTATTTTAAAATTCTGGACGACAAATTTGTATTCGGTAATTTAATTAATGGAATGACGCCGGGGGTTTTCAGTCAATTTCGACGAGTTCCAATTTTTCTGAAGACTTCTTAAACTTGAGATCTCCTCTTTCAAAAAGTGTCAAAATCTGGAGTGTAAATTTTTTGAAAAATGACAACTCCCTGCTCTGCAAATTCGTCGTGCAGAATTTTAAAATAAATCATTAAAAATGTGCTGATTTTGACAATTTTTGGCTATAAACCATTATGATAAGCAATTAAGCAATTCAATATTCCAGATAATGTATGACGTCGTCAACTTTGGTGTGGACGTGCTTAAAGAAAATTTAGAATGTATGTAAATTAAATTCCCAAATTAAACTCCTTTCCTAGAAACTTGTTCATATTTTCGGAATTATACAAAATTTCAGACTTGGTCCACCATGAAGCGATCCCACCTACCAGTCGAATTTACCAAACGACCGAGAACCACTTGCTAAATATGCGAAAAAAGGTACAAATTTACGCGAGCCTGGGTTTAGAGCCGATCAGCAGTGACCGGACGGACTACGGGATGGAGAAAGTTTCCCCCATGTGGCGCCTCACGAGGGACGAGATCATCGCAATCCTTCTCGAAAAACGACACGAACCCGACGATTTTGACGAAAAGGTGAAAATCGTGGCGGAAATGTATGCCGAGGAGGAAAAGAGGACGGGAAAAAAGTTGGTCGTAGAAGATGGCGACAACGACGAGGAGAACACTGCCTACGCCCAAGATTCGACCACCCACAAGAAAAAGGAACAACGAGATGGTGGCGGTGGTGGTGGTGCAGATTTATTACCGAAAAATGACGGCCTAAGTCCAAGTGGGGCAGGAATTTCGGAAAAATCAACCTCTACGAAATTACCAAAGAGCAAAAAGAAGCTTGTTGCTGGCGGTGGATTGGCAAAAGGTGCAAATTCGGTGAAAAAATGACGGAGAAAGTTAATCAAGAAGGAGAAGAAAAATAACTTGTTTATCTTGAGTTATAATTGAGGTTTTCGTTGTTTTTACAAAAAATCAGTGTATTTTTATTGTCCTCAATAATATTTTTTGTTATTCTAAGATAATTCTGGTGTAATTTGTATACTTGAAATAAATTCATTTCAGTTACTTTCACCTTATATTTGAGTATTTTTAGTCCGTCTTTTTATCATCTTGCACAGGTTCTGGACTCGCTGCCGGTGGAGAAAGTCCAAGTAGAAATGCAGTCCTTCTGGCCGCTGTGTTTAAGGGGCCTTCCAATTGTTCCTATAAATATATTTTTTTAATATTTTGCGCTTAAAAACCTAGAATGCAGCCTTATTTAGCCCGAGTCAGGTTGTTATCTATAATCGAAGTGGGTATAATACGACCACGACAACTTTTGCATTTTTGCACAAAATTTGCTCATCTTCCAACTCGCCTCTTAATTTTACATGTTCTATGTGTCTGCAAAATTTCAAGGCGATTGGACAAGTTTTACGAGCGTAATCGATGGACAGACAGACAGACAACCATGACGCGTACACAAGTCCTGAGTCAGCCTAAAAATGTGAAGTTAAGGGCATTTTTTGCCTCATTAAACACAAATTTTAAAATATCTTCCGAGAAAATAAATTTTTCACAAAATTTTCGAACTAAGAAACACGATCTGATCATATTGCTTTTCTGAAATTGTAAATCTAAAATATGTTTGGCGTCTTCATCTTACAAGTTTTTTTTCTTTTACAATTTTTGATCAATATCAAAAAATTGATTCTTAATTTTCGATTTTCGATTTTCTACATGTCTGCAAATTTTCGAGTCGGTTGTAATTTTACGAGTGTCGACAGACACACAAACAGACAGCCATGACTGATACATAAGTCCTGACTTGGACAAAAAATGTTTTTGCCTCATATTGGTTAAGCATAAACAAAAATTGTAATTTTCCGAGGACGAATATAAATATAGTTTTATCACAAATTTGAAATATTTATATGGATCTTCAAACTTTTACTTAAAAAAATTATTTTTTTGCCCAAATTTTTTGAAACAATGATATGATCTAATCATATTGATTATATGAATTGTAAATAAAAATATATTTTGACGTGTTCACCTCTCGAATTTTTGTTTTCTAGTGAAATTTCAAATTTAGATATCGATTTGAAATTTGAAATTTAGATATCGATAAATTTAAATTGATTCCTAATTTCGCATATTCCACGTGTCTCCAAAATTTCAAGTCGATTGGACAAGTTTTACGAGCGTAATCGACAGACAGACAACTATGACGGGTACATAAGCCCCGACTCGAGCTAAAAAGTGTTTTCTCAAAATTTCTAAAAAGTTTCACATGTTTTACTTGAATCAGGCCAATCACGAGTGAGGTCAGAGCCAACCCGAAGAGAAAGTAGATCGATGTCAAGACAGCTATGACGGGGTTCTGAAAAATTCATACGTATTTACTCTGCACTTTCAGGACAATGGAATGACCAGAGGGCGGATATGTATTTATTTTCAATTTCCTGATTTGATGACGACCGAGGCTAAACTTTGTGGGTGTGTTCTCTAATTCTTAAAAATTTAAAAATATTTTACACATTTCTAGGTTTTCAGACATAAATATTTCCCCTATTATTTGAAAAATACGTAAATCCTTTACATATTTTTTTCAAAAATACAAATAATTTGTATATATGTTAACGATATGAGACGAATTTGTTTGCTTCAAGAAATTGGACCATAAAAAATCTAGAGCATTAAATTCAGAAATATAAATTTTGTGAAAATATCCGTTTTTCGTAAATACTGTTCCATTTGTTATAAGAGTCCCAATCCATCCACGATTACACTAACCTAATGAGCCGAGTTATCCTTTTATTTAACACCCGTTTATTTTATTTTGGCGTAAAACTCATTCAATTTTGTGTTTGCAATTTGGGAAACTGAATGATTTTGACGCCAAAATAAAACAAAGTGGTGTTAAATTAAAGGATAACTCGGCTCATTAGGTTAGTGTAATCGTGGATGGATTGGGACTCTTATAACAAATGGAACAGTATTTCGTAAATATTTTGGCGTTCTTTTCGTAAATATTAGACACCTATTTCAGCGATTTAATCCATTTCAGAAATACTAATTTTTCGAAAACTCTTATTTTTTCGTACATATTCCGGAAATATTTTGGTCGTTTTATTTTCTTGGTAAATATCATATTCATATTTCAACGATTTTTGGTACCTAAATAAATACATAACCGCCCTCTGCTAATAAACATTTTTTGTGCCCACCGCAGGAACCAAGTCTCCCAAGCCGACGGTGGAAAATGTGACAAAAATAAAGTACAAGGATCCAAAGAGACCCCACTCCTGTTCGACAAAGATGAAAAACACGGCTCCCACGAGTGCGTAGCAGATCAGAATTGTCAGCCCAACTTTTATCCCAAAGTTGAACTCCTCATCGACCGAGTAGTCTGCAATAAATAAGAAAATAATGGGAAAAGTGAGACACTGATAAGCAAGCAAGGAAGAAAAAAGATGAATGTGTAAAGTTATCATGTAAGTAAGTAAATACAGTGGCCGCGGAAGCGTGCGTGGGGACAGAGGGACAATGTTCGCACAGTTGTTCGATGTCTGCATCATCTCCCCGTCTTATATAAACCTGTCCCTGCACTTTTCCTACAATGTTAATTTCCCCAGATGTCCCCACTGCTTCCGTGGCCACTGGGAGAATTCAGACTACTTAAATGTATGTACATGATCCAGTGACCGTGGAAGCGTGCGTGGGGACAGAGGAGAAATGTCCTCACGGTTATTCGATGTCCGCATCATCTGCCCATGTTATATGAACCCTTCTCTCCCCCATCCTAAAATATTAATGTCCCCAGATGTCCCCACAGCTTCCGCGGCCACTGATCTAAATATTAATACCCTTTCTTTTCGCGGGGTCCTTGGTGAGGTGCAACTTTAGCGCGAGGGTGAGCACTTTTCCCGCGTCGATCATGATAATGGAGAAAATAGGAATTCCAATCAAGGAGTAGATCACGGTGAAAAGTTTTCCGGTGAAAGTTATCGGTGAAATGTGCCCATATCCGATCGTGGTCATTAGTGTCATCGAATAGAACACGGCATTCGCGAAATTCCACGTTTTCGAACTTTACATATAGGAAAAAAGAACGGTTAAGTGGTTGAGCGGAGAGCAGTGTTTCGTTTTTTGCGTTTTTTTGCTATATTTCTTGCAGTGCAAAGCAAGTCACGCAAGAAATGTGAGGTGCAAGAAACTGGGAGAAAGTGCAATAAATAAGCGTCATCTAGCCACGCGCCGTATGAGCTATTTATAGCAACGGGAAGTACTTTCTCGCGCCTTGAATTTCTTGCAGGTCAAAATAGTTGCAAAACCCCACTTTTTTTGCAAATGACTACGTTCACCCGGTGTATCGTTGCTTACAATTTTGGCACATTTTTTGCCCTGCAAAGCCAGCAACGCATGCAATTCAAGGTGCAAGAAACTGGGAGAAAGTGCAAGGAATTTGCGCCTTATAGCCAAGCGGGCGGGGCGTCATTTCTTGCAAGTCAAAATATTTAGCTGCAAGAAACCACTTTCTCCCCCTTATTTCTTGCACGTGGTTACTTACTTTCACCCGAAACACTGCCTGGAAGATTTTTTTATGTAATCTTAATCTAACCCAGAATCGGCATCCATCCCTTCTTCATATGCGTGACGAAGTTCATCCTCGAATTTTAGGAGGCGTCGTCTTGCCACGGATTTCCAGCCGTCCTCATCCATAAATCTGGACCCGGACCATAACGTATCGATGAAATCGCGACGAACCTGCAGATATTTGGTAGATTAGGGATCATTTTTGCAATATTGCGAATTTTAAGAGAGTACCACCTGCAAGTGTTTGTTATAGAAGGGATATTATTCAAACTTTTGCAATATTGCGAATTTTATGTACCTTTTTTACGCCACATTTGTACTCTAGCTCTCGTGTCCCTTCGGCCCACTGTACAATTAGAAATGCAAAATTATATATTTCGCGACTAAAATACTAATTTTGCCATGTTTTTCACTTCTCTCACCCTGAAAATGAATCCTCCGAGAGCACAAAGCAAAAACAATATCAGGAATCGGACACCCAACTGTTTTAAACTTTTTTTAAACTGGGCAACTTTTATATTCCGTTCGATGTCTTCTGCCATCACGACGACACAGTTTTTCTAATGTTTGATCAGAGCGTATACATAAATATGCAAATGCTAATAGTAGTTAAACGAGTTTAATTAATGTTCACTACAAATATCTATTATGCAACAACAGGGTTGACCTTGACTTGCACTAAAGTAAACTTATGGACGACGACACCCACGCGCAATTTGGTATTACAAAAGACACAATTTCTAAATTATTACGTAACACAAACAAATTAAGAAAATTTGAATATTTCGCACCGTCAAGAACAATAATATTTGTTCAAATTAAAAGTTACGAGTCAAATGAGATGACAAATCGCAAAAACACAATGTTTTGTGCATATTTATGTACGAGAAATACTGCAATGCACGTTCTTTAGAGAGAAAAAGCAGCTAAAAATAACACTCCTCTGCAAAACTGACTGGTGAGAAGGTAGCCAAAATCCGAGCTTTTAAAATACATTTGCTCTTACATATGTAAGAAAGAGCGGATAAGACGCTGAAAAATTTGCATGCATGTTTTTCCGAGCAAAATTGCAGTGTACATACACTCTTAGAAATCCAGTATTTAAATATTACCAGGCGGTATTCATATATGACTATACCAACGTGGTATTGATAAATAGATAATACCGTGTAGTAATAACCCAGTATTTTAAAATAATGGTATAAAATTTTTACGGACCGGTATAATTTTAGCACCAACTTTAATACCGAGAAATCAATACCTGCATGACTATACTGGATTTCTAACGGTGTACATAATATGTAGCAGCTTATTTATGTTGATTTCTCGCATGCAGAAATGTGCCTCTCTTGTTTGTAATCGGATCCGTAATGACGTCAATAAATGCGAATTGCGACTTTACATACGTACAAAAATTCTTATCTTGTTCTTTTCCATCTCGTACCTACAAAATTCGTTTTTTTCTTTCTTTATTTATTGAAATGGTCGGTTTCCTTTCGTCCGTTTGAGTATTATACAACGTGAGATTATTACACAAAAATTTGCACATTTACATAAACAAAGCAATATAAAGTTAACTTAATTAACTTAGAAAACGATTAAAATTTAAAATATTTTGTAGTCGCGATCGCGAAACAAAAATGATTTCTTATACATAAAAATTTGCGCATATACAATTAACTTAAATAACTATGCATTTAATTAACTTATTAGGAAAGAATTAAAATGTGGAATATTTTGTAAAAAAATTATCAATTATTCTGGACATAATATAGAAATAAAATAAAAACTTGTACATTTAAACAGAATAAAATTAATTTAGCTGATGCTAAACTATGGATTTAATTAGCTTAGAAAACAAAATTAAAACTTAAAATATATGTTTTGGGGTATTTTTTATCAATTTTTCCGAAGCGTTACTTTATGCACGAATATACCAAGAATCCAGTACAAACAGACCCACGCGAAGGTGGAGAGGAATCCAGTCCAGACGTAGATGTGACTAATGTAAAAAAAAACGCAAAATAAAAAAATAATGCAAAATGTAAAATAATAAAGTCTAATGTAAAAATGTAAAAATGTAAAAATGTAGAAATTGCAAAATGTAAAATTATAAAATCTAATGTAAAATGTAAAATACAGAATTTAGAAAAGCTAATGCAAAATGTAAAAATTAAAAAAAATCGCATGCAAAAATTTAAAATAAAAAAATCTATCATAAAATATAATTTTTTGAATAAATCTACTGCAAAATATAAAAATTAAAAAAGAAACTAATGAAAAACTTAAAATGTATCATTTATAAAAATCTATTGTAAAATGTAAAACTTTTACAAAAATCTAATTTAAAATGTTAATTTTTAAAAGTCAACTGTAAAATGTCAAAAAAATATAAAATGTAAAATTTAAAAAATCTACTATAAAATGTAAAAATTCACAAAAATCTAATGTAAAATGCAAAAATTAAAAAAAAATTATGACGTAAAAATTACCTAAATCCCCACCCACGAACGACAATTGAACGGAACGCTTCGCACGCTAAAGTCCCCGGAAGCCCGTAGGATACATATTGAAGGATAATTGGCATCCCTTCAACCGGCCAAATTGACCCTGTGATAAATTAAATTATGTAATAAGCAGCATGCCAAAAGTTTTTATGGAACTTTTTGTTAAACATGAAGTTCAATTAAGCGACGAAAACTTGTGTAAGTAAGTACTTACCAGCTAGGAAAAAGTTTGGGAAAATGATGGCCCTGGAAAATATGAGGAGAAATTTTTATAATCGCCAATAACAGAGAGGAGAAAGTATGTATGTATCATAAGTAGAGTTGTACGATGGGCAGAATTTTGAGAATTTAGAGTGTGGAAATATTTCCTGATGTTTGGAAATTTTGTAGAGTTTTGAGGGCGTAAAATAAATTTCTAGCAGTTTTTGGGCGTGAAAATGAATTAGTAGGTAGCATTTTTGGCACAAAAAGGTAATATTCTTGGGAATGAAAAAAATTTTGCATTTTTGCATGGAAATAAGTTCATGGCATTTTGACTATGAAAATAAAGTCACGAGAATTTGGACATAATAGGATTAAATTCATGCCATTTTTGTATACAAACAAAATTTTTGGCCTGCATGAAATAAATTTGTGGCATTTTTGGCATGAAAATAAATTCATGGGAATTTGGGCATAAGATTAAACTCATGCCATTCTTGGTTTGATATGCAAACAAAATTTTTTGCATGAAAATAAATTTGTAGTATTTTTGCCCAAATTTTTGCAAATTGTTTTTCTGGATGTGAAAGTACATTGTTTGCATGAAAATAAACTGGTGGCGTTTTGGTTACACAAAAATCCAAAATGAGGCAATCTGACACGTCGTAAATGTCTCAATATGCCTCCCTCGGCCCCATCTACATTGTACAATTCTACACGTATCAATTTCTCACATGGCTAGCAAGATTCCTTGAATTTCTTCCTTGCAAAATGACGCTATTAGCAGACCTAAAATGTCCATTGCATCGAAAATATTAGCAAAGTAGTGAAATATCACTTTAATATGTTCATAAAACCCTACCCAAACTGATCCCCGCAAATCCATTGAGGAGGATCAGCAGCACGGCTAAATAGGACGATCCGACGATGGTAATTTTGAAAATGAATATCAAGATGAGGAAAGATGCCAAAGTTTGCATGCATAAAACGATCCCTTCCGTCGCAAAGTAGGATAACATGATTTCCCAGGTTTGCGTCCCGGCGACACGTGCTCGTTCCAAGGTACCTTGCTTTTTATCCCTGGGAAATCAAAATTGAAATTTTTACAAGATTTTTACACAAATTTGTAGTTACAAGGGAGGTCTTCCAGCGTATGTGATCCGATTTTGAGAAAATTTGTGGGAATCGAGCACAAATTTAATTAGTATGAAATTTGCGAAAGACACGATCTCCCAATTGGCACGTTTGGGACAGATATTTGCATCCGAAGAGGAGAAAGCGCGTCGTAAAGTCGGCAAATTTTACACTTTCTAAATTTACTGGGCGTTTTCTCCTCTTCGGATGCAAATATCTCTGCCAAACGTGCCCATTGGGAGATCGTGTCTTTCGCAAATTTCATCTTAATTAAATTTGCGATCGATTGACACTAATTTGCTCAAAATCGGAGAGCATACGCTGGGAGACCTCCCTTGTTACATGCAAAAATTTTTTGGCTCTTAAAAATTTGAATTTTTGCACAGATTTTTTCATAAAGTAGTCAATTTTTTCGTACGTACCAAATGTATGTAATGCAGCTGCTGCAGAGTGGGAAGAACAGGGCGACTCTGTGTGGATAAGATGGGAAAAGTTTGGTCGTTATCATTATTAATTTCTAACCACGAAAGTAGGTATCTCAAGTACACCAACTTTTGCAATATCCGTGTAGTGCTAATTGCGAATAAATGCGGTCGTAAATAAATAAGTAAATTCACTTCGTACCCGACAAGCATTCCGGCTGCGACGTATTCCCGCAGTTCGAGATCGTACCGTCCGTAGATGGGATTTTGAAACTGTTTTTTAGAGTGGTGAAAATTAATAGGTTTTTTTGAATCAGTGGCCGCGGAACGAGGGTGGGGACAGAGGGGACAATGTTATGTGAACCCCTCCCTCCCCTATCCTACAATGTTAATGTCCCCAGATGTCCCCACGGCTTCCGCGGCCACAGGTTGCATAGGTTCAACGCGAAATTCACAGGCAGATGATTACATTACAGTGGGCGCGGAAGTGTGGAAACAGGGGGACAATGTCCCCACGGTTGTTCGATGTCCCCATTATCTCCCCATGTTATATGAATCCCTATTCTATAATATTAACGTCCCCACAGCTTCCGCGGCCACTGGAAGAATTCAGGCTACTCAAATGTATGAACATGGTACAGTGGCCGCGGAAATATGAGGACAGAGGGACAAACGGTTATTCGATGTCCCCATCCTGTCCCCATCTTATATAAACCCCTCCCTTCCCCATCCTACAATGTTAACGTCCCCAGATGTCCCCACGGCTTCCGCGGCCACTGTTCCTGATTGATTTTTGGCTGCTGCATAATTTAGAAAGTTTGACACATTTACCTTGATCGGCAATCCGCCCAATTCCGGATTTAACCCGCAATTAAGGAGTAATCCTTGCACAAAAGTTTTGTAACTTTCGAACACGATCTTTTGCAGGGATTTGGTAACGACGGCATCTGCGTCATAATCATTATGCAAATTAATTTGGTGGTGAAAAACGCTGAAAATTTGTTAAACTTAAATATTACTCGAGGCATCCATTTCAAACAGGATCATGGAAGTTTGCAAGGTTTCATTATCAATTGAAACGCTGGACACGGATCGTTCATACATCGCGGTGGAGTAGCCTTCCAAAAAAGTCATGAAACTTTTAATCGTTCCCAATTTGATGTCATTCCTGGCAGATTCTTCATCATGGTAATAACTCTGAGGGGAAAAAATGGTCACTTATTTTATTTAAGGTGGGACTCGATGACTCATCAAAAAATCAGCACATTTTAAAATGTTTCTCCCCTCTGGGAATTTATTTTAAAATTCTGGACGCAAATTTGTAGAGCTGGGAGTTGCCAATTTTTTAAAAATGTACACTCCAGATTTTGACACTTTTTGAAGGAGGAGATCTCAAGTTTAAGAAGCCTTCAGAAAAATTGGAACTGGTCGAAACTGGCGCAAAAAAACGCCATTTCATTAATCAAATTACCGACTACAAATTTGTCGTTCAAAATTTTAAAATAAGTTCCCAAAATCAGCACATTTTTAATCATTTCTGGGAACTTATTTTAAAATTCTGGACTACAAATTTGCGTCAGTGATTAATGAAATGGCGCTGAGTTTTTAAGCGAGTTTCGACGAGTTCTAATTTTTCTGAAGGCTTCTTAAACTTGAGATCTCCTCCTTCAAAAAGTGTCAAAATCTGGAATGCATATTAAAAAAAAGTGGAAACTCCCTGCTCTACAAATTTTTTTGTGCAGAATTTTTTAATAAATTCCCAGAGCTAAAACACGTACTAATTTTTGACGATTTTCGCGATAAGTCATATGTTGACAAATATTGACATTTCTAGTGCCAAAATTGGCCCATTTTTCTGCAGAAACAGGTTCTCCAGGCACAGTTGTATTTACTGCTCAGTAGCAAATTTTCTACCTAAAGCTGACCTAACGAGCAGCATTCTGCACATTGTTTTTCCGATTTTCACACAGATAACGCTTTTATTTGCATTTATTTAATCTAAATTAATTACCAATTGTATCGTGTCCAACGGCAAAGTGCTGAGATACACTGGAATAATAAATTTGCATATGGTCACTATTATTGCAAAAGTATTTAGCAAGATATGTACATATGCTGTAATGAATTGGCATAAAAAATTTGCATATTGCGAATATTTAGCAAGTTATACTATGAATGAATGTATGTACTTACTGCAGCTCAAATTCGCCACTTCACAATTGTCGCCCGTAAGATTGACCGGTTTCAAGGTGCATTCTCCTTCGTAATCGTAATTGACCACGCCAACCTTCAAAGTAACCTCTTAAATTATATTTTATTCGTCTTAGGAGACGAGTTTATTAGGTTCACCTTTATCGGTCGGGGATCGTTTCCCATCGACATTCCCATCACCACGGTTTGCATGGCAGGCAATAAAACCACGAATAGGACAAGACTGGAAATACCAATTATATAATTATATCTCGGAGGATGAGCTGAGTTCATGCGTACTAAAAAATAAAATTTTTTAATGACCAGACGGCGGATATGTATTTATATTTTAAAATTTTTTCATCAGGTGACGATCGAGGGGCAAAATTTGTGCCTAACTCACATCAGTTGCAAAAATTTTAAAATATTTGTTTTTTTTATATTTCTAAGATTTGAGACATATTTAAAAATATTTTTGTCATTATTTTTGATATAAAAAAACACATATTTTTGTAAATATTTCAACGATATGAGACTAATTGTTTTTGCTCAAAGAAGTTGGATCTCAAAAAATCTAGAGTGCAAATTTCAAAATTTCAAATTTTGTGGAAATTCTTACTTTTGCTTTGTTGTACATATCTATTTCATAAATATTTTGCATTTTTATCATATATATGTTTCGTAAATATTTTACTACTTTTTGTGCACATTTCATAAATATTTTGAGGACATTGTCTTTTTGTCATTGTATTTTTGCCTTTTTTTTTAGTAAATATGAAATACATACTTCGATGATAAAAAAATACATGTCCGCCCTCTGATAATAATGTACATTTCTTAGTTCTTATGCACTCACAAAATATTCCTCAACATTACAAAAGCATTCTTCATGATGAGAGATTTGACCCTTGAGAAGGAGTCGAACATGGATTCCAAGCACGTGGGCGCCTTGTACCAGGCAGCTCCGAATTCTCCCCCACCCGGGTTATTGTTACAGATGGAAGCCCTTTTCTTGGCGGGATGGCTGTACCTCCGGTCAACCGTCACTTTCAGAATGTTGCCCGATTTCGAGCGGGACCTTCCATACCCGAGGGAATCACGTTCGTCATCGTGACATATTTTGAGCACGACTTCTTCAAGGTTTTGAGTTTTATACTCGTCAAAAAGGGCCTTTGGAGATTTTTCGGTTAGAAGACGGCCGCCACGCATGACACCGACCTGAGAGATAATAAGGGTGACATGGGGTTATTGAATTGGGGTGGTTTTAGAGTTGTATTTAGAGGAGTGGGTTAAGGAAAATGAGGGGAAATTTGGGCTAGAAAATAAATTTGTTGCAGTTTTTGATTGAAAATGAGATTTTGGAATGAAAATGAGATTTTGGGATTTTTGGTATGAAAATTAAATTTTTCTACATTGGACATGAAAATATCTAAATAGGAAATTTTGTCCATGAATTTTAAATCTTGGAATTTTGGGCATGAAAATAAACCTGGGATTTTAGGGACGAAAATACAATTCTGACATTTTTTTTCATACAATAAAATAAAACTGGCATTTTGAACATAAAAAAATAAGTTTTTGAGATTTGTAAACACAAATAAAAATTTGATATTTTGTCCACGAAAGTAAAATTCTGGCATCTTGAAAAATAAAATTCTAGCATTTTACTCATGAAAATAAAATTCTGGCGTTTTGGGTATACATAAAATTTTGGCATTTTACGCATGAAAATGTACCTTCGACATGCACCATTATAGATGGAATTTCCATCATTGGCTTTTTGGGGGCATTAATTCAAATGAGGCAAATAGGGCATATTTGCATATATTTTAGTACACCCCTAGACTTGGATTAATCGGAGAACGGGGAAAATGAGACAAACTCTTATTTTCTTCGTACCGTATTACTGTGTGTCGCTTCGCCAATATAATGCGTCGTAATAATTACAGTAGTGTGCCCATTGGAGACCATCTTTTGCAGGTGCTGCCAAATACTGCAAGCAAAATAAATGTTGCAATGAAATAATCCCATAAAATGACAGTGTTAAGTTCTGGGTCGGTCCGTAAGTCAATGCAAGTCGCCCCGTAGAGGAGACAAAGAAGGAAGCGGAGCAAACACTGCATGCATGAATGCATGAACTGCTACCCCATACATACATCAACTGATCAACCAACCATCATTACTCATCAATAGTGGTTATCATGATAAGTGATCGTGATAAACACTATTAATTAATTATTTTAGTTTGAGAAACTCCACCCACAGCGAGTGGCATATCAATTCGAATGTATTTTTGACGCTGAATCCAACGCCATTAATGGTTTTGACCTCCGAGGCCCCCGTGACCTTCCCGTGACCGTGGCAGCCAAATATGGCTTATTCGTGATGTCGCATATCAATTCGAATGTATTTTTGACGCTGAATCCGAATCCGTCAATAGTTTGACGTTAATTATAGAAGTTGGGGTTTATGGAACTGAACGGGAGCGTGAAGCGCGGGAATATAAATAGTTAGCTATGCAGTTACTCCCACACGACGGGAATTTAAGTAATTAGCTATTCAACTACTCCCACAGGGGGAAATCAAATTGTACTGTGACCAGGTTAATTAAAATGCAGTATGACTGGGGCAAACCCTCACTCTGATGTATGTATGTAGTACGACGAAGTCTCCACTGGGAATTATTTAAAGTATAGCATGACGGATTTTTCGCTTTGGGCACACCCCCCACTGGAACTCTAGAACCCGGCCTTGGCCGGGCTATACGCCAGTAAGAGATAAATAAACATGAAATGAAATGTGTATCTAAAGCTTAATTGAGTTTCTCTCAAAATGTTTGCTCATCTAATTCGGCTTAATTTGTGTCAACACGAGAGAGCGAGAGTGGCAGAATTAGCAAGAACCCAGTGACACAAGCAGTGTGTTGATTTGGAGGATAAAAATTAATTCTAATAAATCACTGAGAATGGGGACGCAAACCGTGTTCAACCCAGATTATTTTTTGACTAGGTTAGTTTGAAAGAGCAACTCGGTAGAAACAACGTTTAGTGCGGAATTTGCGCAGATGCGAAAAATTTGGCAAGTTTTGGGTGCCGCAAGTTCGCGAAAATGCTTGGATGCTGGACCTTGCGGCTTGCGGCTGCAGTTTCACGTTTTCTCGAATTTGTGGTGCCTAAAGCTAGCTGAATTTTTCGCATCTGTGCAAATCCCGTAATAAATTTTGTTTCTAAAGATTTTTGTAAAAATCTAAAAATTTATTTCTAAAAATCTTGTTTCTATTTCAAACTATCATGGTTAAAAAATAATTTGGTTTGAACATGGTTTGCGTCCCATTGTAAATTATTTACTTACTTATCGCGCAAAACGGGGTCCACGCCGACGGTCGGTTCACTAAAATTGTTTTAAAATAATTAATTTCCCTTAGCCAATGGATGATTGATGAAGGGTGATATAAATATATTCCATACTCGAGGATAAGGAGGCTGGGCGAATGGATAAGCGACACAGCGAGTGATACGCGTCGTTTTTGTCCACCACTGAAAAATAATTTGACCCAAATGTTTGACACACATACTTAGAACAGAGGTCTCCTAGTTTATGCCCTCCGATTTTGAGCAAATTAGTATTAATCGAGCACAAATTTGATTAGTATGAAATTTGTGAAAGACACGATTTCCCAATGGGCACGTGCGGCAGAGATATTTGCATCCGAAGAGGAGAAAACGCGCAGTAAATTTGGAAAGTGTTAAATTTGTCCACTTTAAGGTGAGTTTTCTCCTCTTGGGATGCAAATATCTCTGCCAAACGTGCCCATTGGGAGATCGTGTCTTTCGCAAATTTCATCCTAATTAAATTTGTGATCGATTGACACTAGTTTGCTCAAAATCGGAGAGCATACGCTGGGAGACCTCCATCATTAGTTACTGGACTAATTTGCTGGATAAAGTCACAAATTTAGGATACCTACCTGAGAGTAGAAATTCTCCGAGTCTCTTCCGGCAGGCTGAGCAGATTCATGAGAACTTCTCTACTTTTGTCGATTTGTGACTTTTTCATGCCGTACAAACTTCCAAAGTAGGTTAGCGTTTCGCGTATGTTGAAATCTCCGTAAAGAGCGGTCTCCTGTTTTTGACGGGACAAAAAGTAATTTTTTAGAGATTGTTCCTGTCGTCACCACCGATTTTTTTTACCTGGGGCATGTAACCAATCCTTTTTCCGGGCACGCCACTCGCCACGGTGCCCGTTTTCGAGCCAAAAATTAAAATTCTTCCAGAATCGAGATGTTTCATGCCGACCACGGCGGTGAGCAGGGTCGTCTTTCCGCAGCCGGAAGAACCCAACAAACTGTATCTGTTGATGGGGAAATATTTGGGTGAATTTGCATAATCGAGGTATTCATGTCATTAGTTAGAATTGTTGGCAAAAAAACAAAGTTCGCAAGTTTCCAAAAAAATTCATCTAATAATTCAATTGTGAATTTTCACATCTCAAAGGGTCTCGAAGCATGGTTTTGTAAAAAAAAAATATTTTTTTTGGAAAGAGACCCAAACAAAATTCGCTAGTTTGCGAAAAAATTGGGTTAATAAATAATTCATTTGCGAAATTTGAGCATCTCAACATGAACCCATTTGAGCATACACCCATTTCATAAACCCATTTGAGTATTTCATCATGCAAAAAATTGTGAAATAAATAGACAACGTTTGAGATGCGCAAATTCTGAATTTTCAAGACAATTTTTTTTTGCGAACTTGCAAATTTTTGTTCGCTAACGATTAGAACTCGTAATTAATACCACTACTTATTCATAAATTTTGGTGCGAAAAAATGTATTTCTTCTCACATTGTTCCCTGTTTCACCGTCATGCAAAAATTGTCCAGAACAGGTCTCGATTTAGCCCCATGTGTAAAACTTTTGCACGCGTTGACCACGACGACGGCGGCGACGGCGTCGTCATCTCGGACGTAGGCGGGCAACGAAGTGAAACCGTTTCCATTCAAGGTGATTTCAGTGTGATCTTTGGTTTCGAAAGGGCCCTCCTCCATTATTATCGTGGGGACGGGGGGAACTCCGTTGAAGGCGGGATTTATGTACCCGTTTTCTCCAGTGGTGGTGGGAGGTAGTTTACTGGTGAAATTATGGTGGAGATCAGTATATGTAAATTTTGCCAATTAATCAGGATATCGATCTATCTCTATTAATTACGGATTAATTAATTACTAGCATGAAAATCGACCTGTCCATTTTTTCTGCTGAGACAGGACGTACGTGTAGAATTTCGTAGAATTTAGCTACGAGTACATATACAAATTTTTGTCGAGCGAGACATGATCTATGTATTTCCCCAGAAAATTTTTAATTTAAATATGCAATATTTCGCATTTCGACGCTAAAATTGGCCAATTTTCGAAAGAATTGCTGTTTTTTGCGAACCATTCGGAGGAGTCCAAGTAATCGTCTCATAATTTCGTATTTAGAGACTACAAATTCCAGAAAGATTCTCCAAATTTCGCACTTGCTGTAAAATTATGCCTCCAATTTCGGGGAAAAATATATGGTCTCAGTTCGGAAAAAATCTTCTATATTTCCAGATTCCTCAAAAAGTTCTCCAAAATTTTTCACGGAAAAATTGCGCCCTCAATTCAAGAAAGAAATATGCTCCCAGTTCCGAAAAAAATCTACCAAATTTCACAAAAAATTCTCCGAAATTTCTCATATAAATTATGCCCTCAATCTCCCCAAAAAAATCTCTAAAATTTCTCACTTCTAAAAACATATGGTCTCAATTTCCCCAAAAATTCCCAAAATTCCACAAAAAATTCCACTTACTCCATAATAATCTCTGCCTCGGACTCCTTTTGATGAATACAAGCGTCTGAAAACGAAAGTGTCGTGACCCTTTGTAACTGAGCCATTCACTGATAAATAACAAACAATGCGACGAAAACAACTAAAATTAATGGTAAACAACAACTTAAACAACAACTTCCAAAAAAAATCCAAGTTAGGAACTTGTCCACGCGATGAACAATTCTAATCCGACCCAAATTGAAGACTGACACTGAAAGTAATTACCATTTCGATATATACGCAAAATTATGTATGTACATTGTACGTACGACATTTCATTCTTAACTTGTTTGATGCTACTGTGTCCATCCATCCATTCCACAACAATAAATATTAACTTAATACCCTTCCTCCACCTTCATCTAATAATCCTTCGCGTATAATCAGCACTCTTCTTCTGATACAAGTAGCAGTGGCCGCGGAAGGAGTGGGGACAAACGAGGGATAATGTCCCCACGGTTATTCGATGTCCCCATCATCTCCCCATCTTATATAAACCCCTCCCACCCCTATCCTACAATGTTAATGTCCCCAAATGTCCCCACAGCTTCCGCGGCCACTGCAAACAGCTAGAGAAGTGATCACGTAAGTCTATGTAGAATTTGTTAGCTGGCTGGCTTCATGTTAATTTTCTACTAATAAGAGCGTTCGGAGAAGACTGCACGACTATTAAGTTTGTACATGTGCATACAATGTAAAGAAGGGGGAATTTCTGTTTTTAATACGTGGGTCACTAACTGAACTGACATCAACCAACATGGCATCATTCGAGCAGTGATACATATGAGCTGAGCGTGTGTTTCATGGAGTGTGTTTTATATTTTATTTTAAGCCGTTTATTGTGATCGTTTTGTCCGTCCGTCTGTCTGTCTGTAAGCAGGATATTGACAAACGCACTTTTCACCATTGTGAATCTAATTTCTTGTACTCGGTCGAGTTCGATAATCAGGTCAATCGATCACTCCCCCAAGCGCCCCACGCGGGGGTCTGGTTCAATAGTTTTAGTCAATAATTTGTGGGGTGTGCGGGGTTTTGCATATTTTGACAAAAATTTCACCACGAAATCAAAACCGTCAGTATTTTTGACATCTGGCTTACCCATGACCGAGGTCGAAGGTCATAAATCAAACAATATTCATGTCATGTCATTTTATCTTTTACTGTACAACGCCACTTTTTTATGTTCGTTTTAGACGGTTTATTTTCAGCATAAAAAAACTATAAAACATACTTTAATTCGTTACTTGTTGACTTGATGGGAAACTATTCAAAGTGAAGGATACATTGTTTGCTTTATGATTTTACATGCGTGTAGATTTTTACAGGAAAATAGTGCCTCTCCGTCGGTGCGGATGCACTCACATTTTATTATCTGCCGAGTACATTACCATCTCATAGTTGATAGTGCTGTTTTTGAGATATGTACGTATTTTTCGAAATGATAACTGACATCATTAGCTACCGAATTCATAGAACTCGTCATGTGGTGATGATGATGATGAATGATGTACCTGTGATTTTTGAATGTGTTTATAAGCCGTTTTCCATGCAATACACCGAAAATGTGTAAATCTGTGCATGAGAAATAAATATGTATGTATCAAAAGCCAAGTAATTGTAATTGTACTTCTGTCAAGGGCGAGCGTTCCACTGTCAAGTATTATTTTTGAGAAGACATATGACATATGTATGAAAATTAGTGAGCATTTATTTTTTCGAGTGGAAAATTACACAATTTTACCCAAGAATAAACAAACGTAGCAAATGAAATGTAGCAATAGGGTGAAATCAGTAATACCCCCCCCCCTCCTATAAATTGTGACCTCACCCCCTGACCTCGATGGGGGTAGTGGTCCAATTTACCCCAAAAGTTGATAGGATCTTTCCCCTGGGGTCACGTGTAAGATACCGCAAACGTATTTCGATTATCTCGATCTGTTCTCAGACAGACAGACAGACGGACAAAATCTTCGCATAACAGGGTTTCACCTAATAATAAATCTCCTTGATGGGATTACAATTTAAAAAATCCGTAATGATGATGTAACTTAATGTTTTTAATATCTAACGGTCAGTTCAACAGAATGTATTTTAGAGGTTGTGCTAATAATAATGACTCAATATTTGCAAATATTGACTTGGCGAGTACGTAACAACAAATATTTGAATTACACAGGTGACAGGTAGTCGGACATGCAATTTCATATGAATTTCATAGATTAAAAAATTAATATAATTTACTGTTGCCGTCCCAAGTTATTTATTCTTCTCGGAAGGGATTTTTAGCAGGTAAGCCGAAATTTTGGCGAGGTTTTTCCGCCTTTCTGAAGTCATCTTTGAATCCTTTTTCGCCAACCTTCCAGCGAAATACATGTAAATTTTGGCCAATTGTCGATACACGACCACCTTGAACTTGTGCTACCACAACGTCGAATCCGGTACAAGTGGCCACGGACGCTGTGGGGACATCGGGGGACAGTAACATTGTAGGATGGGGGGAGGGAGAGATTTATATAACATGAGGAGATGATCCGGACATCGAACAACCGTGGGGACATTGCCCCTCTGTTCCGCGGCCACTGATCTCATATGTATGTACATCACTTTGCATAATGCGCATCATGGGAACCATCCTTCGTGAGCATTACTTACCTCCATAACTCACAAGATTAAGAGAGAAAATGTCAAGGAATCCTGAGCGTCATTACATTACGTTACCAAAAATTACTTGTGCAAATTCGCGAAAATTTTTGCAACCATTTTTGACCTAAGTTGTTTGTTTGCGTCACGTTTACTTTACCTGTTTATTAATCCGAACGGACGGATGAAGAAGATGGATGTCACGGGAATATATATTTCTACATCCTTGTGTCCTCGTCCATTTTGAAGTGTTTGTGTTGTTGACCAAAAGTCGCCTAAATTTATTGATGTTCTACAAGGTCAGGAACAACATGGATTAATTTTGTTACAGGTCGACTTTTATGTGAACATGGTTGACGATTACGTAGATATTTCGTAGATAGTCTTTTGCGTGATGTTGCAAATCGGAAAAAATTATTACGACACGAGCTTACAAGAAAATTAATCTGTTTTCAGACCTTTTCGATGTGGTGGGTTATCTAGTTTTTCTGGGATAGGACTATATTTCTGTCTGCGTGTCATTATTAATTTGACATGATTTTTTATAGTTCCTGAAATTATGGAACACGAAATGAAGGAAGATGTTGCATGGGAGAATAATTTCCAGTGACATGCAATGCAATCCAGCACATCGATATCAGAGAGGATGGATTTCATATCGTTATAGGTGCGTGTTTAAACCTTATATTTCTAGGATTCATGTTGCCCCCGTAATTAAAGATTTCTGTGTAGAAATTTCTACACTACAAATTGTTCATGCAGAGTATTCAATTTTTGAAATAAAAAAATTGCTCATAAAAAGCCACATTTCTACATAAATAATATGTAGCATGTGGTTATCTATGTATGCAATGAACGGTTATCATATGTAAATTATATTGAACTCGACTCGACCCATCAAAATTGGGTAAGTCAAAAACACGTGTGTAGATATTTAAAATATGTGTAGGTTGTACCATATGTACGTGTTTTCTAAGGAAAATTCTCACGGTATTCGGCCAGGAAAATTGATGCATACATACATCAAAAATCTCTGATTTGTCTAAAAGTAGATATGATTCTAATAAATTATTCAACCTGAAAAATTAGTCTATATACAAAAACACACGTGGATTTTTTTTACAAAATTGATATACCAATGAGACTCGCTTGCGGGTAATTCTAATATACTTATTACAATTACCTGTAAACGAGTCTCATTTTTTTTCAAGATTTGACGAAACATGTTTTTTCCAGGTAGAAAAGTCCATATTTCTTGTTTTAGCCAAAAATTGTTCTGATTAAATTCAGTTGCCAGACATGATTTTGCATAAAAATTGGAGGGATTAAACATTTGAAAAATATTTGCACTTTTGTACCCTTTCTATTCGAAATCTTAAACCAGAAATTTCAGAATGCTCTAAAAATGCACTTTTTTGTGCTTAAAAACATTTCTGGAGTTAACTTTTGTGCATCAAATCTCTTCTCCAGAATTATAATTAGGCCGTCGATATGCTGCAATTAATTTCCAATTGAAATTTCTAATGCGTAAAAAAAGTTCTTTTCCGCAGACGTTATTGAGATGTCATTCTTTATTATGTCATCATCATCATAGGTTAACCTTATCTTATTTCTACATCGATAAATAGTAATCAGAATTCTATCCACATCCGACTCATTTGACAACTAACACAACATCATAATCAAGATGAATTTTGTGGTACACTCTTAAAAATAGGGTTCCCCTTTTGAAAAGTAAAAGCACTCTAAGTTTTTTTTTGCATCAAGTAAACCATACTAAATCCAGCATAAACTTTAAGGCCCCACAACATGCGGGTTTTAAATTTGAATTTTTGTGTCTCAACTTTCCCTTCTTCCATGTATTCAATTAGCTATTTTGAAACCTGTTAACCTTCGTACGATTTTGCATAATTTGCTTAATTTAGAATTTAGAATGCATATTTACTCTTCAAACCGGGGACCATTATTTTTAAGAGTGCATGGTAAATAGCATTCTATGTTAACATCACAGTTATAATGTTTAATGTTCCAATACACATGCTGACGACGGTAGGAGCGTTGGATTGCAATGATTGAATATTTTTTTTTTAATTCATACCTGCTAACTAAATATATTATTACTCATCATGCACCTTTGTCTGTCTGTACGTCCATGACACTTGCACTTGCTAAGTGGCTGTCGTGGAAAGTCAATCAGACAATAATACGCACCGCTAATTCTATTCTATACTGTATCTTTTTTTAACTAGCATATTGCATTCGGTATTCATTTTTTAAGGACATGTGCACTCACACGAACAATGCATACGTAAAGTTGAATTTCGATTTCTGTTTTAAATACTTAATTAGAATTGTGATCACATCGGACATTCATTGTCATCTGTCTGCAGATTGTATTATATTTTTATGGTTAATATCTAAATATTTTTATTACACTGTAACATATTTTTTAAAATTATGCTAAAAATTTCGCATTTGACTAAATATAATAACGTTCACTTATTTACATAATTAGCTGCAGCATAATTGCGCAGAATGATTTCCTTTAACTATTTCCTTAACATGCGACATGATTCCATTTCCATTTTAACAATGTGGATTTATAATAAAGTTAGTGTGTGGTTTGGTTTGGTTTGCGGATTTACATTTGCAAAATTTTGACTTATCTATCTATGTATATATACCAGATTTATGTATGTACATATGTGTAATTTTGACTTATTAAATATGTAGATACGTGTACATAAACCCAATTAATTATTTATATAAGTAATTTAACATTGTATTTTTTATGGAGAGAATTGAGTGCATGAATGTTGTGTGCGGATGGACATGTAATTTTGTGGAGGATTTGTTTGTATATGTGCACATTTTGGCAAAAAATGTATGTACATAGAGCAGAAAAGTACGCAATTAATTCGCACATAAGTACATGTGCACGTACGTACATTAAATAAATCAGAGACGATGAGATGAGATTGACGAGGATGGAAAACGATCTTGAATTTTTTAAGAGGTTTTTAAGAGATGGTGTGATTTGGAAGGTTTCGATTTTTTTTCTATAGCGAATAGAATTTTCTTCTTCTTACAAATTCGAGTTGCTGATATGTCGGATTTTCTGGAATTTGCAAAAACATGCACTGCACTTTTTTTGTGTTTATGAAAGTTCTTCTAAACGGAAGGAGATGGTGATTGGTGATTGTTGGCATCATATTTTATGAAATTTTATGAAATCCTTTACATGAGGAAGATGTAGCGTAAAAAGTGAGAGAGAAGAGAGGATTACGCAATTAGATAAGTAAGTATGCATAAATACGTGTTCTTATGTAGTTTAGTGAATAATAATCTCTCCGTGGTTTTGCGTATGTAAGTTAGCGGAGGACTACTCGAATTTTTGCAATTTTTGCAATGAAAATTATTTACTGAATAATAATTTCCCCGTGGTTTAGCGGAGGACTACTCGAATTTTTGCAACTTTGCAAATTTTTGCAATGAAAATTATAACAATGAAATGAAATTCTACGAATAAATATGTATGTACGTAATGTGCAATTACATTCCCAACTTGCGAAAACTTTAGTAATTACTTATTTACTGACTGGTGGGTGACAATGGGGCTTAAATCTTGCAAAATTTAGAGAGGACAGTAAATCCGTCCCAATGAATTATGTATTAACACTAAACAAAATTCGCAACTTCTTCTTCCCATCCTTTCTGTGCAAGAATTGGTATCCCACCCCAAAACACCATAAATTTTCTCAGAACCTCTCTTCAGAATCCAGATCCAGCCTTAAAGATATAAAAAATCAAATATTGTATTAATCCTAAGGACTAAATATACTCGCCCATCTCACCCTCTTTGTATTAACCATACCTGTTCACTTTCACTCATGTGACTGATTATGATACTGAATGAAAATGAATTTCCTGTGATTTGAATGAAAATGAGTGAAAGATTCCGTCATTTCGGATGAATGACTGTGAATGAAAGATTTCTCACTCATTTCATTTCTCACCATGTGCTTAATACATGGGGCGCAGTAAGAAATGAAGTCAGATGAAGTGAAATGAAGTGAGTTTGAAAGAAAATGACTGAATGTGAAGGAAAATCTTCAGTTAGAAATTAATTGGGATGACTGAACTTAAAGAGTCTTTTTTTGAACAGGTATGGTATTAACAAGCAGATTAACTCATCATTTATATAGATAAGAATTCATGGGATATTATCCATTGTTATTTGTTGAAATATTTTTTCCTTAATGTGTTAATACCAAGTAACTTTCTGTATATTCACATTTAAATTAAGAAATATGTAAATACCTCGTCCTGGAGTCAAATCAAGTCATCTGTTCGTATTTCGTTTTCTGGAGCAACTTGGCCAAGCAGGCGGTAAGGAGGACGCCGAAGAGTTGGAAGATCGCCAGGCCCAGGGCTGATGCCGCCATTATACCGAGTTTCTCGGTAAGAAAGCTCGTTACCAGTGCGTAACATCCCTGAAAAGAGAAAGTATATAAAATGGATCAGCAGATTCGATCCGATTTTCTCACTTTCTCTTCTTCTTCAAGCCCATTAGGAAGAAGGGTACAGTGTTTCGTTTTAGACGTCGAGAACTATTTTTGTACTCGACATGGTTCAAAAATGGAACGAAATATTGGACTTTAAAAATATGTCTAATTGTCCAAAAATTATTTTTGACGTCAAAAATGTCAAAAAAAATTATTTTTGACGTCCAAAATGTCCAAAATAATAATTTTGGTCGTTCAAAATGTCCAAAAGCTTTCAAAATTTGAAAATGGGACGGCTAATTTACCATCCGCATATAAGCAGTGTTTCGTTTTGGGCCGATAAAACCTTTTTTATGCTGGACATGGTCCAAACGCATCAAAATTTTGACTAATCTTGGACATTGAAAAATGTTTAAATTGTCCAAAAAATAATTTTGGACGTTAAAAATGTCCAAAAGCTTTCAAGATTTGAAAATGGCTAATGCGCATAAATAGTGTTTTGTTTTGGACGAATAAGCCTGTTTTTGGACGGAATACCGTCTAAAAATGTCTAAAACTGGAAGAAAAACTTGGATGTCCAAAAGTGGATGTCTAAAATATTTTGGAAGTCTAAAATTAAAAAAGGCTCACAAAACTGGGAAAAATTATGTTAGACGTCCAAAATGTACAAAAATGTCCAAAAGCATCAAAATAAGTATTTACAGATATGCAATCTCCCATTAATTTTGAGCATTTTGCTGCATCTGTAATATCACGCAATTTGAAAAAAAACTGTTGTTTTCACATATTTTCTTGTGGGAAATTAAGAAATTTTCCAAACCATGCCGTATTAAAGACAAAAATGCTCAAAATTAATGGGAGATTACATATACGCCGATGAACTATCGAAGGATTCAGTAATAAAGAACTGGTAATATTTTGCCCTATTTTCTATTTTTGACACTTTTGGGCGCCCAAAATTGGTTAAAACCGGTTTTAAACGACTGTTCTGGACATTTGTTAAAAAAACCAGAGCGAAACCCTGTCCGAAAAAGACAAAGTTGAACTTTTTTTCATGCCAGATGAGCTGAGCTTGGAGAAAGTGCGAGGGGACTGGAGAGAGTGAAAACGTACGCAGACCAGCCAGAGAACAGAACATGCACAATTTATAGCGCTTCGTAATTAATTACTTATTATATTTGCCAGCCAATGAGAAGCCCATTAAGAGATTGGATCTGAAGAAGTAAGATCAGTCAGGAAAAAAGGGGGATGAAAAGGCGATATTTTAAGGGATTTTTTGCCCATATTGTAGGCTTCTTTTATATATTTATGTTTATATATGTGGATGCATTGTATTACTGCCATTGTAGCAAATTGTGGACAAGATTTGTGGACTTGATGGCTGCCCGTTATTTGGCTGGCAAGTGGCAACCTTGAAATGGATCAAGTTTGAATCCGGAACGATCATAAATTATTAGTTGCTCACTTTCTTTCTTTCTTCCTTCAGGGTTTTCTCTCTTAGGCTGTTATGGAGTTAGGTAGAGTTGTACGATGGGTAGGGCATGGAAATAAATTGCAGGAATTTTTGGAATTTTGGGTATTTATGAAAATAAATATTGTGGGAATTTGTTGTATAAGTAATATTGGCTTTTAAATTAAAATGCTGGGCATATATGTATTTATTTAGGACATGCCATAAATAATGCCTTCTAAACTTTCCTGGGAATAAGTACATCTTTCCAAAATCTAGTATTTTATGCATTTTTAGCATAAAAAGAAACACCTTTTATGGACATTTTTGACATGAAAATAAATTCCTGGAGTGTTGGCAGAGAAAAAAATTCCTGACATTTTAGGCGTAAAAATAAATTCCTCGTATTTTGGCCATGAAAATAAATGGCTCGGAATTTACAGTAACATTGCCCTTAAAAATACTGGACAAACTGGGCATGCCATAAATGGAACTTTGGGCATTCAAATATGTAAATTCATGACATGAATGAATGAATGCTTTATTATACCGGCTTATTAGTACAAGACATTTATGCAATGAAAATAAATTTATGGAGTTTTTAACTTGAAAACAAATCACTGGAATTTTACGTATGAAAATAAGTTCCTAACATTTTGGGTATTACAAAATTCAATTCCTTGATAACATTAGACAATAACTTCGGACCAGCCATAAATGCCTATAAAAATAGACATAAATACACTAAATCCTTCGACATCCCGATAAGTACAACTCTACCCGGATAACTACGTGCTGGTGGTGCTCACGGCCTGGTGAAAAATTCAATTTTGTTTCTCTTCTTTCGTATTTTGTTATCGTGCAGTGGATATTTTATGTATGTACGTGGCTTGGCTGGGTAGCACCATGCCAATCCCGTTGGCACGTATCTCCAATACTTAATGATAATGAGAATGGATAAAGTTTACGCACAGTGGTGTAAATCATGTGTAAATTCTTCGTGTCGCAACCCATATTCGTTTTGCAGCAGGATCCGGGCACCTTTCCGTAATGGGTGGAATACCAGTCAGCGTATCCGTCATTTCCGCAGCAGTGCAACTAAATACAGGAAAAAAACGGGAACAAATAAATTTCAATTATCTCCAGGTTTTTTTATCTCGGCTCGATCAAATGGAATGTGTAAAAAATTTAGTAAAAATATCATCAAATTTCATAAAATTTCATTAATCTTCATGAAATTATCAAATTCCATAAAATTTCATCTCAATACATATGCCATGAAATCTTTAAATTCTTTACAAATTCGATAATATGTCATCTGAATCTAACACGAAATTATCTAATTTCACACAAATAAAATTTTATAAAGGCGTCATAACATTTCATAAAATTTCACGAATCTTCATGAAATCAACAAATTTCATACAAATACAATTTTATAAAGGTATCAACAAATTTCATGAAATCTTACATGTTATTCGCTCAATTTCATACAAATTATCTCAATTTTCCATTAAATCATCAAATTTCATCAAAGTGTCATCAAATTTCATACAAATTTCATCAAATTTCTTACATGGAATTGAAGCGAGTTGATAGCCGATGTCCGAGCGTGATCCGTCATATACAAGCCAATCGAGCTGTTGAGTCCTTTAGAAAAGGAGGCGCGGAGCTTGGTCCGGTACGCGTATCCAGAAATGCAAGCGCTCACCTCCATCACAAACACGATCGCGAGGAAAGCCGCGTACTGAAAGAAAAAATCAGAGTGAAAGTTGGGGAAAAAACTAATCAATTTTTATTTACAAAGTTACACACGCTTAGAATAAGTTAGTAACAAAATTGTCACCGCATCAATACCGGTAAAAATTTGTAACCGAATGATAACATTTCCACGGAACTCAAATTTGATACTAAAAATTGATTTAAACTTTGCAACAAATTTAAGTCCCCTGAAAATTATTGTTACCTTACCGTGACAAATTTTTACCCGGCGTGGATTTTCATTGCCCGATCCATCATGCCACCCCGGATAAAAATTTGCTACTGCAAAATAACAATCATTTCCGGAAAACTTGCGGAAAGTTGCTATTTACAAAGGCTTTATCAATTTTTGAGCTCCGCGGAAATTATTTCCGTGGTAAATCATTACCGGCATTGTAGAGCCTCATACATACCTTATAATAATGACTAAATCAATAAACACGTGACGGTAACGATTTTGTTAACTTAAATATTTCAAGGGTATTTCAAGCGTATATTTCAACTTCATAAAAATTGATTACATATTTTTTTCAACTTGAGTGTAATAACGGGTAGAGAAAAGTAAAAAGTGAAAAAATATGGGATGCTGATGATGAAAAGTTAAAACAAAAAAAAATGGAGTGCAATATAATATGGAGCGGATATTTCTTCCCGTCGAGCCACGTTATGTCACGGTCTGCTCATAACTCATCACTAATTCATCCCCAGAACAAGCGGAGAGAGAAAGTCCATTTCGCTTGGAAAATAAATAGCCCACAGGTCCTCATTGCATTGCAGCAGCCGTAACAATATTACGTTACGTGGACAAGTATAAAGTAGTGCTGGAGGGTTGGCTGGTTCTACTTTTCGAGTAATATTGTTATTATTATTATTATTATTTCCGCAGAGAGGGGGATAACGGAGGGAGTGAGGGGAGTTTTCGTGGTGGTGGACGTGGTTCTCCTGTTAAATTAATGCCTTTCTTCATGACTATTAACAAGCCGGGAACAGATTGAAGGATTCCACTTTATGAAATGTTTATTCTTTTCCGGCAGACCCGGTATTAGGGACGGGTTATGTTCTCTCCTGGGTGGGAGAAAGTTTTGGGAGAGAAAGGTCTTATGTAAGAGGAATGTGGGTTTGTCTGTCGGTCGGTCTGGCTGAGACACGCTATATGAAACACTGTACAGATTTTGACCAAATTACACAAATAAAATGAAGTTGAGAACATATAATTAGCCGAGTCGTGTTTAAAAAATGAAATTTTAAATCAAGATGTAAATTCGTCTCAGAATTAGTAGAAAATTTTTACAATTTTTAAACCAAGGGAATTTTGAAACGGGTCGCAAATTGCTGAAATTTTTCATTTAGAAAATGTGTGCACAATAATGGTACCAATTTTGTGGCATAAATATGTGTTATTTATTAGCCTTAAAAATCGTATGTAACCCTCGATTTTTTAAATTACTCAAGGTACGTAACTCCTGTCTCGGGCTATGTGAAGTGTACCACTGTACATTTTTTCGTTAATAATATTTCTCACCAACCAACATCATGCTTAACAACTTGTCCATGTTTCTTTCCTCTCCCGAAATTCTTTCAAATGAATCCGAACGACCAAATGCAATGCGGGCATCTCCTCCTCCATATCTCACTTTACTTTGCTTTCCCTTCCTCCTCAGAAATTTGCAAAACTAACTTTTGCACAAGATAAGTTGGGCAATTTCGCAAAACTCATCTCATCTCGCGCCTCGTTCCCATCCAAGGAGCAGCATATACATTAAACTCGCTACATAATCGAGTTCCCAACTTGGTCTCTCGTGTATAACGCGTCGAGTTAGCATCGCCTCGACGGAGGACGCAGTGGCCGCGGAAGCCGTGGGGACATGTCGGGTCAGAAAAATTGTAGAATGTGGGGAGGGAAGGGTTTATGTAACATGGACAAATGCAAACCTGTTCACTTTCATTTGACTGATTATGATAATGAATGAAAATGAATTTCCTGTCATTTGAGTGAAAATTATTGAAAGATTCCATCATTTCAGATGAATGACTGTGAATGAAAGGATTTCTCACTCATTTAATTTTTCACACTGGGCGTACTCACGACAACTTCTTATTTCGCATCGCAACTCATTTAGCAAACTTCCGAAGATCAAAATATTTCTGTCGTGAGGGGATTCGCAAAATATGACTTCGCAAATCTCTCTAATCTCGCAAATCTACTGAAAATACCAATTTTGGTATTGTTTCCATGGATTTCTTTAATTTCTCCTGCTGAAGATGGTGAGGATGAGTTTGCGAAGTAATTTTGCGAAATAAGAACATGCCCAATTGCTGGGTAAATTTGCGAAAAAAATCCCTTGGTTTTCCCGCAAAATTTTTGCGAAATCGCGCATATCTCGCAAAACTTCGCAAGTTATGTTGCTATGCTCAATTTGCGAGATATGCGAGATATGCGAAGGTTGACGTGAGTACGCTCACTATTTGTATGCATGGGTCAAAGTACGAAATGAAGTCAGATGAAGAGAAATCAAATGAATTTGAACGAAAATGAATGTGAATGAAAATCTTTAGTCAGAAATCGGGATGACTGACTTTTGAATGAATACTAAATTTTTGAACGGGTATGGACAAATGATAGGGACATCGAACAACCGTGGGGAAATTGTCCCTCTGTCCCCTCCCCACCCTTCCGCGGCCACTGGTCGGAGGCACAACTTGTTTCAGGGAACAATTTGTCCTACATTGAGAAAGATGCAAGGCGAGGAAATAAAATGTATTACATTTCGTCGGTTGGTCGTTGCTACAAGGAAATATTTGAGTCAAAAGTTAATTGCAGTGTAACTTTGCTCGACGAGGCGAAAAGTTTGAGAAAAACTGAGCCTAAACCTAGATTAAATTCTTGTTTTGACTTTTTCCCCTCGCTCAATTGGTTTCGTTGTAAGAACAACTTTTCGTCGTTTTCAGGAGGGCAATTTTCCACTTCATCTTCAAAAACTTGGCGTAGTGGAAGTGGAAAAAGGAGAACATTTGTATCTACAAGTTCGTGGATACCTCAGATACATGAGTACACAGTGGCCGCGGAATCATGGGTGGGGACAGAAGGACCATGTCCCCACGGTTGTTCGATGTCCCCATAATGTTATATAAACCCCTCCCTCCCCCTATCCTACAATGCTAATGTCCCCCGATGTCCCCACGGCTTCCGCAGCCACTGCGATTATATAGAGGTCACCCGGTACGAATGTACGTATGAAAAGTTGCGAAATTCGCCAAATATTTACACCGATTGGACGGAGCTATCAACACAATTATGCATAAAACTAGCAGGAAATAATTATCTATCGTTAATATTTAAGACTGTAATTAACCTTTGCAATTAAGTACATAAGCAGTTTTATTTAATGGACTTTTAGGCATGATCTGGCAAAGAATGCTGCGTATTTTGCAGAATTGTATGAATTTTTACTCAAATTCTTTCCGTCTAATGACGCGAATGAGGGGGTGCATTGCATTCCTTCCCAAATTTATGAGCAGTTCGACACAGTGGCCGCGGAAGCTGGGGGACAAGGGGACAATTGTCCCCACGGTTATTCGATGTCCGCATCATCTCCCCATCTTATACAAACCCCTCCTCCCCCCATCCTATAATGTTAATGTCCCCACGGCTTCCGCGGCCACTGGTTGGACACAGCTAAACTACTTACTAACCCATAACTGAAACCCTTCCGGCTTACATAAAGGCCGTTCTCTCATCCAATATTCATTTTATTTCTTCTTTATATCCGACTACGCAGTTTAGCCAAATGTTCTTATCTTGAATAAGTCAGTAACACAAAAAAGTAACCAACTTTCCCGAACATTAGGGAAGAATGAAAGAGTGAAAGAAGAATAAGAAATTCATTTTTTGAGGTGCGTTTATACTTCACTTAAGTTGCGCCAAATGTTATAGTTTAAGTGTGGCGCAAATTACAAAAATATGTATGTAGTGAAAGCATGACTTATGCATATTTTAGATGCTCATTTTCGAGAATGTAATAGAATTAAGCTACATTTCACTTCTTTGTACATACATACTTACATATAACTTGCGCCATAGTTAAGCTACAACGTTGGCGCAAGTTATAAAGGAAAGAGCGAAGTATAAACGCAAGTAACGCAGGTTGGATAAAGCTCTCAGAATGTTGCAGTAAGTACAATTAAGACACATTGATATTACACAACTTGCGCCAATGTTATAGTTTAACTATGGCGCAAGTTACCAGTGAGTGAAATCAATATAAACGCACCTTTTTCTAGTCGAAAAAAAACTGCTAGAACATTGCAGTGGAATTAATCCAAATATATGCATTTACACTTTTCAACTTGCGCCAACGTTATACTTTAACTATGGCGCAAACCAGGAAAAAGTAGAGTGATGCATAAACGCACCTTTCAAAACGCTGTCAGAACGCTTTTATGATGAGGAAGACGTAATAGTTTTTTTAATTCTGTTTACTAGAATGAGCACGAGAAAGAATGGTCGTGTTTGGATGGATGGATGGGAAACAAAGCCTCAAGGGTCTTAATTTTTGTGTGCCAGGCTGTTAAAGAGTTTCGCAACATCAATAACATATCCATCATAAAAGTTGCCTCCTTCCTACCCGTAAAAAGTGAACCTATTCCATCCAAAGTTGGTCATCATCATCGTATTTCATCTTCACGAGGAGGAAAATAAACTCGTAATGAGCCAAAGTTTCCTAAGCTCATCAACTATTACAAAAGGAATAATGGATGAGGAGACGCAGGATCAGCTAGCGAGCCAAATGCACCTTTCTCTGACCAGTGGCCGCGGAAGCGGTGGGGACCTCGGGGGACATTCACAGTGTAGGAGGGACAGGTGCCACAAGGGTAGACGATTTGTGGGGACATTGCCCCTCTGTCCCCCCACCCTTCCGCGGCCACTGCATCATGCACGTACATCTGCGTAGCCTGAATTCTCTCAGTGGCCGCGGAAGCTGTGGGGACATCTGGGGGCATTAACATTATAGGATGGGGGAGGGAGGGGTTTATATAACATGGGGAGATGATGCGGACATCGAACAACCGTGTGGACATTGTCCCTCTGTTCCCACAAACGCTTCCGCGGCCACTGTTCCTCTCTCCTCTTTCCAATTTGCGCTCCAAGTAAGTCCGACTTTTGTGCCGAAATTATAAGACTACGGATCACCGAATTGAATTGGAGGATAGCATTTCATCCTGTAATTGGTTACTTACGATGTAGAGTAGGATCGGTTGTTCCTTGATGGTACAGCAGCACGCCAACGTGGCCAGGAACAGGATCAGTATCCCCGTTCCCACCAGCACGTAGGGAGCAGTGGCCGAAAAATCGGGAGAAAGTTCCAAATATTTGTGCTAAATATGAGAAAAGAATAATTTAGAGGGGAGATCTTTCAGCAGATGCTCTCGGATTTTGATAACCAAATTAGTGTGAATCGATGACAAATTTAATTAGGATGAAATTTGCGAAAGATACGATCTCCCAATGGGCACGTTCCGCAGAGATATTTTCATCCGAAGAGGAGAAAGCGCGCCCAAAAGTTGACAAATTTTACGCTTTGCAAATTTACTGCAAGTTTCTCCTCTTCGGATGCAAGTTTCTCAGCCAAACGTACCCATTGGGAGATCGTGTCTTTCGCAAATTTCATCCTAATCAAATTTGTCATCGATTCACACTAATTTGCCCAAAATCGGAGAGCATCCGCTGGGAAACTTCCCTTCTTCGGATACATTTTGGGAGAAAGTATATGTAAGTATTTATTACTCACCAATTCGACGTGCAGCCAGACTCCGAGGACCAAAAGTGCGATGCCCGACAGCTGAGAAAAATGAAAAATCGTATTGTTATTGCTTCTCCGTTATTATGGCAGCACTCGAGTTCATAAAGCGCGAGCTAATGGTTGGTGAAAGGTTGGAGGAGAAAGTATGTAGTGTCAGTGGCCGCGGAAGCCTGGGGACAATGTCCCCACGGTTATTCAATGTCCCCCTCATGTTATATAAACCCCTCCCTCCCCCCATCCTACAATGGAAATGTCCCCCGATGTCCCCACGGCTTCCGCGGCCACTGTATCGTGCGATTAATGGGGCTCCATTATTACACTGACTCCATTCGTTCAGGACAATGCTCTATAAGCCTGTCTTTGTTACCTGGATAATAATGCTAATTATTCGCACATATTTTACATCGTATACTGTCTGCGAGGTTTACGATGCACGCTTCATGGCGCTGATCGCATCGTATATTTTCCGCTTAATTTGCGACTGTGATCGAATTTCCTTTATTCTATTTCCCTCATGAGACAAACGTCGACCACAAAGGCGACTGCTCGTTAACCTCGAAACGATATGGGCCTGCTGCCTTTTGTCAACATTTTGCTTGGGAGATCTGCACGTACGTACGAATATTGTTCGCCCCCAGCAAATTATTCCGCTTTCTGATGATCGCATCCATTTATTAGTTCCCAGGGGTCTTATTTTTTCTACTACACACGAAATAGGCACGAGGAGTGTTGTGTCTTCAACAGATGCGTTCGTATGTGTTGTCGTCGTGGAAGTGGGGAGGGTGCAAATTGCAAGAAATAGAGGGGAGAAAGTGGTTTCTTGTAGGTAAATATTTTGAACTGCAAGAAATTCAAGACACAAGAAACTACACTCCACCGCTATAAATACTTCATACTGAGCGTTGCAAGATGGCGCATATTTCTTGCACTTTCTCCAAGTTTCTTGCACCTCGTATTTCTCGCATTTCTTCCTTCCCACTGCAAAAAATACAGCAAACCTGTAAAACCGAAACCCTGCCTCCTCTCTTCCTCCCGACCAGTGAGCAGTAGTCCTGCATGCATGTAATGTACATGTTCGACAGCTACATGTACTTACACCATGCCGAGAAACTCGTTAACTTTATATGAGCTCGTTTACAACTCTTGTTGTTCTTGATTGTCGGAGGAGAGGCGTCGTATTTATGAAGGTTGAGTTACAACTCTGGTGAATTTTGCGCTATTGCTCTACAGACGCGAAGACTGCAATAAAATAAATGGTGGAGAGATGGATGGATGGACGTGAAGTTTATTTATTTTCTTTTCGGGGCAAAAGAAGCTTTCTCCTGCTTTCACTCGACCAGGAGAAAGTAGGAGAAAGCAGACAAGTCTTTTATGCAAGAAGAGAGAAAAGCAGGGCAGAAACCGATTCAAATAAATCATCCGATTTAGCGAGATTTCAATCCGGTACGTACAGAAGGAGCTTAAAAGCTTGTAATAAATGTCGTCCTTTCTATAACGTCACTTTATGTAAGGAGTGTGAGTTGATGTCTTCTCTCCGGGGGCATTTAGGTAGGGTGGATAAAGGACCATATTTTTAGGGGGGATGTTATGTTTATGGGGAAATTTGGAATTGAGAGGTATTTATTTTCTATAAAAAAAATTGTGGAAAAAAATTGCTTTCTCTTTTCCAACGTGTAATGAATATTTGGGTTAATTTCAGGAAATTCAGGATTTTTGGGTAGGACGCTAATAAGGGTTATATTTACGGGGAAAATATGAAATTGTTTGTGAGATATTTTGTATATAAGAATTTGTAACAAGAATTGCTTTCTTTTTCAATTTGTTCTGCAATTGCAGGAAATTCGAAGTTTTTCATAAACATTCCAGGAGTCTATTTATGCAGGAAGAAAGACCATATTTTTTAAGAGGGACCCCAATAAAAGTTATATTTACGGGAGAAAATTTTATATTTTTAGAAATTTTGTACTAAAAATGTAACAAAAAATTGCTTTCACTTTCCTTCACATGAATACATACATACCTACGTGTTTATATTTCAAGAAATTCTGAATTTTCTTATATTTTTTAAGGATTTTTTTTTTCGATTCGCTTGTAGAATCCGGATTTGTATGCATTAAAATGTGGATATTTTCTAAAATATATTTGCACCAAAAAATTGCTTTCTCTTTCACCACGTGATACATATACGTGCTCGAATTTCAGGAAACTCATGATTTTTTTTCACAAAAAAAATTCGCTTGTCGGATGAGGATTTGCATACATTGAAATTCTAACATTCACCGACAGGATATTCTTTCTCTCTCTCTGCATCCAATCCTGAATGTGAAAGGAATGAAGAAAACGAATGTGACTGAATTCGCCCAACTTTCTCCCAGCTTTATTTCCTCGAGGCACAAGAAGAGAGAGACGTTTGGATTCTTCCCCTCTCGCAAAAAACGGGTCTCTCTCTCCGTCTCCGAATATAAATTAGGCTGAGAACGGAGCGGACGGAATGAACAAGATTCCTCCTCGTAACCGGGTGCAAAGATCAAACACATTAATAAAACGGGGCGAAGGATGAGCAATCCTTGTCCTCTCGAGAGACGGAGAGGGAGGGGAACGAAGAAGATGTTTGAACCGATTTTTAATTGTCAGACGGAGAACACTCTTAGAAAAGTGGGATTTAATCATGATTGGCTGGGGGACGAATGTGTGACGCTACAGGGACTGGTAATAACGGGAATTACAGTTTAAGGTGCTGTTGTATGGGGGTTTTTTATTGAAGTTTTTGTGTCTCAATCCCTTGTTGAATGTGTTCAAATAGCGATTTTGAAACGTTATCATCTCTGTGCGTTTTTTATAAAATGAAGGTTTTGTTGCATTTAAAAATCGATAATTTTTAGGTTTGAAAAATTATGAGGTTATAATTTTGATTTTTTTCTTCCATGTGAAAATAGAAAAAAATAGATAAAAAAATAAGTAAAAATTAAATGTTTTCCAATGGAAGAAAAAAATCAAAATTTTAACATCCTAACTTTTCAAACCTAAAAATTATCAATTTTTGGATAAAATAAAATTGTCATTTTGTATAAAAAAAACGCACAGAGATGAATAGGTTTCGAAATCGCCATTTGTATATATGCAAAAAGGGAAAGTTGAGACGAAAAATTTAAATTCAAAACCCGCATAAAATGCCACCTTAACAATGTTGTGGAAATACAAAAATTACCACTACGAAACAAATTACTACCAATCCGGTAGGAAATTATTACTAAATCAATACCATCACGGAATAAATATGTCACTCTACCAGATTTTTAACAGTGCCTACATAATAATGGATTCCAGCATGTATACGCAGCAAGTTTTGCTCCTCTGCTGCATGTCCGCGTCCGCTTGAATGCGGAACAAACAAAGGGGGCGAAGAATGCAGACGGACGGAAACAAATGGATTCCTCGCGTCTCTTCCTCCAACACTTTGCAGCTTAGAGGATTAAGTCGGCTTTCTCGTCCCATCAGAAGCAAGAGGACGAGGAGGAGGTGCGTATGACAGAATTCAGGCGAACGTTCAACAGAGCTGGGCAAAATAGGGACAGCATTTTGATCTCCGTTCTTCTCCCGTAGGGTTAAAAAATTGTAAGAGTGGTAAAATTGTAAGATTGCATTTGTACAGATGACACTAAGAGTTTGACACAGAAATGAAAATTCTGTTGAAAATAATAATAATTAAAAAGTTTTATAGATTGGGAGGTGTTGTCAAACATAATTATTTAAATTAATTAAATGCAAAGATTGAAAGAACAAATTTTAAAAAGCAGAGGTGGGTAAAATATACTGTAAAAATATTTACAGTATTTTGAGCTTTGTTCTTCCCACAGGGAAGAATTTCTACATATGCACAAAATTTTGAAATTCAGTGATGACTAAAATACTGGATCAAAATACAAGATTTTGAACTCCGTTCTTCCCAGAGGTTGGATTTCCGTGGGTGTGACACCCATAAAAAGACGAAAATCTACGTGGAGAAAGCAACAGTCATAAGAAAATACTGGTTTTGTGAAGAAATTAACTTTTTCATAATTTTGAATTCAAAAATGTGAAACAAAAAATTGCTTTCTCATTCACAACGTAATATGTCTACGTGCTTGAATTTCAGCAAGCTCATTATGATTTTTTTAAACAAAAATCCGCTCGTGGAACGAGAAACATGCATTCGAATTTCTAATTTTTTTATAAAAACACTTTTTGACGGTGCGAAATAAATACAAAATCCATCTTTTTCAGTTTTTTAAAAATAAGGTATTTTAACAGCGATAAGAAGTTGATTTCTTCAGAAAGCCTGTATTTTCGTACGACTGTTGCCTTCTCCACGTAGATTTTCGTCTTTTTGTGGGTGTAACACCTCCGGAAATCCAAACTTAGGGAAGAATGGAGCTCAAAATACTGTATTTTGACAAAGTATTTTGCCCACTCTTGGCATTCACATGTGAAATGTGTCCCTCTTTTGTGGTACGATGACGATTATTATGCATGCATCGTCAAACGGAGGAGGAGGACGGATCGTCAAACATATTCCGCATTACGGCATGTCATTTTCTGTCACTCGTTCGTGTGGGACAAAGTCAAGATAAGGTAGATGATGGGATGGAATGGGATAATGGTATGTATATAAAGTTATGTACGGACGTAGATTCGCCTCGAGGGTGGTGTATATGTATGTCTGTGTATTATCAGACTTTCACTCTCCTGGGATAAGCAACTGAACAGGAGGGATGCATTACTTTGTGAAATGAAATGAAAGCCAGGCGGAGAGAGAATCCGCGTGGTTTATGGGCAGTTCATACCCTGCATTTCATTCCCTCATAATTCTTATCGAAACATTTCATACCCTGCACATTTTATTCCCCATAGTTCATGTCCACAATTTATATCCTCATATTCCATACCCACAACATTTCATTCCCCACAGTTCATGCCCCCATAATTCATGCCCAGCTCATTTTATTCCCCCCAGTTCATGCCGCAAATTCATGTTGATATAGGAAATGAAACGTGTTGCGTATGAAATGTGAGGATATTAATTATGGGAGTGAAGTGTGGTTTATGAACTGTCCGGGCATCAATCCGCCTATTTATTTGCTGCCAGCAAACGAGCCTATTCTATTCTATAGGTAGCATTTTTTTATGTACAGTAGTCACTAATCTACCGATATATAGATTCTTTGTCGACCGGAAATTAAAAGTTGTATACGCCCGACAATGATGTGAGGAGATGGAGAGACCGAGATAGTAAAAAAAGTGGGATAGTTACACACAGGATTTGTCCGTCTGCAAACTTTATATGGAGAAAGTTTCCCCGACTTGTCACATATTGTCAGTGCTGACAATGTCAAATCTCCGGAATCGAATTCAGGACGGATGAAGAATCGATTCGTTTCAGGATGAACTGCAGAATTCCTCAATTCGACAGTAACGCCGTTGGTCAGTGGCCGAGGAAGGACAGAGGGACAATGCCCCCACGGTTATTCGATGTCCATATCATCTCCCCATCTTATATAAACCCCTGCCTCCCTCAATCCTACAATTTTAATGTCCCCACGACTTCCGCGGCCACTGAGAGAATTCAGGCTACTCAAATGTATGAGAATGTCGCAGTGGCCGCAGATGCGTGCGGACAGAGGGACAATGTCCCCACCGTTATTCGATGTCCCAATCATCCATGTTATGTAAACCTGTCCCTTCCCCATCCTACAATGTTAACGTCCCCCGATGTCCCCACAGCTTCCGCGGCCACTGACTCTTTGGGATTGTGCTATTGTGACGATGTGACTTTTTTATTCGTATTAACTTTCCCTCGTCTGGTCAGGGAAAAAACAGGCTCAACTTTTCGACCTTTTCGGCTTTTAACCTTACCAAGAATTCGATCAAATTTAAACCCGCTGTGAAAAAAGCAGGATGCATGTAGTCGAATCGGATCATATTGTGTAAGAAGTTGCTCTCGGCAGAAAGCGATTGTGAAGCCAAAAAGCTGGTGAAAGCATAAAAGGCAACCTTTCCCCGATAAATTTTGTTATGAAAGTTGTGGAAAATCTGGTTACTGAGAAAGAGAAAGAGAGAATCGGTGGCAGTATTATGATTTCAATATTGACGTGACATAGAGAAAATTGTATAAGTAACGATCAGTGTTTCGTTTCTTGCGGGTTTGGCACATTTTTTGCAGTGGATAGCATGAAATGTAAGATATGGGGGGTGCCAGAAACTGGGAGAAAGTGCAAGAAATATGGCCAGTCTAGCCACGCACCGTATGAAGTATCGTGATGTAAAGTAGTTTCTTGCACCTTACATTTCTTGCAGGTCAAAATACATGCAAAAACCACTTTCTTGCAGATTACTACTTGCACCCACTGTTTAATTCTTGTGGGTTTTCTACAATTATTGGCTTGGAAAGCTAGAAATTCAAGAAATTCAAGGTGCAAGAAATTGCAAAAATATGCGCCATCTAGCCACGCGCTAATATGCGCTATTTATAGCGGCGGGAATTCAGTTCTCGCGCCTCGCATTTCTCCCAGGTCGAAATATTTACCTGCAAGAAACCACTTTCTTCCCATTATTTCTTGCAAGTACTTACTTTCTCCCGAAACACTGGTAGTAACTCGAGGAGGACTTCAATTTTACTACTAATTTAGTTGACATTACCCAAAACTCGGTTAATTTCGCGGTGCTCGATTTTAGTGGTGAAAGTAAAAGTAAAAGTTGATATCTACCCATCTATCCGGCGTAGATTAAGACCTTCTTTTATGAGAGAGAGAGAAAGCAGACACGTATGACGACCATGCTGACGTATCAATTTGTCCAGGGACACAGAATCCATCCCACTTTTTGCTACACACAGATCGCACTCGTCTCGTCCTCAGATAAAAAAGAAAGGTCACCATTTGAAGTTGAAGAATACATCCAATTTAAAAATCGATGTTGAATCGACCACCCCATAAATCACTATCTCGCACAGCGGCATCATCCCGTTCTGCCTGCCGCCCTCTCATCTCATCCATCTTTTGAAAAGGTAGACGCGCGTCAGTGGCCGCGGAAGGAAGCGTGGGGACACAGAGGGGCAATGTCCCCACGGGTGTTCGATGTCGGGATCATCTGCTTATCTTATATAAACCCCTTCTTCGCCTCTATCCTACCATTTTAACGTCCCTACGTGTCCCCATAGCTTCCGCGGCCACTGGGAGAATTCAGGCTATTCAAAGGTAAGAACATGATTCAGTGGCCGCGGAAGCGTGGGGACAAAGGGACAATGTCCCACGGTTATTCTATCTTCCCATCATCTCCCCATCTTATATAAACCCCTACCTCCCCCTACCCTACAATATTAACATCCCCCCATGTCCCCCACTGCTTCCGCGGCCACTGCCCATAGTACCCAGCCTTTAATTGAAAACGACCCGAAAAATCGGAACACACAGGATTCTTCCCATTTTCAATTTTCCCCTTGAATACCCCAATCTCTGGTTGGATTTCGATTTAGAAAATTAATTAATTCGGGTTGGATTTCACTAACAGAGAGAGAAAATTTTCCTTAATTAATTATCAACAAGGCGATGTTATTCTTACCCAGAACACGATGTTGAATATCATCAAAAGTGTCTTCATACACGTCAGAGCCGCGACGGTTTGTAGGCTTCGCATCGTGGAGAAAGTTGGTCTGTAGAAAGGAATCAATAAATGCAAATTTATATCATACCTTGTTTTCCTTTCAGTCACTACTTTGTCCTTCAACATTCATCTCGAAAATTTTGCTCGGCATGCATAATGGGATTGGAGAGAGAGAGTGAAATGAGTTGTTTGGTGGGATGTTTGTTTTGAAGGGTGTGTGTGTGAGTGAGTTGTGCTTGAAAGGATGTCGGGGCGGGTTCGATTCGCCCCGAATTTCAATTTAGGTGGGTGTATCATGATGAGATCAAAGGTGTCAAAAATGCTGAGGGAATTCGTGCCGGGGCCAAAATGCAAAGAATTTATCTGTATTTTCATGCCCAAAATGCCCGGAATTTATTTTCGTACCATTGTCAGTCTAGTTAACGAAAGACAAATGACAGGAGTGAGTTGTACAATTTGCCCCGAATTTCAATTTAAGTATGTAACCTATGAGTTTGATAAATGGCAAGGGAATTTATGCCTCGTCCAAAATGCAAGGAATTTTTTTTACGCCTTAAAGGGTGTGAAATGTATATGTATTTTCATGCCGAAAATATGCGGGGCTTTTATTTTCTTGTGAAAAATATCCTGAATTTATTCCAGTGCCCAAAATGTCCAAAATGAATTTTTAAGTCCAAAATGCTAGGGATTTATGAGTATTTTCATGCCCAAAACTGTGGGAATTTAACTGTATTTTGATGCAAAAAATGTCGGAATTTTATTTTCCTGTCTAAAATGTCTCTAATTAATTTTCATGCCCTTGCCCATCGTACAACTCTACTTATGACGGAAGTGAAATGACAGGCCCGAACTCTGCTTGTCACGAGTATTCTCAAATTCAAATTGAATTTTTTTCTTACTCGTGAGAGAGAAAGAGATGAAAAATAATGGAGAAAATTATAAGTGGATGGATAGCAAAAGTTGGTCCTGCGTAGGTATAGATTTCTTTACTTTTTTCAAGTTTAAAACAACTTTCCTCTCTCCGAGTGCAAAAAAAATTGTTGCAAAATTCTTAATGCGCCACCTTTTTTTGAGGAGAAATCTTTGTCAAAAGAAAGTTTGAGACAAAGAAAAAGAAAGTGCCGATGGATGGATGGAAATAAGTAATATGCGCTACCAACCAACCAACCAACCGCAAGAAGAATAATATCCAGAGGGCGGATATGTATTTATTTTCAACTTTTTCAAATGATGACAAACGACAGTAAAAGTTTGCCGAGGTGTTCGTTAACTTGCATAGAGCACAAAAATTTCAAAACATTTGTTTTTACATATTGTCGCATATTTCTACATTTTCCGACATATAAATATTTCGGGTATTACATATGTGAAAAATATGTAAAACTTTTACACCTTTTTTCAAAATTAGGGTGTCCCAACTTTGAAAAAAAATCGCTTTTTTCCGCTCACGATTTTTTCGCTCTTTTTGTAAACCGCACTGCGCATGCGATTCCGATCTTTTTTCCGCTTTTTCTGCTCAAAAATAAAATCTACTTTAAGATGATTTTTTCGCTCTTTTTACTGCTTTGAGTGAAAAATCAGTCTCTCAGAGACATGTTTAAGGGGACATCACCCGATTTTGATGCCCTATGGAATATATTGCAATATCAGGTGAGTGTATGAAAAGTGAAGGAGGATTTTACTCCATGGCCCCACCTGCGCCCGCCACACCCCCTGAAAAGCATTGCAACCACTAAAACTACCGCATTCAAACCTTTGCCAAAAATCCTATTTTCATCCCATCATGGTAATTTTTGGATTTACATGATCTTAGATAGTTGTTTTATCATATCCAACATGAAGCAAATTTAAATTTTAAAAGAAACTCGAAAGTTTCCTGACCACCCATTCTCTGCTCGTGAGTATTCAAGCGATAAAAAATCGGGACAGTCAAGTATTGAGCGAAAAAAGCGGATTTCAGATTTTTTAGCTTTTCGCTTTTTCAGATCTTTTTTACTAACTTGGGAGACCCTAATGTATATATTTTGTAAATATTTCAAACTTGTGAGATGAAGAATTTGTGTGCAAATTAGATCACAAAAAATCGAGATCAATAAACTCAAAAATACAAATTTTGCTAAAATTCTCAATTTAAGCTCTTTTTTCGTACGTATATATATACTGTTTAAATCTTTTTCATAAATAATGCACTATTTTTCGTATTTCTTGTAAGGTTTTTCGTAAGTTTTACACTGTTAAAAATCTGGTATACTTCGGTATAATACCACTTCTGGTATAATACCAGTTTTCCAAGAGTGTATGAACTCCGCCCAGTAATAATCTAACCAATTTTCTACGAGTGTATTTCACCGATTTTTCATAAATACATAAATATCCTTCCTCTGACAATATCTGAACCTCCTCCCGAGAGTCAATATTCCTGTCCTTGTCTACCTTTTCCTTTTAGTGATGCTGATGACGATAAGATGTAAAGCAGGAGAGGAGGTACGTAGGTCTCTCTCTAAGCCCTTGTAAACGTTTGAAGAGACAGCTCTATAAATATGGTAATGGGAATCGATTTGATTCCACAGAAAATTAAATTTCAAGCAGGGACAAAAGAGCTCGAATTCGAGATTGTCCTCTAGACAAAGACTTCACTCTTCTGCTCCAGCGACTTTGACAAGTCAGGTTTAGATAAGAATGAGAAGATGACAAAGGCCAGGCCAGACCACGAGAGAGAAATGTTATGCGTATAAAAAAGAAAGAAAGGAAGGAAGACGAGACTTCCTACTTTTCGACTTTGAAATGAAATTGGAATAAAAAATCCGCTTTGACAATTCCCTACGAAATTATGTCCTTAAAAACACTAAACTACATTACGCGATGGGAAAAGAATGTCATGGGTCGATTTTTTTCGGAGGAGAAAGTGAATTCAATTTGAATAAATGCATGGGTAAAGAAAGAACAAGATTAAATAAATACGTTACTAGGTAGGGTTACCTTTAATCTGGAAGATTAGTAATTTTCAATTTAAAATGACGTTAGGAATTGTAGAAAGGAATGCAGATTTTTCGGAGAAAGTGAATTCGGTTTGAATACTTTTCATGTAAATGGATGCACGTTTCAAATTCGGGTCACCTTTAATCCGGAGGATTACACATTTTAAATTTAAGACGCCTAAGTAATTCGTCTCTTGTAGAAAATAAAATGTTGGGATGGGTCGAATTTTGTTGGGGGAAAGTGAATTCAATTTGAATGCTTTTTCATGGAAATGAAAGTAAAATTGGATAAAGAAAGAATAAGATTGAATAAATATGTTACAAATTCGGGTTACCTTTAATCTAGAAGATTAGTAATTTTCATTTTAAAAAGACATACATAGGTAATTTCTCTTTTGAGAAAAAAATTGTTGACTTTCTCGGAGAAAGTGAATTCAATTTGATCACTTTTCATGCATGTGTGCAAATGCATGTATGCAATAATGGGTAAAGAAGTAAGAAGATTAAATTCGGATTACTTCTAATTTGCAAGATTAGTAATCCTCAATTTAAAATGACATATGTCTGCAATTTTTCTCATTCATGTAACCATTTGCATGTATCGGTTCGGAATAATATTTGTGTAAATGCATGCATGTAAAATTGTGTTAGGAAATAACAAGATTAAACTAGGATTACCTTTAATCTGGAGGATTAACAATTTTAAATTTAAACGACGCAAGTAATTCGTCACCCTGTATCGATCTCAATCTTTCCTTGATCACCAGTGCAGCTCAGCTATTTAATTTCGAAAGTTCTTATTAACAATCTAGCTTTCTCCGCTTTCTCTCCTCTTCTCGTGTTAATTTCCCACTCGTGTCGTGCGTGCCACGCTATGAAATGAAGTGTTCAACAAAGTTTCTTGCTTCTTCTCCTTCTTCGAAATGCAAATCAGTTGTTTTACGAGGTCATAAAACGAGCCCGCACTCAATGCGATGGGATAAAAGTGGTCGTTTCTTTTCTCTACAAGGTCACCAGGCCTATTTTAGAGGTCGAAGAAAGTGCTAGCGGTGGTTCAGAGCGATCCCAATAAAACAACAATATTTGGAACGGCAATGGTTTAATCCGGCCTGAAAAGGGGCACGTTATCGAAGAGAATTGTGTGCTGAGATTTTGAGACAACGACTTTCTCCTCCTCCTCCTCAAGATTTGAAGTGGCAGATAGACAGAAAGTGGAAGAGCGGACAGACACACCGGGCGGATGAAGGACTCAAACTGAGATGCTTTCTCCTCTGCACTTAGTGCTCCTCTGTGGAGAACAAAGCTTTCACCCACCAACCAAGCAGGCAGGCAGGCACTTTCTCCTCACCAAGCAGACCCACTCTCTGCTGCTGCTGGGTTTGGTAAATAATACAGCGAGCTGGGGAACTGGATGGGGCGAGGAGAAAGCAAAGTTAAAGCGAAAGCTTTCTCTCCATCGTCCCAGAAGCTGACTTGGGACTCTTTTCGGTTCGGGAGAAAGTTGATGTTCCCTGTTTTCTTGTAGTGTGTAGCGTTAAATGGAATAAAATTGGATGAACTTCACGTATAAATGAAGGGCTTTCTCTCTCTCCGTGAGAGTGTGTAGGCTTGAGATTCAAAACGTGTTCAACTAACTGGAAACTTATTCTAGCTTTCTCTGTCTTCTCGGAATCTCTGACACGCGAAGGCTCTGCAATGTTTTCGGTAAATAACGGCCAGATTTTGGTAACGTGGGTAAGTAACAATATGTTATTTGTTGGTGCAATAGGATGAAATAGGGGCTTGCTTTTTGTAACAATGATGCGATGGTGTGAAGTGTAATGGTTGGATTTTGGAGAAATTTTGGAATTATGAAGTTCAAGGGAATACAACTAAAGTTTCCTGAGGTAAAGTATTTTGTTACATAACAATCTCAAATTTTGCTTATAATGCGAAAGTGTGAAGTGTAACACTACGATTTTGTTGAAATTTTGGAATTATGGGATTAATATAAGCAATTTTTCTTGAGGAAGTTTGTGCGATGGTTGGAATTTGTCAAAATAATTTGGGGGCAAGTTGAAAAATTGGCGATTTTGAGGAATGAAAGTACACCTTACTTCCTCTGTGTGGTAAAAATCGTTCATTTTTTCAACTTTCACCCAAAAAATTTTGACAAATTCCAAACCACCGTAAAAACTGCCTCAAGAAACGTTGGTTGTATTTACTTGAATTTCAACAAAATCGGAGCATTACACTTCACACCATCGCATTATTCAAAAATCGCAAAATTTGAAATTGTTATGTAACAAAACGCGTCACTGGGGTGAACACAAAGAAATAAAAAAATATGTGTCTAGTGACACCAAAGTTTCGTATGTAATACACGGAACGACATGCATGCACTCATTTGTCTTTGTCCACTCCACTCAAGAAGAACGCGTAACTAAGCGTAACGCCTTATCCTTCTTGCGAAATGGAGCTGGGCCAAGGGCAAATATTTTGCAAAGTGAAATGCAGTCGTATCATCATACATATAGTTTTCTTCTCTCCCTATTCATGTCATGCCTTCTTTTATTTCTTTCTTGATTTCGTGTCATGGTGTGGCCACATGTCGTTTCCCACCTTTTTTTCTTCTCGATCAGCGTAACAGTAATGAATTGTGCTTGATGTGGTTTGGTTGGTTGGTTAGGACATAAAAAAAGTCGATATTTTTAACACCTGCGGGACGACAAGTGTAATTATGTGGTGGAGGAGAAAGTAGGAAAAAAATGTAATCTGTAATCTTTCCACGAAAGTGAAAGTCACCAAGAAGAGAAAGCAGGATCTGGTCTGGTACTAATTTGGTATTGTAGTGGAATAAAAAAAAGGGTGGAATAAGGTCCGAGGGGAGTATTATGTATGGAAGTAGGTAGGTACAGTGGCCGCGGAAGCAGTGGGGACATCGGGGGACGTTAATACTGTAGGATGGGGAAGGGTTTATATAAATAAGATGGGGAGATGATGCGGACATCGAATAACCGTGGGGACATTGTCCCTCTGTCCCCTCGCTTCCGCGGCCACTGTGTCATGTTCATACATTTGAGTAGCCTGAATTCTCCCAGTGGCCGCGGAAGCTGTATGGACATCAGGGGACAATAAAATTTCAGGATAGGGGAGGCTGGGATTTATATAATATGGACAGACGATAGGGACATCGAACAACCCTGGGGACACTGTCCCTCTGTGCCCATGCTTCCGCGGGCACTGGGAGAATTTAGGCTACTCAAATGTATGAACAAGATGCAGTGGCTGCGGAAGCCGTGAGGACCTTAACATGGTAGGATAGGGGAAGTGAGGGGTTTATATAACATGATACAGACATCGAGCAATCGTAGGGACATTGTCCCCCTGTCCCCGCAAACTCTTCCGCGGCCACTGCATACCTACGTACAAGGTCTCGTCCGTGACAAGGTGAGGGACGGAGACGTGTGGGTACTGTAAAATGCTTAAAACGAACTTTGGTCTCAAGTCAAGTCAGCGACATTACGGTAACCTCGAGACACACGGGAAACTACACGTTTTCTTCTTGGGTGTTCGTGTACTCGAGTGGAATTATGTAACCAAGCAGGACTAACGTGAAGTGGTGGGACCCGAAACCAGTGAGATCAGGTAGAGAGAAATGGAGTGAAAGTACGGTGCTGGGCAGAAGAGAGAAAGCTCTCTCGAGATGAATTATTTATTTGGATGAGGTTCCGCAGAGTAAAATACGAGTATGAGGGGAAATTTTGGTTGAGGAAACCTTGAAATATTTGACAGGTTTGAGTAGCCCGAGACAGGATTTATGCATATTAGTTGGTACAGAGAAACTGTAACTATGCTACACTGTTAAAAAGCTGGTAGAGTCAGATATATACGCCGTACTGGTATTGATTTGGTAATAGCTTCGTACCGTATTGGTAGTAGTTTATTTCTGACGTGAGTGATAAATTTTTAATTACCAAAACATTACTAAAGATTAATACCTCGTTATAACCAGTTTCGGTAGAGAAAGTAATGATTTACTACCAGTTTCTAAGAGTGACTACAACGTGTCCAAATATTTCTAGGTACATGTTTCTACGAAATTTGGCCAAAATTGGTCTACGGGCTTTTTGGCAAAAGCAAAATTGGCTTTTTATAAGACGGACTGACGAACAGACAGAAAGCGCATAATTAAATGAGGTCTGCTTAGAAAGTAAGATTCTGAAAAATGAGACTTTACACCAGAAATGAGTCGTATATATCAAGCAAGCAAGCTTACATATTATGTATTTCGAACTTCACTAAACTTGTATGTACCAATGTACCTTAATCTAGCCGGCCTGTGTCTGTAACTAAATAAACAATTTACCCCGTTACATAAACCACTTCTATTCACTTCTAACCATTACATCGACAACATCGATAGTGCATGCAAAATTTGTAAGACCGAGTAAACTTATCCCATTCGATTTGCATCGCATTATTATTGCTTTCACTTTAAAATGTTGTATGCAAACCAGGCGAAACCCACGCTTTCGATGCGTCATATTATACAACACGAATTACAAGTTGCCAGTGTTTCGTTTCTTGCTGGTTTGCTATACATTTCTTGCACTGGAAAGTGAGAAATGCAAGAAATGGGAGGTGCAATAAACTGGGAGAAAATGCAAGAAATATGCGCCATCTAGTCAGGCGCCGTATGATAATGCATCACCCTCCAAGTCGGGAACTGGGGTTTTTTCTGATTTTTTCTCTGATTTTGTTGAATTAGCACGCCGATTTTCGAGTTTTTGCAATGTATGAATATTAAAATTAAGACCAGATTCGTCCAGGTTTATAAACATTTCAAAATTCGGCCCAAAATTAATTTTTTAGTGCAAGAAATATGCTAGCCACGGGGTGTAGTTTCTTGCGCCTTGCATTTCTCCCAGGTCAAAATATTTACCTGCAAGAAACCACTTTCTTGCACTCGAAACACTGCGAATTACTTACCTCAACGTAAATAAATAAATAAGTATATCCCCCAAATTCTGCACGATATACATATTTGGTCAGGTTTGCCAAGCATGTCGTTCTAAATCTGTTTAAATTACTGTCAACCATGCGACAAGCCGAGTCCGGGGAGAAAGTACAGCCGTGTAATCACGACACCATGGACTGCTTGATGGGAAAAGCAAACAGTAATTAGGTCTGCGAGTGACTTGATTGGATCCCACGGTGTACATAATATTGTACACCTTTAAAGTTTCAGTGGTGACATTGAGGATGAGTGAAAACTTTCCTTTGGGGGATATATCCTTCATCAAATAAAGAAGGGGCTCGTGTCCTGATTATGGATCTGATTGATTTGACATCTTGGAGAGAAATGGAGAACTGAATAAATATGGAGGAAATCAAAGAAAGTCGTGAATGTACGGCAAGGTTTTGAAGATACACGTGTATGCATGTATGAGCAGAGGGCGGATATATATATTTAAATAAAAAATGGTTTAATAATAATAATCTTTATTGCATATATAGCCAATAGCTATTGCAAGTCACAATCATCATTTCAAGTATAGGTACATTTTAGTCAAATTTTAGTTTAGAATAATTGTGATAGTAGTCAGGGGAGTAGAGGGAAAACCAGACTATGGTGGTCAGTTTGGAAAACCTCTACCTGAACTGGGAAGGTTACCCAGTTCACCATTCGGCCCTGACTACCTGTAAACCCAGGTTCGGCCAGTGAATGACAGAGATTATAGGCGATTTACATATCGGAAAAATGGTGGCATCCAAATGAGTAGGCGCCGTGCCGGCAGGGACACGACGGGTATTAGGCTGGAGTGGAGCATCCATGGACCACAAACTAACCAATGACCCATTTCAGGGTTCGGCCTAAGTGACCCCATAAAGGGGCCATGATACACCCCACAAACTAACCCCTCCAATCGCAGCACATGACAAAGTCATGGGAACCCCGTAGACCTAGCCCAGCCGCCCCCACCAACACCGCGCACACTCACTTTTCCGCCAACCACCCCCACATGTTCACCACCCCAATTTATCAAACAAAGGTCTCACCTGGGGGAGTCCTCCATGGCGTTGATCCTCCCGTGCACAGAGTCCGACGAGATCCATCTTCGCCTGATGGCTCAGCTTGTCGTTGCTGGGACGGGTGTGGCAGGGGGTGTCACTAGGTACGCAGGTGGGGGGTGTGAGTGGACGAGGCTCACGTGGCGTAGAGGCCTTAGGACACACTTCACTTGCCCTGGCACACCCGCGACCCAGATGGAAGAGAGAGAATCCAGATGCAGAGCGAGAGAGAGATTCGTGATGCACGGAAGGAAGCCAAGAGAGAACTCCTAAAAAATGGTTTAAATGTGTGTTTAATATTTTCGAAAAAACGAAAGTACGAATGGGTACGAAATAAATTAGAATTTTCGCAAAATTTGTACTTTCGAATTTAATCCTCTGGATTTTTTGTGATCGAATTTCTTTGTGTAATAAAAAATCATCTCACATATTTTTTTTAATTAGTAAAATATACACGTATTCTTGAAACAACGGAAATGTTTGTAAATATTTATTTGTCTGATGTGACAATCAGTATTTGTAAGTAGATATTTGCGAAAAATTGCTGAAATATGTATATTTTCGAAATAAATGCCAAAATATTTGCGAAATATGTACGGAAAAAATAATAATGGGATTTACAAAATTTATATTTTGGACAAAATACAGTTTTTACAGTCTAATTTCTTTAAGCAACTAAATTTTGTCTCACATATTTTTAAAAGAATATGTGTATTTTTTAAGAAAAAAATATCAAAGATTTACGTAATTTTCAAATAATGGTGGAAATATTATTAATAATATGCCTGAAAACCTAGAAAAATGTGATAATACATATGTAAAATATTTTGAAATTTTTGTCATCTATGCGAATTAGGGAACACACGCACAAAGTTTTCCTATCATTCCTCTTGAAGTGAAAAAGTTGAGAATAAATACATATCCACCCTCTGCTTTTCATGTGTCTGAAATTTGGTGCATAGAAGAACGCCTGCAGAATTGTAAGTAAAACGGATGAAATACGAGATACTAGTTGGACTCAACCCAATAAATTACATCCATGCAGGCAAGCAGGAAGGACAGGAAGTTACAAACTGGTGTCATATTTCATTTGTAAATCTCCACCGAATTTGTCCTTTGTTTGTACTTTGTAGTCATTCCTGATGATGATACAGCGATACAAAAGCAGTGTTTGCTGTCTCGCATGATTTCATTCCGAGTAATTAAACAATTCGTAATGTGACGGACGAGGAGCGGAGAGAGGAATGGAAAGTGAGCGAGTATTGATTTAGTAACAAAAGCTACTTTCACCTTTATTGTTCCATGGAATGGAATAATGAAATCGAGCAATGAATTAGGCAACACATGCAGAACAAATGTGTACAATTTATGTATGTATGCATACAATGGCCGCGGAAATGGGGGACAATGTCCCCACAGTTGTTCGATGTCCCCATACACTCCCCATGTTGCATAAACCCTTCCCTCCCCTCTATCGTGCAATGTTAATGTCCCCACGGTCGCGCGGCCAATGTGTGCATGGCTTTACAAAGAACAATTCTGCTGGATGTAAATTATATGTATGTATACTTCATAATTTTAGTAATAATAAAAATAATTGTACAAAAAAACAATCTCAACTGTTTAACTGACTTGTAATAAATAACCCGTAATGAGAAATTAGAGAGATTTGTTTGGTAACAGATTAATTACGGAAATAATTAATTATGAACATTAATTAGGTTTCTTCTTCCAATAACTTCTACCGTTGTTATCTTTGACTATACATTTTTACTAGTGCATTGCCGGGTTGTATAAATTACTTTGTCAAAATATGAGGATTTTGAGCTCCGTTCTTCCCAGGGTTTGGATTTCCGGGGCTGTTGCACCCACAAAAAGTTGAAAATCTGCATGGAGAATACAACAGTCAATCGAAAATGCAGGTTTTGTGAATAAATTAACTTTTTATCGCGGTCAAAATACATTGTTTTCGCAAGTTTTTCAAAAATAAAGTATTTTGACTCCGAGAAAAAGTTGATTTCTTCACAAAACCTGTATTTTCGTACGACTGCTGTCTTCTCCACGTAGATTTTCCCCTTTTTGTGGGTGTAATAGCCCCGGAAATTCAAACCCTGGGAAGAACTAAGCTCAAAATACTATACATTTTGACAAAGTATTTTCTCCACCTTTGAGAATTAGTGATAAGTACATACTTACGAGATGCTACGATTACGATTACTACTACTGCACAAGATTCCGTTCCACATTACAGTGCACTACATGATTTTGATTTATGTAACTAATAATATCTGCACTTATGACTATGACAAATCATACATATTAATCTGAGTGAACTACTAATAAATACATACGTACATAAATAATTAGGCTATTACTTGATATCAAGATATATGAATCTGAGAGCAGATCAGTCCAGAAATTTGGTGTGGGTGGTGTAGATTCAAAAGTAGTGAGTTTTTGAGGTGCAGATATATAACAGTGAGAGAAATCATAGTCAGGGTCAAAGGTCATAGGTCAACCAGCATCGCCAGAGAGACTACCAAATGCGTGTCATCGTCTACTTCTTACTTCCATGTTTACTTCCCCTGTTTCAAATCAGAGTGAAATCTATCATGTATCAAAAACGCTACTTTTATCTAAAGTGTATGTCCAACATCTAAATAACTAACTAGCAAAATTAAGTGGTTAGTTAGTAAATAGTGGTTAAAAATTATAAATTTCAGTCACACTACTTACATACAATCTTTCACTACGCTGTTAAATCTTACACAATAATATTTAAGCTTAAGTATTCTAAGGTTATCGAAATCAGAGGAGCACAAAATGAGTATTACATACATGAGCAAACATTGACCAAATTAAATATGTAATTTGAAAGCGCAAAAATAATGGTAAACTAAATTTTCATCATACATACAATCCACACGGCAAAAAATTATCATAAATAATATTGCTGCTGCTTTCTCAACTAAACTGGTCTACACTTTCACTAGAGCTACATTACTTTCTCTTGGTCTTTGGGCTGGTTGGTTGGAATACGGAAGAAGCTGACATCAGACTTTCGATATATTGACCTGAAATAAATAAGAAATAATGTTAGTTAATTGTTGTAATTAATTGTTTAGGAAATGAACAAGTGTGGGGACAGAGGGACAATTTCCCCACGGTTACTCGATGTCCGTATCATCTCCCCATGTTATATAAACCCCTTCTTCCCCCATCCCACAAGGTTAATGTCCCCAAATGTCCCCACAGCTTCCGCGGCCACTGGATGTATATGAATCGTAATAAACTATACTAACCAAGAACTTGGTTTTCTGATCGCAATTTTAGATTCTCTTCCTTCACATTTTCCACGCGCTGTGACAAGTCTGTGAGGGAAACGGAATTAAATTATAATTAATAAAATCACGAGTTAAATTATCTAATTAATTATGTTGTTCTTGCCATCAAGAGTATTTTGTAGTTCCAAAACCTGCGCTATTCGACTAGCTTTTTCCTCCTGTTCATCCTGACTAAGATCGGGGTCCATACCTAAAGAAAATTTATCGTATCTTAGAGAACAGAGCACTAATAAATTGTTAATTGATGATGATATCAACTTATCAGTTCAGGTATCAAAGGGACAATCGGAACTATTAAAATTTGAAACTATTTTCTAAAATTAATTAATTACCGACCTGCACTGGACAAGCTGTCGTTCGTAAATGTGGAAGGGAACGAGTCGAAACTTCTGGTCAGACCGTGCGACGTGGCTTGTTCGGATTGTGAGGGGGAATCGTCCGGTTCGGGGAGAATGGCTTGAGGGTCATCGTCCGCCAAGGGGATGTTATCTAAAGTTGGTGATAACAAGGACAAAAGTATAATTTTTCTTTAGCTTAGTTTATCCAAATTTACTTAATATAAAATTTGTATAAGTACGATTTGTAAAATTGTGATAACTCACCTTCTTCGTCGTCTTCGAGGTTGATCATTTTTCGGATGTGTTATGACTTGGCTTGAATTATAATTTCTGTCAATAATTTCTATTTATGTGTGAAAGATAATCGTTATTAATTAATTATTTACTTGGACAAGTTGTTTACGTGCCAGAGTTTGTTTTCTGAAAGAGTTAAATGCCAAATGTCATATTTGTGTTCATTTGTAACCGGGCATGAGCTCTACCGAGGAGCAATGTACGACGTCGAAGTTGGTCATTTTTTATATTTGGTCCTATTTTTGTATGAAAAATGCGAATGCATTAATATGCATTATTTTAAATTAAATGTACTAATTTTTTGGGTAATTAAAACATGTAAAATAAAATGAACTTTTAATTTTGTGTCATGGGCAAATATTGCATTTTTACCAGAATTTGTTGCAAATGGAAATTATTTTCAGATCTTTCTCTGTGCCGATTAAGATTGTGATGTACATGTTGTAGTAAATGTTTTATCTGCAGTATTTTAGAAATTTGTTTAATTTGTAAAATTTTAATTCGGGTTTCTTCCCGTTACAAATTCATTTTTTGCTTTGTTAATTATTAATTTTCACCGTCTTCACTACTTTCACCTTCTTCCGGTCGGTATCCTCCTCCAATTCGGGTTGAGCTTGGGACACTATCGAGTGCAAATTGGTGGAAGATTTTTGAAACATGATTTGTGCGTCGGTCTGGAAGTTATTATTTGATTAAGCAGGTATTTTACCACAAATTTAAATTAAATTAATTCACATTACCTTGTATCGAATTTTGGAATACGTTTTGAAATGCCAGATAAGGTGTTCTTCCTAATTTTTTTTTGAAAATCATGTAAGTATTACGTATAATTAATTAAATGTTTACGGGTTATCTCACAGATTCATCTTTCCAATCAAAAAAGTTGATCCCGACGCGAGACGCGATTCGCATTCCCATAATTCTCAAGGGGCCTTCAGCCTTGGTCATTCGTGTGATGCGGTGATCATCAATTTCATACCTGTATTTACAAATAAAGGCAGGATCTTGGAATTAATTTCATACCAATTTTTTTTGCAGGGGTGGGTAAATTACTTGGTCAAAATGTCGTATTTTGACCTCTGTTCTTCCTAGGGTTTGGATTTCAGGGGTTGTTACACCCACAAAACGACGAAAGCTGCGGGGAGAATACAATAGTCATTCGAAAATACAGGTTTTGTGAAGAAATTAGCTTTTTATCTTACGCCAAAATACATTGTTTTCATGATTTTTTTGAAAATAAGGTACTTTGACAGGGATAAAAAAGTAATTTCCTAAGAGATTCTGTATTTTCGTACGGCTGTTGTCTTCTCCACGTTGATTTTCGTCTTTTTGTGGGTGTAACAGCCCTAGAAATCCAAACCCTGGGGCTCAAAATACTATATTTTGACAAAATATTTTGCCCATCCCCTGTTCTTTTATACCCTCCCAAAATCAGGGAAAAATATGGATCCCCCAAAGCATCAATCTTCCTGATGAGTCGAATATACACATTTCTGATCTCACTTTGAAAGAGAATCTCTTCATTTTGAAATACACGCACGATGTATTTGCCTTTTCCTCTCTGTTTCAGATACGAATTTAGTAAAATTATGGAGTAATTAAATTTTCATTAAAAGGGGTATGTACCACCCACCCTGGAAACTATCAACTCTCTCCAAGCAAATTTTCCATGCAGGGTCCAACAGCCGATGATGAAAGAGGTGCTGAAGGCGGCAAAGGCCATGGAAAAGGGTCCCAGGAATACCATCGTTATTACCAAAAAGAACAAAGTTAAGGCGATAACTGCAATTCCATACTCGACTCTAAAAAAACATGGAAATTTTGATCATGAAAAAATTGCATGCAAGTAAAATATGCATCTGTTTAAGGTAGCACTCAATGCCTCATCACCAAAATCATTAAAATCAGCACATTTTTAATCATTTCTCCCCTCTGGGAATTTATTTTAAAATTCTGGACGACAAATTTGCCGTCAGTGAGTTGATTGATCGAATGGCGTTGAGTTTTTTAAGCCGGTTTCGACGAGTTCCAATTTTTCTGAAGGCTTCTTAAACTTGAGATCTCCTCCTTCAAAAAGTGTCAAAATCTGGAGTGCATATTTTCAAAAAATTGGGAACTCCCTGCTCTACAAATTTGTCGGTCAGAATTTTAAAATAAATTCCCAGAGCGGAGAAATGATTAAAAATGTGTTGATTTTTGGGAGGGGTCATCGAATGCTACCTTAAGTACCTGTCACTTCTAAAAGAGACGTAAAAATATCCGTCCCCGATGGATTTGAAGGGCCACACTGGATTTTCCTTAAGGCGAACATACAACTCTTCTTCGGGTTTATAACTTCTCCAGTATTTCAATTGCGTCATGAAAGTGTCATCTCGGAACATTTTGAGTTATTTAAAATTGTGGTGTGAAATTATTTTTGCGAAACATTTGGAAATAAAATCGATGTCATTCCAATTTTATTTTTCAGATTATAACACTCGTTTATCACATTGTCGACATTTGATGTCCCCTTGGATAAAATTAATTTTAATAGCTCAAATTAATTAAATTTCAAAAATTTCAAAATAGTTTAAATTTAATAGTAAGATAAGTAGTTATCAGTCTAAAGGAAAGGACAAAAAACATGCAAACTGCATTGCAATTCTTGCTAAGTGTTTTCCACCATGTAGCAAAATTTCAAAAAATTTCGAAATGATGGAATTTAATAGTAAGATAAGTAGTTATCACTGATAACTTATCAGTCAAAAATAAAGTTAAAGAAAAGAAAAGCATGCATAAGTTGCAAGAACGGTTGTGGCGGGTGGCACGAGAATTGTGTAAAACTGAAAAGTCGCTTTTGCCATTTACGCAAAGAAGTGGATTAATAAAACTGTAAAAGATCGTGGCTTTTCTAGTCCTTGCCTTTCGATTTTTGGAATTGACTTTTGTGTGCCGTTTTTGCGAATGTTTGAAACTATTGTTTTTTTATTGGTCAAATAGTTATCTTTAATCGTAATTAATTAATTAGTGTATTCAAGGTGAAGTTAGTAAAGTGAATCGTTTTGAAGGGGGGAACGGACTGATTTCTTTTTTGAGAACTTTCGTCCAATTAATTGAACAGTTTTATTTATATATTTAGTAATAATTAACAATTTAAAATATTAATTTTAACTTAAGGAAAAGACAAAAAAAGTTTTGTATTAGTAAAGTGTAGTAGTAATTAAAATTGCATCGGTTATCTGGTGGAAAAGTGAAGAGAAGAGTAAAAGTGGCCGTTAATTATTATTTCGAGGTAAATAGTGCACACTTTAAAGTTAAATATTAGTTGTTTGTATTAGATTTGATTGAAAATGTGACATTTTTTTATGGTATGGGTGAATTTATAGGAAGTGGAACTCGTCAAACTTGTGGTTATCAGTTGCTCCTCTCGTCCCGTCGAACAATGTCGTCATCATTTTTGAAAACTTCGTCGCCCTACTCGTCATCCTACGGGCATTACGGTGCAGGGACCGTGAATCCGTACGCGAGTTACTTTGGACCTGCACAATCCTCGTCGCCGAGTCATCCTTCTTCCGCCACGTCGCCAGTTTCATCGCCATTTGGTGGGAGCTCCCTTGCCGCCGGGCCGGGAGGCGGATTCAGCATGATGAATCAGGCAACGTCACCGATTTCTTCGCCGTATGGTTATTCTGCCTTTAACAGTCCTGGTCGTCCTGGTGGGATAAGTGGGGGAAGTCCGTCTTATCTTGTGCCACAACCCACTCAGACTAAGATTATCGGCGGCGTGAATACTTCCGGTTTCGTGGGGGGAAGTTCTCATCTTGGAAGGACTACTACCGGTACAAGTCCGACGGCGCCGAGCATGTATGGAAGCGCGTTTTCCAGCCCATTAACTGGCCATGTAAGAATATTATTGGTTATTTTAGCTTGATTGATAACATAATGATTAAGTAATAATTAATTAATTGCTGCTATTTAATAGGACTCTGGTCATCATCATGAACCGATGCATTATTCGCCATCGGGATCAAGTCCGCCACATGGTCCAAATTCGGTCTATTTGCCGTGCTACTTTTTGGGGTTGGATCAACATCAACCGCACCACCACTACGGTGGTTCGCCACCCTCTCCGGGGGGAGGTGGGGGCAATTTTAATGTGTCAGGGTCGCGAGCTATGGGATCTGGGTCGTTTATGAGCCCCCCTAAAAACCTGATAAGGCGAACGGTACTTTTCGAACCCAAGTCATTTCCTGAGAATCAAGGCGTGGAAGAAGTCAGGCCACCAGTGGTGAAGCCGAAGGGGCCGCCGATTCATGGTTTTGGTTAGTAGGACACATTTTATTCAAGGATGAGCTAAATAGTTTGTTAAAATAAAGTATTTTGAGCTCCATTTTTTCAAAGTTTAGATTTCCGGGGGTGTTACACCCATAAAAAGATGAAAATTTGCATGGAGTATACAAAAGTCGTACGAAAATACAATGAAATAATTTACATTTAGTCGCTGTCAAAATACGTTATTTTTAGAAAATCGTGAAACAAAGTTGTATTTTGATAGCTTGAAAATGTAAATTTCTCCACAAAACCTATATTTTTGTAAAACTTTTGTAATCTCCACGCAGATTCTCGTCTTTTTGTGCGTGTAACAGTCCCGGAAATCTAAACTCTGGGAAGAACGGAGTTCAAAATCTTGTATTTTGGTCATCACTGAATTTCAAAATTTTGTACATATATGAAGAATTCAATTAATTAACTTGACCCTTCATTTCCTCCAGGATCTTCGGAAAGCGCGTCAGCAAAAGACTTCTTGGAAGCCGTCATGATCTCAGACTCTTCAGCTGCCAATCCAAAAGACGACGAAGCAACCGGGTCCTCCCCAATGTTTCCTAATATGAAGCGCCCCCAACAACTCGCTCAAACCAGCTCGACCTCCTCATCACCAAAGTGTTGGGTTACCGTATTTGGATTTCCGGGAGGAGCCAGCTCATTCATCGTGACCAATTTCTCCACCTTAGGAAAAATAGTAGAAGTTAAATGTACCCCGGGCTCAAATTGGCTTCATATACGATTCAGCAGTCCGATAGAGGCTCGGCGAGCGTTGTCTAAAAATGGAAAAGTACTAGGACAATCAATCATGGTTGGAGTGATACCAAGTGACTCTAAAGTTATTGAAGATGCAGAAAATGCCAATATTTCGGGGTATGTTTGTCCCCAATTAATCAATAAATGACGCAGTTGATGATCGTTTTGATGGGGAAAGAGTTGAATGAAATCATGACAAGGTATTTATTCATTTCTATTTATTTCAGTGATACAGTTAGTGCTGCTGGAGGAACCACTACAACTCCTTCCAAATCTCCGTCAAGTACCATTCCCATCTTGAGAGAAAGAAACAACGTGGGAAGTTCGACAAGTGGGGATTGCTTAAAGTCTCGAATTCGGCCATTGGCAACGGGATCTCTTCCCCAAAGTTCTGGTTCTGTAACGTCACCACCAAAAAGCATCCCAGATTATTCTTCAATTGTTCGGGAATCGTTTCAAGTTACTAGAAATTCGGATGGTCGACCAGTTCCGGTCGCGTCGACGGGAATTTTAACTAAAGCTATGGAGTACATGTTTGGTTGGTAGTTTATAAGCCAGAGTGCAGCCTTATTTAGCCCGAGTCAGGTTGTTATTAATAATTGAGGTGGGTATAATACGACCACGACAACTTTTTCATTTTTCTACACATTTTGCTCATCTTCCAACTCGTAATTTTGCATGTTCTACGTGTGTGCAAAATTTCAAGTCGATTGGATAAGTTGCACGAGCTTAATTGATAAATAGTCAGACAGACAACCATGACGGGTACGTAAGCCCTGACTCGGGCTAAAAAAAGATGGACTTAGAAAAATGCGTGCCACGCTAAAATTGTTCTGTATGTTTTGTTTTTATATTATGTTTGCCTTTCTATTTATAAGAATTAATTTCTTCATCATGATCCGTTTCCGTTTACGTGTTGGCTGATGTATAAATATACATATTTAATTTAGCGTATTAAACTAGGTCGAATAATTTGTTGACGTAATTTCATGTTAAACTTTATGTTTTTGCAAGTTCTTAAATTTTTTAGATCCTTCCTGGCTGTCTGTCTTCCTGCCGTCTTGTTCTTATTATTATTATTAAGATAGATTTAGTACTATACGTTTACTATTAGGAATTACACATGTCTATTTTAAACAGGGATTTGCTATGTTATGTTAAATCATGGATGAGTATAAGTGTTCCTGAAATAAGAGGATTTTGTTACATAGATAAGAATACACAAAAGTGAAACAATTACAAAAAATATAAGCAATTATTCATGTAAAAAATATAAACTAAACACAAAAATCTACAGTTTCATTTGGGACGCACTTCTAAATTTTTGTACGAATTGGCCAGATTACGACTAACCGTCCCCCCGTGGTAGGCTTGGCCATTCATATGTTTTAAAAAAAAATATTTTCTATAATTTGACATCAAATTTTTGAAGTATTTAGTAAACACTTGAAAAATAGTAGTCAAGAGGAAGGATTCGTAAATAGTGGGGACTCACTTCTTTAAAATCTTGACCTTTCCAAGTTGCATTTACTACGCAGTTGTAAGTTATTCTTAGCCAAATTATAGCTTAAAATGGCAACCACCCACTTATGTGACCCCCACTGGGCAGATATTACTCATTTTCAAACTTATCCAAGGTCTTGTTGAGATACGCATTTTAATTTAAGTTGGTCAAAATCGGATCAATGCATGGTTAGTTCGTTATCATGTTGCACGCACAGGCTTACCGGTTCCGTATGATAAGCCCTGACTTGGATTATAAAGTCATATTAGATTTATTACATGGGTGTGTGTATCACCTCCCTACGTTCCAGACTGCACGTCAAACCGTAAAACGCGTGGTTTCATATTTCTTTATCATAAACAACCAAAATTAGAGCACGCATTTTGTTTTCTTCTCCCCGTTCCTAGAGACAATTCTAATTTTGGGACAATTACTGTGCTCCCAGAATGAAATTTAAAACCGGAGAAAGTTGAAGCATGTCGTATCTCACGTATACATACGAATCCATAAATCGTACCACCCCACGTGCCAGGTACAAATAGAAATCCATCCATTGATACATACATGGCTTCATCCAGTGTCATTCGTTCGTTGCAGTGCTTCCGGTAAAGTAACCACGTGCATGAAATAACGGGGAGAAAGTGGTTTTTTGCAGGTAAATATTTTAACCTGGGAGAAATGCAAGGCGCAAGAAACTAGTTTCCGCCGCTGTAAATAGTTCATACGGCGCGAGGCTAAATAGTGCATATTTCTTACACTTTCTCCCAGTTTCTTGCACCTCGTATTTCTGGCATTTCTTAGTTTCCAGTGCAAGAAATGCAGCAAACCTGCAAGAAACGAAACCCTGTTTTCCGTTGCCCCACATTTTTCGATTAAATAAATAGATCAAAATTCAATTGTTCCTCCAACTAGTTTAGCTTATCTTCCTCCCATAAATAAATGATCCCTTCCCATTTTCTCAATGTCTCAATCTCACTTTCCCAACCAACCAACTCAATACTTACCCCTCCAGCAAGAAGAGAAAGCCATGCATGCCATGCCGTGCAATAGGAAGGAGAAAGCCGGAAGCTACATAACCCAACATGGTGATGTTCTGACGTGACGTGACGTGATGACCATCACCGTCGTCCTCGTCGTTAGTTTAGTTTGTTGTTATTGTGCTTCCTTTCAGACAGTGGCCGCGGAAGCCGTGGGGACATGTGGGGACATTAACATTGTAGGATGGGGGGAGGGACGGGTTTGTATAGCATGGGGAGATGATGGGGACATTGAACAACCGTGGGGACATTGTCACACAGCTTCCGCGGCCACTGCTTCCTTTCACTTTAACTTTCTCCGTCCGTCCACAAGTCGAACTCACCACGAGGAGACTACAAAGCAAGGAAACCCGGAGAGAGAAAAAAAGAGGAAGAAAGAGATTTGAGGCTTCAACAATCAGAAGAATGAAATCCGTGCGTCTTCTTCTTCTTCTTCGTCAATCCGGATTGTGGCGTTGGACTGGAGACTCACTTTTTTTTCTTTTAGGAATGAATGACTTGAATCCCAAGATTTCCTTGGTACACAACACACAATGATTTACAAGACTTGTACTCCATTTCATTTCGCCATTGTGGAATTCTCTAATAGTAAGTCCTACATACACGAAGGAAGTTGTGTGCAGGGTTTCGTTGTAGGTTTTAAGAAGTGGGAAAAATCGGTTTTAACCAGTTTTGGACATTGAGTTTTGGACGATCAAAAGTGTAAAAAATAGAAAATGGACCACAATGTTACAAGCTCTTCATTACTAAATCTTTCGATAACGTGTAATCTTCTCTTCTCTTAATTCTTAATTCTTCTCTTAATTCCACACTCAAATGCTCAAGCATTTGAGTGTGGAATATGCATGTTTAGAAAATTTCTTAATTTCAATAAAACATGTGAAAATAATAGTTTTCCAGATCTCGTGGTATTACACACACACGCCAAAATCCTCTAAATTAATGAGAGATTGCATATTTGTGTTTAAATTTGCAAAAAATTAAGATTAACCTGCAAGATTCTGACCCATTTTCCAATGTTGCACGCTTTTGCACAGGTTAGACTTATTATTATTATATTTTTATTATTTTATTTTGGCGTCGAAATCATTCAATTTCTCAAATTCTAGACACCAAATTGAATAAGTTTTAAGCCAAAATAAAATAAACTGATGTTAAATAATACAATAATTCGCCTGTTTCGGCTAACGTAATCGTGCATCACTTGGAACTCTAATAACAAATGGAGCAGTATTTTGCACCATTTTGATGCTTTTGGACATTACGTGGTCTAACATTTGGTCTTTTGAACAACGTTTTTGCACATTTGGGACAGTTTTGTAAATTATCGACGTCCAACATTATTTCGTCCATTTTTGACTTCCAACATTACTATTTTTGCATAATTTGAACTTCCAAAATTATATTGTGCATTTTTGGACGTTTTTAAACCGTGTCAAAAAGCGTCTAAAAGCTATCCAGTCCAAAAGTAGTTGTATCCGTCTAAAGCGAAACACTGCTTACTTATATGCGGGTAGTAGATACTTAACTAGCTGCTACTCCCTCTCGAGCAGCTTTCACAACAACAACAACCAACTTTCGACGGACAACACACCAACCAAGCAACCAAATTACTATTGCATTTCATTGCGAGATAACAAGTCAGATTGGATTCTTGTTGAGGAGAAGAAACTTTAGATTACACGAGACTTTCTTTTTTTCCTTGAACTTCTTTTTCACAATCTGAGATTCAGCAGCTCCGGGTTTGAATTGAACTGATGACGATGTTTCGAGATATCGGGAGTCAAGTACTTTGTGGTTGCTGCAGGTCGATTGTGTTTGATTTGTGCTCTGCCCACCAACCAGATTTTGAAACTGTGGGATGAAATGAAAGTCAGGTCAAAATTGAGGCAGTGGCCGCGGAAGGGTGTGGGAGGACAGAGGGACAATGTCCGCACGGTTGTTCGATGTCCGTATCTTGTATAAACCCGTTCCTCCCCGATTCTGCATGTTAATGTCCCCACGGCTTCCGCGGCCACTGGAAAAATGCAGGCTACTCATATGTATGAACATGGTACAGTGGCCGCGGAAAGGATGGAAAATTTCTTACTTATCAGTAGCCGCGGAAGCGTTGGGACAGGGGGACAATGTCCCCACGGTTGTTCGATGTCCGCATCATCTCCCCATCGTATATAAACCCCTCCCTTCCCTATCCTACAATGTTAATGCCCCCGATGTCCCCACAGCTTCCGTGTCCGCGGCCACTGAATTTGGATACTAATGCGTCACGCGGTAAATAGGCAGCTCCTGTGGGACAAGCAGTCAAGTAATGATTCTGGGAAAAAAAGTTTATTTTTTTCCCTGACTCTTCAACTATGATTGATACATAGACGGGTGCGCAGTGACCGCGGAAGTGTGCGTAGGGACAGGGGGGCAATGTCCCCACGGTTGTTCGATGTCCACATCATCTGCCCATCTTAAACCCCTCCCTCCCCTCTCCTACAATTTTTAATGTCCCCACAGCTTCCGCGGCCACTGTGCACATGCATCAAGAGACCTCACAATAATTGACGCTGGACTGGACCAAAATAGTTACATGACTAACTTGAAATTAGTTTTGTTAAGTGCAGCAGCACCAGCAGAAAAGCAGGCATGACGAAGAGATTGAGTAAAGGGGGCAAGGACATCATGAAAAACTGCCGGAAATTGGGTAGAAGAGAAAGTAGCAGCACTGGTTGATGAAATTCTCAGCTTTAATGGTACTTTCACCCAGCCAGGGCAAAGTTGATACATGGATTTACTTAGTGTGCATGTGATGCGGTGGTGAAAGTTGCTGGCTTGTCAATGAACCAGATAGACTCATCTTTCTTCCTCTGACAAGGGAGGTCTCCCAGCGGATGCTCTCCGATTTTGAGCAAATTAGTGTTAATCGGTGACATATTTAATTAGGATGAAATTTGCGAAAGACACGATCTCCGAATGGGCACGTTTGGCAGAGATATTTGCATCCAAAGAGGAGAAAACGCGTCCTAAATTTGACAAATTTTACAACTTCAAGATTTCTTAGAAAATGTAAGGCTTTGATACCAATCAAGTAAAACAACATAAATTAAAAATAATATTAAGTTTTAGATATGTGGAGCATCAGAAAATGCGCAGAAAATTTGCAAAGTGTAAAATTTGTCGAACTTTAAGGCGCGTTTTCTCCTCTTGGGATGCAAACATCTCTGCCAAACGTGCCCATTGGGAGATCGTGTCTTACGCAAATTTCATCCTAATTAAATTTGTCATCGATTCACACTAATTTGCTCAAAATCGGATCGCATACGCTGGGAGACCTCCATTTATTATTTTGTGGTATAGTATAAATTTGGAATTTCATATATGAAACAAAAGTGAAGTTTATGTATCGTCATTTGAGTGACGACATGTCACCGCGACGTTGTGTGACGGAAGGGAAATGAGTGGCGACGGGTATACGTATTTAGAAAGTGGAATCTGTTGCTCAACAAGGAGGAGGTTGTCTGCTGTCTCTCGAGTGAATCAAAATGTCATGTCCATTTAGATCAAAAGAAGAAGGTAACCTGCTTCTACAGGACTGAATACTGTGAATGGGCTGGTGGTGCACAGTGGCCGCGGAGGCGTGCATGGGACAGAGGGACAATGTCCTCAGGATTATTCGATGTCCGCATCATCTCCCCATCTTATATAAACCCTTCCCTCCCCCCATCCTACAATTTTAACGTCTCCAGATGTCCCCCCAGCTTCCGCGGA